CCGCCAGAGCGCGTACTCTCTCACACCGGTGCTAATGAGCACTTGTGGATGGAGCGGCGTCTAATTCGACCCCTGCCGACCCCTACTAGTCCTCATAACCACTAGAGGAAACAAAGGATTTGGTTCAACGGGCAAATAACTCCTCTCCACGGAGCTCGAGTCTTAAAGCGGGGGTACTGTCACAAATTCGCCCCATACAAGTGCCTATTATATTCTTAGCGCTCATCATCGCACAAAAACACGATCACGTGACCTACACGGTCACATGCATATCACGGGACCTAGATCATCAGATAGATATGATGGGATCAGTAGATAAGATAACTACAAGTCCAGAACTTGTTCTAGACCAGTCACATGTCATGACATCATGAATGATGTCACCTGGTGGATAGCTTAGCCTAATGGAGATACTCCAACGGTCATTATCCCTCGTATTACTAAACATAATGGTAGTGTATTAGTAACGAGTCACGAGTAGTCACATGAGCACTTAGTAATGTAGAGTACCATAGGTCCTACGTAGTGTCAGGGGTCTTAGATTACTTGTATATAAGGAGCGTCGTCTGAGGCTTAAGACCTCAGACTCAACAACTTCGTTGATTCTTAGTATCTGCATCTCTCTCTACTTACACCCCTCGACTTCAAGTCCTACCCTTCAAGTCTATCAGTAAGGTGAGTATAGGAGTTGTGATACAAAGTGTCTTCGTCAACTTCGACTCGTGAATGAATCTGATAGATGTGTGACCTTTCCATGTTCTCAAAAATGTTCTTGATTGTATCTGCCACAAAGTAGGCTCTTCGGTCTTCAATCCATGATTTGAAGTGTCCACCGTTGTAGCCCCATTCTGCTTCCTCCTCATTGTTCGCTTCAAGAACAATAAAGTACACCATTTGCTGTAGAAGTTCTTGCATCATGGAACTCTCCAACTGCAGGATGATGCAGCTATTGAGGATGCTAACACAAGCAGTGTGCTTCTCCAGTCAGTTTAAAGCACTGTGACTCAGCCACCAGAGTTTTCTGTAGGAGCATGCGTAGATTTCCTGGCAAGGTGTCAGCTGGTGTGATGATCTTCCAGCCTGGTCACCGTTCGCTTTGATTGCAAAAGTGATTTCAGAGCTCGATGTAAGAATATAATGCTTTCGCCGATGAGATGTCGAATGTAGTGTCGCCTAGTACTCCGGTAATGGCTGCCTGTTTTGACTGGCTCCTCTTAGATAGCTCCTCTCAGACTGCCTCCTTTACATCATGAAGTCAACTGTCGAGGCATTGTGCAACTGCCTGAGGTTGCCAAACTGGTGCTGTGTTGTCTTGGCCAAACTGAACTGAGATTCTTGCCATCCAACCTGCCAAGTTGTCCTCAGTTTGCAGCATCTCCAAAGTGTCTCTGACCACATTCTAATTAGCCCATCTGGTGGCTGAGTTGCGAGGGTCGTGGTCTGCCAGAGTTGCTTTAGAGCTGAGGTGGTACACAAAGAAGCTTTGGTGGAATCAAATGTCATTGTCTAATGTGGCTTGCAGCTCTTGTAGGAGCAATATTTCACATATTAGTAACTTGTTTAGCAGCTGGATAAGGCTGCTTTAGGCCTATAAAGGCTGTCTGGCATTCCTTGGCATATTTGGAACCTCTAAATAACATAGAATATGCTATTAAGCATATGCCTTATATGAAAGACACAGTATAACATAGCATGTTTGGGCGCTTATTTTCGTTTTATGTCAGACAACATACAGAGCATGTTTCCAAGCATATTTGTTATACAAAACATATGACCTAACATGTTTGAGCGCTTATTTTTGTCTTATATCAGGAAACATGCAAAACATGTTTTTGAACATATTTGCTATATGCAACATATATCAGAACTCAAAAATGCATGTGTTATTCACAAAATACTCACCAGAAGCCAGCTCTTTTTCAGATATACATGGTTGCACTTCTAGATTCAAAATAAGTGCCCATTGCAGGAATTCAGCTTTGCAGGCAATTCTACATTCTCTTCTGGCTTTCTCCCTTGCAGAACTATCAGGGCAAATAGTAGCATGAATATTATAAGAGCATCATCGGCAAAAAGGAATGGAGATTATATTGCATTATAAACTCAAAAATCACTAAAAATCGCATTATAACGCATTATAAATGCCTGACGGTGCATTATAATGCATTATATTTGACCACCCAATGTGCCAATGATATATGTAGATTTGTAGAGTTCTTCATGGTCTCCATATCATTCTGTGCATCGAATGATGTTCAAACTTCAAAAGGGCACCAGGTACAGGGCTTCCCACACCTTCTACAGTGCTTGGAAGATATTAGAATGGTCCTGGATGTATATATATATATATATACCGTATATTAGTGTGGTGGAGCAGCTTAGAGGAATGGGGAATATGTAGTAATGCATGCAGGGCTCAAAACCCTCAAAATGGGAAGGCATGAAAACTTGTACACTCTTCTGTACCTTCTACACACCTTCTAAATTCTTACAAATATTAAATATACTGCCCCAATGTTGGGGAAAGATTTATAGAAGTTTACAAGACTCTAGCATATATGTAAGGGATTGAAATATATCTTCAAATGTCAAAAACATCACAATCTGGCCTTCAAGCACTATAGATGCAGGCACACCAAGACTTGAAGTGCAATATGCATCAATTGCAGCTAGGTACATGCTATTTGGACATATATTAACCCTCCCAGGTGGTGACCCACCTCATACCTGTGTTGTGAAAGCCAGGCACACACCTGTACAAGTTTGATGCTTTCAGAGTGCTCAGAATCTCACCAACAGGCCATCCCTGGGTTAACCAATGCACCACACCCTCAATATATATATATATATATATATACCTCAGCAGATAAAAGGCTTTGTTCAGGTTGCTGGATCACTTCTAATTCTGGAAGAAAATGGGTCGCTATATTCAATTCCAGGATAAAATTGGTCACTATGAGTGACTCAGCACTTTACATATTATTTGATATTGCCAGGAATGAACCACAATACTCTACCACACTGCAGATATATAGCCAACCTTGCCTATAGTTTCTGCCATGCTTTCAATATGCCTGCTAGCTTGATATCATTTTAGTGAGTGAGTTGCTCAGGCACCAGCTAGTTTTCCGGTAGCGAAAGTTGATTGTGATCCTCGGGCGTCCAGCCGTACAGTATCGCATTGAACATCGACTGGACTGCAACGCCATCATCGTCATCGTCGGCGAATCAGCACATGATCCAACAAGAGGCAGGGCGGGGGAGGACATGACGACATTCACAAAGTAACTCCATCGCGTTGAACCTGACGCTCGCGGCCGGCGTCGTGATCATAGCGCACAGAAACAGGCTCGCGCCCATGAGCGCGCTCGACCCGACCATCGCCCACCGACGCCCGATGCGCGGCACCTCGATGAGCGCCGTGCCGAGGAGCACCCCGGGCACGCCCACGACGGCGATGACGACGCTGCAGGCGGCGCATTGATCAGAGAAACTCGCGCACACACGACGCCAATCAGAGCAGAAAACTCAACTAGTTCCGGGGCACCTCCGCCGTGCTGAGGTCCTGCGCCGCGCCGCGCTTAGCAAGGAACTTAGGTTAAAAGTTGCCCGCGATGACGAAGCCCCTGTGTGTATGCGAGTCAGACAATGGTTGCAAGCAAACGAGAACGCGGCGCGCACACACACTCACCAGTAATCCGCCGCGTAGCACACCCACGTCAGCAATGTCAGGCGCACCATGTACCCCGAGCTAAAGAGCACCTTGAGGTGCCCATCCATTGCAGGCACCCTCACCCCCCTCTCCTTACTCTCCCTCCTCCCCTTCCTCAGGCGGCGGCACCCAATCCCCACCCTCACTCATCCCCTTACCCACACGCGACGCCCGGCCCGCCGCCTGCACAAACCGCGCGTCGACCGCCTCGAGCTCAGTAACACCGAGCGCCACCGCGCCCGTTCACGCGCGCAATGCACCGCACGACCTCGCATGCCTCCGCGTAGCGGCCCTTGCCGACGAGGAACATGGGGCTCTCGTAGAACGTGAAGAGGAAGAAGCGCGCAAAGAACGCGGCGACGGACAGCGCGCCGAGCGTGTAGAGCGCGTAGCGCCACCCCGCGTTCAACGAGCGCGTGCAGCAGGTGCCCGCGGAGACGGGTGTTGCAGGAGAGAGGGCGGAGCAGGCGGGGAGGGCGGTGGAGCAGGCGAAGGTTGGGACGAGTGACCAGGAGATGAGGGACGTGGTGATGACGCCTGTAGGAGCAGTCGGCCTATGTACTGTGGTTGAGGAGGAATGAGAACGCACCGATGGGCTGGAATACGCTCAGCGCGGCCAGCAGGTACCGCCGGTCCTATGAAACGGGCCTCGTAGGGCAACAATTCTCTAAGGTTTGGTATGTCTGTACTTACGTTGGGCAGAAACTCTAGCACAATTGTCGCATCGATGGGTACATTGCCACCATGCCCAAATCCGACGAAAAATATGATGGCGCAGATAGAGCGCCAGCTGTCGAGAGCACCGAGGATCATGCCTGTAGGCGCATGTGACAGTTAGTCTCGGCGGATGCGATTTAGCAACCCCGACGAGGTAAGAACGTACCGAAGACGGCAATGATGCCGACGGTGAGGTTGAATGCCCAGCGGCGACCGATGATGTCGACGAGGATGCCCCAGGTGAAGGCACCGACGGTGAGACCGGCCGAGAAAGCTGGACGATGATGTTAGTCTTACACAGAGACTACAGGGTACGATGCAGCGACTTGCCAGAGAAAATATCGCCGTACTGCTCGTCTGTCACGTCGAGTTCCTGCTGTATGCGGGGCGTGACGAGCGAAAAGGCCTGGGCCCACATGAGGTCGAGGGCGTAACCAAAGCCGCAGAGGAAGAATCTGCTGCCAAGTGAGCAACAGGACGAAAACGGGCTGGGGGAGGGGACGGACATGCACCACTGGTAGCGACCCATGCCGGTCTGTTCGAGGGCGCGGTTGATGAGCGCGGTCTTGGCTTCTATGGCGGTCTTGCCCTTGAGGTCGTCAATGGCATAGCCGACGCCTTCGAGGTCCGTGCTGTGACGCTGCAAAGTGGCGGGCGCAGCGGTATCATCGGGCATCTCCTCAATGTCGAATTCGGTGTTGCGCGAGTGGGAAGGCCAGGCGTGCAGACTGTGAGGAGGTATGGATGGCGGGTGGGGGATGAGCGAGGCTGAGGAAGGGCCAGAGGGAGGAGAGGACGGAAGGAGGGTGTAGTTGCGCCGGACTGACATGGCGGCGAGGGTGGTATAAGGAGACTGAAGCTTGATCGCGGAGAGGGATTAGGATATAGATAGACTTGCGATAGGCTCTCTAGGCAGGTGACCCGGCAGCAGCGTGGGCGGATGGATGTCCAGCTGGCGGGCAGACGAGAAGGGAGAGACAGGCGTGGTAGTGATCTGAGATCAAGTTCGTCCCTTGGCATCCAGTGCGAGAGTCGTTGCAGGCAACGGGGCAAGCGAGAGGAAGCGACGCGTGAAGAGAGCAGTCGCTGTCGTGGTTATGGTCGAAGCTGAGGAACTCCTGGGAGCAGGGTCCATATTGCTTCGCTCGCGATTCGCCACACAAGACCCTAAATCACCCTGCTCCTTCTGCGCCTGCTCTAATTCCTTCTGCCGATGCGCCTCTTTCCTTTGCCTGGCGTACGGCAATGGCTGTGACCCTCTTGAGGCGCTGCTCCTCGAACTGACGTTTGATCTCTGCGTCGGCGCTGGGCTCGCGCGCTCGACAGACAAGGTCTAGTTCGAGAGCCTTCTGTGCTTCCTCTGCGCGATATGCGTCCCTGGCTGCCTCCTCAAGCGCATTCAATTCTTCTTTCTGACGATGCGCGGCTTCAAGCGCAGCCCACTTGTCTGCCTCGAGCAGTTTCCAGACAACATCGGGGACACCGGGGTTGCGCCCCTGCGACGAGGGAAAGGCCTCTTCATATCGAGTAGCGAGCTCCGGCATCCAGGCGGCGGCGCGCGTTGCGCACGCATTGAGGATCTCGTACGCGTCAACCTTTGGGGGATTGAGGTGCTGCGCGGGGAGCGTGCCCCTGGAAGTGGACACCGACGGCAGGTTCGTGGCGAGCGCAACTCGTTCGTCGAGCATTCCGGCGATGCAGCAGATGGCGTCTAGGCCGGACAGCAGGAGCTTCGTCGCCTTGGCAATGTCTACAGCGCGTTTGAATGCAAGTCGCACCATCTGCTTCCCGAGTGTTTTAACGTCCCGTGCGTTACCCCACGACTCCAGCGAAGAAAGCTGCGCGATCAGCGACAACATCTGCTTGTACTTGTCCGAGCTTGTCGCCCCAAACGCCGCGCATTCGATATCGTCCTTCGCGAGGCCCTTCCCCAATACCCCGAGACAGTGCTCTGGTGACATGTTGTCGAAGTGTATCTCCTCAGGGAATCGACTCGCAAGTCCGGGGTTCGCAGCTAGCGGCGTGTTGATCTCTTTGCCGTATCCGGCGATAATGACGATTAGTTCTTCGACGAAAGCCTCCTGCGTGAGGATCCCGACGAGTTCATCGACTGCCTCTTTTGCGTACGCGCCCTCGCTAAGACGATACGCCTTGTCGATAAAAAGAACCTTGCCCAGAGCTCGTTCAAAGACCTGCTTCGTCTTCGGCCCTGTATGTCCGACGTATTGTCCTACCAGGTCGGACGCGGAGCACTCGATGACTTCTGCGGATGAGAGGAAGCCCATATCGTAGTAAACCTGACCCATCCGACGCGCCGTGGTCGTCTTGCCGTCGTGTTAATATCAGCACTCCGGCTTATATATGGATATACTCACCAGGGGGGCCCTTGAATACGAAGTTAGTAGGGATGAGATGCCGCGCCTCCCGTGCCTCCCGCCCGCGCCGCTTGGTAACGCGTGCGATGTTCTGGTACTCCCCACAATCTTCTCGCATCCGACCATATCCTCGAAAAGCTTCTTGAGGTTTGTATCTGCCCTTTCCGCGCGGTTGAAGTTGGGTTCAAAGTCGAAAGGCTCGAAGATAACCAAGACGCTCCCCAAGAGCTGGCGGTTTTGCTGATGGAAGCTTGCTGTACGTAATTTGACCCCCCCCCCCTCTTCGTCCCGAATATTTCGCGCAACCCTTGAGAGCCATTGTCAGTGGTGTGCGATTGCGTACGCACGACGGTGTGTGCCGTGCATTGTCGCCTGCGTGTTGTCGTGGTGTGCTACTTGCTCTGCGTGTAATGCTGCATCTTGGACGCGCAGTAACGCGTCGTGGGCTGGGGCATCGAGTTTTGGCACGTTTGGCGCGGCCTGCACTGTGCTTCTAGTCCGCAGCTCGCCTTGACGACCTCGCGCAGCCTCCGTTGCGCCCGGTCATGCCGTATCCCCGGATGTTCGTGCGAGAGCGTGGCAGTCTTGACGCATCATCGTGTCATGCACAGTCAGCCGCCGTCAGCACTTGACGCCACTATACAGCTGTACACGCACGTCGAGGCTATTGTCGCGCTGTCATCGCGTTATTCGGCTTCAGCGACGCGTCGCAGTAGTCATGGTTGGCTGTGGCACCCGCAGACCGCTCCCGTGCTATGCAATGCGACGGGCCGTGACTGCAGAGCTGCGAAAGGGATCTAAAAGAATAGAAAGGCCAGCATGCAGTTGAAAAGGAGAGACGTACCTTTGCTTGAAGCAGCTAGTGCCTCTGCGCCCTAACCTCATCGACCTGGTCGCCTGTAATCCCACAGATATTGAAAGCAATTAATCTAGCCACGAACGCACTCCAAGGTGATACTTCAGGTACAGCTCGCGATATTGTGATTGAATTCTGGACATACTGCTTGTCGGCTCTGCTGAGAGAGCATCGCACGGCGTTGTGAGACCAGTCGACCAATGAGCACCTGGAAAGCGACCCTGGAAGCTGACGAGGTCTGGCCCGGCGAATTACGACACCCAGCCTGCCGTCCGCGCAGCCGTACTGTATGCACGCATCAGACTAGGCCCAGGGCGAATCTGGCCTCTGGGGTCGCCGGTGAGAACAGCAGCCTATACGGAGACAAGCTGCGGTCGGGGAGGATCATGGGCACAATACGGTCGCGGGAGCAGCGCAAGAAGAAGTGATCATGGGCTGGAGAGTCGTCAGCTGGCCCGTCTTCCCTCGTTCAAAGGGCGATGCGACTCCAAAACGCACGGGCCGCCGCGACGCGTGACTCGTGATGTGACGTCACGCGATTTGCCCAGTTGTTCCGCCCGCCAGGTCGCTCACTGACGGCTACCACCGATGACCTCAGAGGGCGAGCAACACCTTGTGCTCCCCTACGCTTCCATTCCCCCAGACCGCATCTATAAGACGCGCCATGTCTCCAACTATTCCCCAGTGCCGAAAGCAAAACCGAGAGCGACTCGGACACCGACCATGACGCTGCTGGCCTTTGTGCTCGCCGCTCTCCTCTTCCTCGTCACGCCTCATGTCGTCCACACTGCGGTTACAGATGGTCCTCGTATACTTGCAGAACCCCCGCGGCACAGCACAGGCCTCACCGACGCCGTTCAATGGGACAATTACACACTTTGGATCGAGGGTCAGAGGGTCTTTCTTCAGTGCGTGTCCTTCTTCCTCAGCATACATATCTCTGACATATAACAGCTCGGGAGAGTTTCATACCTTCCGCTTGCCCGTCCCTGACCTCTGGCTCGACATATTTCAGAAGATGGTCGCCGCCGGGCTAAACGGCGTTAGGTGCGCCCTTGTGTTCTCGTGTGCGCACATTCCGCTAATAGACAGCCAGCATATACATCCATTGGGCATTAACAAATCCTGCACCCGGCGTGCTCGACTTCAACGACTGGCGAGACCTGCAGCCAGTATTCAAGGCAGCTGAGCAGGCGGGCATATTCATCGTTCTGAGACCAGGTATGTGTCATTCCACCTTTCCTCGCGCCCACCCTGCCGTGCCACGATTTGATTTTTTATGCCTAGGTCCCTACATCAACGCCGAGACAACTGCGGGGGGCCTTGCCCTCTGGACGACCAGCCTCACCACGAGTGAGCTCCGGACGAATGCCACAGACATTGAAGAGTCTTGGATGCCGTACGTGCAGCGCATCATCAACGAGGTGTGCGACAGCCCGCCTAGCTCAAATAAGTTTTAAGCTCACGCGCATTGACTCGTCCCGCAGTCGAAGCCGAACCAGGTCTCCGACGGTGGAAGTCTTATCGCTGTGCAAGTGGGTAAGTGTGCTATTTCCCTGCGTCATCTTGTTTTCTCGTGAAGCCTGCCGCCGACGAACTTTTCTCTTATCAGACAACGAGTACTCGCAATCACCGATTCAACGCGCCGAATACTTCGCACAGCTCGAGGCGACGTATACGTCAAATGGCATTGTTGTCCCGCTGACGTACAACGATCCCGGAGAGGGTCTCAATTTCATCAATGGCACTGGCGCAGTCGATATCTACGGCCTTGATTCCTACCCGCAAGGCTTCGACTGCAGCAACCCAACGAGGTGGTCACCCGTCGTGACGAACTATCACTCGTACCACGAGGAGGCCGACCCCGGCACAGTGTGGTACATGCCTGAGTTCCAGGGAGGAAGCTTCGATCCGTGGGGCGGTCCTGGCTACGACGCATGCGAAGTGCTCACAGGGCCGGACTTCCAGGACGTGTTCTACAAGCAGAACTGGGCGTCGAACGTAAAGATGATTTCGTATTACATGCTCTACGGGTGCGTCCTTTTGTTTAGCTGGTGGAAAAACTGCTGATAGCCGTACAGCGGTACGAACTGGGGTGGTATTGCTGCACCCGTGGTCTATACCTCGTACGACTACGGTAGCACTCTTCGCGAGAACCGTGCCCTTTCGCCCAAGTTCGACGAGCTCAAACGCCAGGGTCTCTTCCTGCGCTCATCGCCCGAGTTCCGTAAGACCGATTGGATCGGCGACTCAAGCACCGGTGTATCAGTAACGAGCACGAACAACGCGAGCTTTGTGACGTTACTCAGGAATCCTGATACTGGCGCACAGTTCGTAATCGTCAGACAGGCGGACAGTACTTCGACGTAAGTCTGAACGTGGAGTCCAATTCAACGTTTACTAAGGAGCGCGTAGATCAAACATCGCTTTCAACCTGACGCTCTCTACGTCTGCAGGCACACTCACGATCCCGCGCACGCTTTCGTCAGGCATTCAGTTGGACGGCCGTCAAAGCAAAGTCGTTCTGGCCGACTATACCTTCGGAAGCCCTGCGCACTCCAACAAGCTTCTATACTCGACTGCGGCAGTGCTCTTTGCAGGCAGCATCGGCGGCATCGATACAGTATTCCTGTACGGCGACACCAACCAGGGGCACGAGTTCGCGTTCTCCTCGGGCAGCAGCCAGCCGACCACCGTTGCGTTCGCTCCAGGGTTCAAGACCGGCCTCCAGGTCGTAAGCTCACCGAAAAGTACAGCAAGCCCGCTCGTGCTCTGGGCAGATACGCAAACAGCTTCCACATTCTTCGCGCCTGCTGTCTCGACCGGCGCCGCGACGTTCACGAACTATTGGCAGTTTGGTACGAACGAGACGGTCCTCGTTGGCGGGCCAATGCTCGTGCGGAACGCCACGGTGTCGGGCTCACGCCTGGCGTTACGCGGAGACCTGAACGCGTCGACTCCGCTGACGCTCCTGGTGCCCTCGTCGGTGTCGACCGTTAGCTGGAACGGTGCGAACGTCGCAGTGAAAAGCTTATCCGGGGCACCCACTTTACCTGGCGCCAAGCTACTCGAGGGCCAGCTGAGCTTCTCTCTCGGCAAGGGAAGCGTCAGTGTTCCAGCCCTAACGGGATGGAAGTTCAAGGACAGCTTGCCCGAGGTGCAGAGCGGGTTCGACGACGCCAACTGGACGGTCGCCGACCACACGACGACGAACATCACAACCAAGCCATTGTTTGGTGACGGACGGGTTCTTTATGGTAAGTGCGCTTGTGCGTCGTCGATTGTGTACAAAGCTAAAGGACGATCGTCATAGAATGTGATTACGGCTTCTGCGAGAATGTTGTGCTCTGGCGCGGACATTTCAACGGCATCGGCTCTGAGACGTCGGTGAATCTGACCATCAACGGAGGGAATGGTAAGTGCTCATTATCGATGCCTGCTCCAGGAGCCGTATTCACAACATCACACCTACAGCGTTTGGTGCATCGGTCTTTCTCAACGACGTCTTCCTTGGCACGACAAATGGGAGCGCGAGCGTCGAACAGACGAACGCCTTGTACTCCTTCCCTGATGGCGCGGTCAAGACAGGGACGGATAATGTAATTACAGTTGTCCAGGTACGTGTCTGCGCGAAAGGGCATAACAATCCATTGGCTGATTGGCGTTTGTTTCTCGTAGGATCATATGGGTAACGATGAGGACCCTAATGGTAGGTCGTCGTACAGCTGCGCAAGGACTTCACGCTGATCGTTATGTAGAACGCTCCCCTCGTGGAATTCCCGGCTTTCAGCTCAACAGCGGCAATTTCACGACGTGGAAAGTTCAAGGCAAACTTGGCGGCTACACAAAGTGCGCGCCATTGTACATAGTCTCATTTTACTGCTTACACCTGGACGCTCGTAGCTACCCCGACAAAGTCCGCGGCATTCTGAACGAAGGCGGCCTGTTCGGCGAGCGCGAAGGCTGGCATCTGCCAGGCTTCGATACATCCTCGTGGGCATCACGCTCGCTCTCGTCCGGGCTGCCGAACGACACCGCGGGCGTCGGCTTCTTCGTCACCACTTTCAACCTCGCCGTCCCGCAGGGGGTGGATGCCATGTTCAGCTTCGTATTCGACAATAACACCGCGGTGCCCGCCGGCCAGGCTTACCGTGCGCTGCTGTTCGTGAACGGGTGGCAGTACGGAAAGGTGCGTGCTACTTTACAGATCCTAGATGATTTTGTCGGTTGACTAGGCATACGCGATACAGAGAGTGGCGAACATAGGACCGCAAGCGAAATTCCCTGTGCCGTCAGGAATCTTGGATCATAGCGGCAAAAAGTATGTTGAGAGCTCCGTATGTTTCTCCTGCACGGGCGCTGACTCTTCATCTCAGCACTGTTGCGATTGCCCTGTGGGCCCTCGAGAACGCGGCGGTCTCTCCGACGCTCGAGCTTGTTCTGGACGAAGCAGTCGAGGGTGGGGTTGGACAGGTCGCTGTGAATAATCCGGCTTGGACGCCTCGTGAGTAAAGTGGCTGTGATAGTCAAGCAATGAGCGGGACGTGCAGACACTTGATTGTAAAAGCATGTAAAATTAAAGCCTGAATTCTCTATCACAATGATCGGCGTGGCGGTCCTAGCACGCGAAAGGGGATCATCAACTCGAGCCACTACCAAAGCCTCCATTTCCTTCGGTTTAACGAAGTATGAGCAGAGTAATTGCTATAAAGTTAGTGATCCAAAAACGTTTGGCTTTAGTTTCGGCAACTTCCTTGTCAGCCTGCGCCCGGGCTTCGTGGTTGTGTTTTCTGCCTTGAACGTCTCAGACCTGACTCCTGAGCTGGTACACGCTACTTCCGGGTGAACCGTGCTTCGACGGCACTTTGTGTGCGCTACCACTGACGTCGCACAAGGGCGTGAGTTTGCGGTCGCGGAGGCAGCAATCTTCCCGAGGTAGAGAAAGGTCGCCAGGTAGACCTTCTTGACTTGCCTTTCGGGATAGGTGCGTGTCCTAACAGCCCTCAACATGTTGAATTACAGAATTGACGAATCGCAGTGAGTGCCGTGCCTTGCCCATGTAGGTGCTGCCATATGACGTCCTATGGTATTAACAGCTAGAGCGTCATGTCGGTAAGCGCGGCGTCGGAGTGGACACGAGGAACTTACCAAGCTCAGAAAGACCAGAGGTTCTAGGCGGGACGATTGTCAAAAAGCCGTATTGCCGTCACCAATACTTCGAGATCTGACGCAGTACCGTTGATGGCTTGACTCTGGCAGAGAGGAGGGTGTGCGCGCGTAGCGGCACCAAGGGTCATTGTGCAGTCGTCTTGCGGACACCTATCACGTCCAGCTACGCGTCTCGAAGACAGCGTTGCATTATTACGGAGAAAATGGGAATATAATTTAAAGCCTCTGTTGGGAAGCAAGTATCGGGTTTCGATGTACATCCATCTGGTGCGCACTCAGCAGCATGATATTGAGCGCAATTAGGCTTCTGCCAAGCTTACCTCTGTCGTGGACCGACGTCGCGGCTTATTAATGTTGAGCACCCAGCGGCAAGTTGAACCAGGATTACTATTCCGCTCCGGGCCGGAGAATGTGGGCCCTGAGAATGCTCTGCGGCAGGCGATATCTGTGTCTCTGTCCCTGGACCGTGGCACCGTTGGGCAAGCGTCTTTCTTCATATCCCTGACCCGATGTGCGGAAAACGGATGCACATAATACCGACCATGAGCCTGTTTCAGGGCTCTCCGGACGCGCAGAAGGCTTGGCGATGCAGCATTCGCATTCAGATGTCCAGAGGCAAACAGACAAATCAAGAGGTCCAGTGTACCTGCATACGAAACCTGCGTCGTATCACTCGTCTCAAACGCATGCATTGGATGTCGCAGCGGGATATATGTCATGGTTAGGAGGTATTTTTCTTCGCCTCCATCGTGGATACCACATGCCGTGGAGCTCCCGCGTCGGGGCACAGATTTTGGTGATGCGTTGGACCCACTACGATGGATGTCAGTTGTCAGCTGGTCAGATAGGCCATCCAGAAACTACTTACAGTGGAACCCTAAGGGTTATGAGAGGCACGAGCTGTGCCTGATCAACAGCTAAGATGATAGACTTCGGGGAAGTTGGCGAGGCACGGTGCCTGGATGGTGCAGCAAGGCGCATCAGCTGATCCCATCATCCCGACGTCCCGGCGTCTGGGCCTCCCGACATCAACACATACTCACCGAGATATCTGCTTCAGTCCTCTATGTCTTGCGTACGGGCATACTGATTCTTTATGTGATAGCCTCAATGTGCCACACCGGACGCAGCATCTTCATGGCACTCACTAGCGCTGTGTGAGACACCGCGCGAGCTCAATGTCAATGCCACTGAGCAGTCAGAACAGTATCAAGGGTTCGAAATTGCTCACTGAATTGCTCAAGCAGTGGTTGCAATCAGACCAAACCGTGCGGCTCTCTTGGATGATAGATCATATTGATTGCAAGAACATACAGGAGGCAAACGAAAATTAGCCATTGCGCTGCGGCTTGGACGGACTCGGGGCGCTCGTGCGGGGTCGTCCGTCAATGTAAGTGGCTCCAAGTGCCCGCTTATTTTGATAAACCCATCGGGTGTAAGGTCCCCTCGACGGACAGTATGCACCACTGGGGCATATTGTCCATCGAGGCGAGCCTGACTTCTCGCAGCCAGAACAGACTCTTCATAGGCCGGTCCCCAGCAGACGATGAACGATTCTCGTGACGTATTCATTAGTAAGTGACGTAGCATGCTCCAGTGTAGTGGTGCTTATCTGAATATAAAGCTACGTAGCACCCTCGAAGTCAGTGCCCCATGCGCCAGACGTTGGAGAGCCATGCAGCCTATCATCTGTTCGACAAGGGTGCATGATCTGATTTAACGCCACCTGTTCCGCCGGAGGTTCGACTCTCTGATGAGGTCCTTTTATAGACCCAAGGATCCTCCAGCTGCGAGCATATCGAACACCCAAACGTCACCGTTCCCAGAGAACGAACAAACGATAAACCGTGAGTATTCTCGTTTTGCGGTATGATTAGTAACCAACGATTTGTCCACGATAAGTCCCGATAACGTCACGCAAGGTGCTGCTTCCACTCCCTCCCCCCGCTATATGGGCAAGCTTCCCGAGAGTTCAGCCAGGTCTGTGAGAGTATTCGTCACTTGTACATGGTCGAACCGACGCTTGGATCGTACTCGTAGCATAGCTTGGTCCAATGCGTGATTCTCTCGGCCCTTCTATTCGAGGAACTCGTGATCAGTACGTTCCATGTGGCATCAGAATTGAAGTCAAACTCACCATTGTTCCGTTTCAGACACCGATTACCCAGCGGCTCCTCTCCGTGGACCCGCCGTAAGAACCTTGAGCTCGGTCGGGCTAGTACATGGTCCCCTCTTCGAACCGCTACCAACATCGACGCTGTTTCACCTCGACCGATCTCGGTTAATGGACGACTGTAACGTTGAGAACAGTCGGGCGGCGAGATGACCGACCCCAGGGAAGTGAGGCTCGCGCGAAGACCGGTGGCAGTTGCCAGCGCAGACCAACACATTAAAAGATCTGATAGCGCGATCCTATTCGGTTCCCGGAGGGGCAAGACAGCCTACGGATCATCAGGACGGCGATGGGAACGCGTAATTTATGGTCATCGAGGCCATTTTTGGCCAGATGAGCTTTTGTCAGGCTGGCGCCCGGTTCGGTAGGACGAAGGCGAACCGCCGCTACAGAAATGGGACTCGCTCTCAGCATGGCAGTAGGTCTCCGTCGCTCAAGTTGGACGAATTCAAGCGGTCCACGATCATATACCGTAAGCATGCGTTTTCCTTACGGCACGATTCATCTGCGACGGTTTTTTGAATAAGCCTACGTCTTAGAGCCGGTGATTGGGACCTCATTTCTTACCAGTATCCTTCGCATAGCAGGTTATGGCATGTAAGGATACAACCCTCTCGGTAAGTCGTCCGGCATATGTGGACGACTGGGATATCGAAACAATGAGACGTCTCCCAAGACGTCGGTGAGGACACACCCTGGATTGATGGTGCACGCGTTCAGAGACTGAATTCGTCACAGTAGGGCACGGAGGACCGTATCTGTTGCGGTCTGTTTGGATAAAGTGCCGGTCAAGCCCGACGGACCGAGCCGACGGGGCAAGTCTCGGTGCTAATCAAGGCGCCGGTGCCGCTGCGCACGTACCAGCCTTTTCCGTTGCCAATCCTGACAACGTTGTTGTTTCGCTTTACGACGGCCCACCCATGCGGATACGTTCTGCGCTGACTCCCGAAGAACTTGACCGCCTGCCACATTTCTCTATCTCATATATCGTTTGCGCTGTAAGCCTCATAGTTTCTGATTTTGGCGACGCCAGGCAATTTGGTTCATGGACTATGCAGGTGCGCCTCTTACCACTTCATTGATGATCAGCCTCCTTATCGACTTGCAGACCACTGGCAGTGCCCGCGACACGCCCCGCTGAGGCACAAGCACACTCATCACTCGACTTACCTTCCTACCGAGCCTTTCTGGCCTCATCGAATGGAGTCGCAACCTCTGCCACCCGCGTGCTATCTTTCTGCGGGTGAGCAGGCTCTCCTACCTCGCACCTGCTTTCTCACTCAGTTTTTATGATCCTTTGGTTAGGCTACTGCTCTATGTATAGCATACTGGCCGGCAAGTGCCAGAAACGACACCACGGGCCGACCGTGCGGAAGGCTCGCGACTGGTTGCCATCTCCGTCAGTCCTATCGCCTCGCACCCCTGCCTCGCTACGAGTGGACGAAGATCGCGTTCACAAGGCCGACAGCCGCTTTCCGAGGACTCTCAGGCTCGAGTGAACGGCAGGGATGATCGGGACGGGTGTCGAAGCCAGGAACCGTACGTGTCACTGTTCTTGCAGTCGGCACAGCCCGCTGACCGACGTGCTACAGGATCCGACCCTGGCTGCGACCGCACACGAAGGCCACACGATAGGCCTGCTCGGCCACGGAAGGCGTACTCTAATCCGTCATTTGTCCTCGGACGGCCGCGCTTCCAGCAGTTCCGACTGGTACTCATGCTCAATGCTCAGCCTGCGAGCGGGATTTACGTCCGCGGCTTCTGTGGGGTGGCTGAAGACTCTCGCGCATGCGAATGGCCGTTCTGGGCCTTTGCACTGCCCGACATGCAGCAGTTGGAGCAAAGTGGCGAAGGCGGAACATCAATGATCCGGCCGGTCGCGGTTGAGAAGCGTCCAGCAGTCGTGAATGGGACGTAATAGCCAACAGTCATCACCGAGGTTCGATGCGGTACGTTAGGATAGAAGGAAGAAACAAGGTGCGTTCCCGAGCAAAAGGTCTTGTTTGACCTGCGCTGATGTAGTCTGACATGATGGCTGCGCTAGGAAGCAGGCCTTGCTGGGCAAGCCGCGCTAGCTCCGAGCATTGGCATTGCCATGGCTGTGCACACTGTCGCGAACCGTGAACAGCAGGCAAATCGAGCCCGCGAGTCAGCCTGATGGCAGCTGCGCTGCCCTTCGTGGCACGCACCGGGACGCGGTACCGGGCCTTCACAAAACCACACCGTCCGCCACTCAGTATACCTGTGCTCAGACCCACATCGTGATCCATGTCTAGAGTACTTGATGTGCATGAGACCGACTGTCCAAGCGTTCAAAGCCCGAAGTAGGGCAAGTACTAGTACTGTCCAATGAAAACTCGAGGCCTTTCTTGTCTTACGAAATCCCGGTGCTGTTCGGGCTTCCCGCATCGCCTGCTTGACAGGGGTGGCCTAGGCATGCTTGAGATGCGCAATGTCATCAATCTCGTCGTGCGTGAAGAAGCGCGAAGCGTTTTTCACGGACGCAAGCCTGGAGTGCACTGCAAGAGAACAAGGGCCGTTGGGCGTCTATTGGCCGGGCCCAGGCCCCGGGAGCTTTCTAGTCCACCGAGAACGCCGCAGGATTCAAGCGCGGCACGAGCAGGGTCTTCTGCAGGCCCGCTCTGGCATTGCTGTGCTCGCTCACTCTCGGCGCGTTTCTCCCCCCCTGCAGATCCAAGACTCGCAGGCCGAAACAGCAACGAAAAAAATTGAAAAGGTTTTTGCAGAGCCTAGCCAGGCCTGCGCGCCGGCCGCCAGCTCGTCAGGAGTTTGGTAACCACCCCACGGACGTCCGGGGGGCCAATTCGCCGGATATTACAGTGGAACCAAACGGAACAGCTCTCAAAAGCGATCGGCGCATGCAAAAGTGGAAAAAAAAAAGAAGCGTGTGGGACGTCCGGGCGCGATCGCGATCGTGGGCACTCGACCGCTGTCGCTGCGTTTTTCGACAGCCCGTGGCGGACGTGCGATGGACATGCCGCGGAGACAGTAAGCTTGTTGGACGAAGGACAGGCAGGCACAGAGCATGGGCTTTGTGGCGTCTGCGGTATACGGGCTCAGGCCCCAGGGCGATCAGAGATGTCGATGAGGCTGGAGCGGACCCGTTTTGCGGAGGAAGCCAAAGTTACAGTAACGTCGATCTGCGCGCGTCCCGCAGGGCCTCTGGTGCGCGCCCCGGGCGGCCACAGGCCGCACGATTTGGCGGCAGGGCTTGAGTTCTGGAGGTGTCGTCCGGGTGTCGCTCATGGATGTCTGGATGATGGTTATCTTCCAGTTTGCCTTTTCCAGTCCTTTTCCCCGCGGGGCGGACGCCGTCGGAAGCTGATGCGTCGGGCCGACGGGATCGCCCGAAACAGATGAACCAAGATCTCAAGAGAAACGGTGCGGATGATTGGTCGCTCCCGTGCGTTTATCTCGGAACCAAGTGGTGAGTGAGAGCATCCGATGATCCTGCCCAAGGACGAGGCAGCGAGGTTGGTCATCACGTCTGACCATCGCCGACGTGGTTACACGGGCGTGCGCGCTCCCGAAGCCCAGAGCGAGGGTAGCTGAGCGATGCTCGGACGTACGCTAGCTTGGCAAGGTCTGGCACAGCGTTAGACAGGTAGAATGGTTTGTCTGGCGTCGAGGCCCTGGAGAGGGCTGCGTACAGACGAACGTCGCTCCGTTGTCTGCGGAACAGGCAGAGATGCGCGAAAACTGGGAGGCAGAGCGGTGGAATGTATGTAAGCGTATGCAGATGGTCCACCGCGGGAACAAGTCAGCTGAGGACAGACTAAGCCTATTGCAGGTCTTTTTTCTCTCTATCGACGAGCATTGAAATACGGATTGCGGCCACGGCTAGTGAACTGTCGAAACCATGGAGTCACGCGTCGGGGCTGGTCAGCTAGCTCGACGGAGAGGTGCGACAGCGCAAGGTTCGCAGTGACGTTTATTGGTTTCACTCTGACTTGTGGATGTACGCTAGCCCGGTAGCGCAGTGATATATTACGATGGCAAAGAGTCCCACGGGATTTGCTCTAGCACTGATGGAGGACGAGCGGTGTCTGGTCGTCAAGAACTCACAAGCGCGACGACTGGAAGGAGTGCGACACTGCATCCAGGTACGCTCGAGGCTGGGTATTGATGGCAAAGCCATCAAAAGGGGCCGGTCGGGGACTACGGACTATTTGAGAAACGTGGAGTCGATGACAGGACAGGGAACCTTGTTCGTGGCCTAATCTGCGTTCGCATGGTTCCGCCGGGAGGTGAGCAGATGCATGGAACGCAGACAGAGAGGCGAGAATCGGCTACTAGGGAAACGACCAAGAGAGAACAAGGCAGACGGGCTGGGCGGGGACACGAGACGCTTCGCTGTGTGCAGCAGACACGTAAACGATGTGATCCCGAGGGCTGGGCGTCCAGACGGAGTGATCTGGCGTGGTGTTAGCACGGGCGGGTGAAGCGACGATCCTTGTCCAGGACCGAGGGCAACGAAGGCGGCCGAGCGGACCATGCAGGAGGCGGTGCTGAGACGCCGGGAGCGTGGGACGGCGCGGGCTTGGACACTGCGGAGAAGCGGAAAGCCGCGCACGAAAGCCCAAGGAAAAAAGAGACCGACGATAGACAGAGCATGCATGCGTGAGGATGTTTGACGGGCGGACATATCAGCATCGTGGCGGCAAAACGACAGGAGACGTCCAGTGTCCCGTTCCGCGTGACGGAGAAGCAGAAGGCTCGGGCTGAATGTGGGTGTCGGCGGCGCGGGTGTTGCGCACACCACCTTCGAGTGCAGGCGAGATGGGCCCTTCGTCGCTCTCGGCGATGAGCTTGTCGGACAGCCGGGCGCAGCAAGAGGGCGTTTCATGTGGCGCGTGCCGGGGACTTTGAGGAGAGGCGGAGGCGGAGGGTGTGTGATCGCCACGGAGGATCGGTTCGGCTGTGGAGGTGAACTGCCTCGGTCTCTGCGATGGGACGGCCTGGAATGGGGAAGGACCGGATCTGAGATTGTCGGAACCGGAGGGACGCCGTGCCTGGACCCGAGGGTTCGGTATGATTTTGTTGTTGAATCTCCGCTCAGAGAAGGGGGTGCCTGATTTGCTTAATTGACCACCTCCTCGCTCAGGCACCGTCGAGTCTGTCCCCGTCTCGACAGTCCATGGACAACGAAATCTCACCTCAAGACTTCGTCGACAACTGCAGCAACTCGCCCTCTCCACCTCGCTTCTCCCAGTCTCCAGACATGGCCGCCGTCGTGGCCAATCTTCCCCAGCCGCTCTTTCAACCGCCCACGTCGTCCCCGACGACGACCAGCCAGTCCGTTCCTGGCGCTACCAAACGCTACCGTCCCGCCCCGGCCAAGACGTTCCAGTGCAGAGGCTACGGAGAATGTCGCATGGTATTCAGCAGGAGCGAGCACCTCGCCAGGCACATCAGGTACGTATTCTCCCCCTTTCCCTGCTTTTTGCATCCTCTGTCATCAGGGGTCCTCTTTCTCCGAGAACATTTGCCCAAGAACAAAGTGTCACCATCGCTTTCGCTTTCATATCCTTCGCTTTGACCACCTGCTTCATGCGGTTGGCAGGCCCGACGCTTTGCACCGGCGATGCCCTGGTCGTCCGACCGGTTTCTTCCGTCGACGATGTCAAGCCGTTCTTCAAAGCGTGCCTGCTTTTCTCCGCCGCTCGCAGCTGTCTACTCTGGCGTTGCCAGCGGCGGGCGTGCCCTCGACGTCGCTGTCGTGTAGGCGCCGCGCCGCGCACGCTTTGGCAGTATTCGAACGCTTTCTGCTGCCAGCGATGGGAAATCGACTTCGCTCTTTAACGTTCTTGCTGGTTTTGCTCGTCGCTGGCCAGCTGCGTCCAGCGAGTTCATTTGCTCGTAGTGCTATATGTTTTGGACGCTTGCTCGGCAGCGTCCTGGTTTCCCAACGCTGCGTTTTCTTCGTCGAAGGGAGCGCATGCACGCCAGCGACCATTCCACCCTTATTTTCTCACCATCTCGTTGACGACACTAGCGACTGCCTCCTTCGGAGCTCTCAAACAGGGCGCTAGCGCCCCACATCATATCATTTCGCTTCGTCTCCGTGCATGTTGTCGCGTCACCCTCGTTTCGATGCCCTCGGCGCCGCCAGCTGCTATCATCCGCGATATGGGCTGTTCGGGCGCCTGTGCATGCAGCGCTCGAGCCGTATTTCCGACGTCCGCCACCATCGATGTCACGCCGGATGCTGTAACGCATGGCACATTCCAATTCTTTTGCTGCGCTACCCACGATACGGTCAACCATTCTTTTTTTTTTTTTCCTATTTTCTCGTGTCCTTTCGAGTTCATGGCGCCTGTCGGCGTCCTGTGGCTCTTGATTATCTGCCATTCAGATTCGCGTATTCCGTGCTCGATTTGGGCAGTCGTGGTTTCAGGGCAGCTCTGTCAGAATCCCCGGGCAGTGTTTTTCTCGTGTCTAATCTAGCTTTCTCTGCCACCACTTTCGCGATCAGAGCTAACCGTCAATTGCTCGTAGGAAACACACTGGCGAGCGGCCGTTCTCTTGTCACTGCGGAAAGCAATTCTCCCGCTTGGACAATTTGCGTCAGCATGCGCAGACCGTCCATGCTGACAAGGCGGATCAGAACGAGCGCATGATGCACGAGCTCACGTCTCTGCATGCGACTATGACTGCTGTGGGCAAAGGCGCACCACGAGGCAAACGCAGCCAGAACGCGCATGCTGCGAACGCTACCTCAGTAAATTCGGGCTCGAGTGGTCTCGACGGCACACTTCCTTCGATGAACATAAAACAAGAAGACCTCCCCATGTCGATGCGTCCTGGTACCAGCACAGGATACGAGGGCGACGACGATTTTTTTCGGAGTTCTGCAAATTGGACCGACAGCCGCCATTCCTTTCGTGACCCCGGCCAGTCCTTTCGTGTCCCCCCAGCATCTTCCACCGCAGCAGCCCATCTCCATCACGGGCACACCCAACATGCCAGCCAGTCCTTTCTCGCCCCCGCCTCCACCCCATTCAGCTTCAGTCTCCCCGATATCGGCAACACTCCCGGCTCAGCCAGTAGGCCCGGAACTAGCAGCCGTCCTCCAACATCAAGCGGCGGGAGCAGCGATCGATCACTCCCACCCATCTCTGCCATCGTCGCCGCATCCGGTGCTCCCTCCCTCCCTGTCTCGAGCGCAGCGCACCAACTTCCCTACCCACCGCTCGTCGTCCCGCAGCAGCGTGAGCAGTCAAGAGCTTCGCTCACATCATCATACGTTCTACCCTTACCCACCCCATCAGGCGAGTCCTCTTGTTCGCACTTCTCTTTTTGTTTGCTCATCTCACTCCAGGTCCGTATGCAGGGTACCGTGATCGACGACCAAGCACAGCAACTCGGCCAGGGACTGCTCCAGCAAGCTACTACTATGGACATGGACCCACGCTACCACCCTTGGTCGGCGCTCGCCCCGAGCTATCCCTATCGCTCGCCACTGGGCACGGACGGCGTGGTCCCGACCGACTCTCTGACGTCGGCAGCGGAGGATACGAACCAGCATCTCCTGCTGGACCATACGGCGACTCACCGTTTTCCTTCCATGCACCTGCAAGCAGCACCCCATCCAGCGCGACGTTCCCCTCCGAACGTGAACGCGATGCACCACCGGCCGTCTCCAATCCTCGGAAACGACCTTACGCAGGATCCGACGACGACGAACACGACGGTGGCGGGGGCGAGCGCAGCGATGATCGCTATGGATCATACCGTGAGCCAAGAGATGTACGCCCATATAGCTCTGGGCGGCGGCCAGGTACCTCTGGGTACGAGTACGGGTCAGAATCACGTCCTCAGTCTCGACGGCTCTCCGTCATGGAGCTCTGCAATGACGCCGATGCTGAGCCAGCAGCTCGACCAGCTCTATCACTATCAGGCGGCGCGTCTCGGCCCACAACCTCGTCGGGCATCATCACAGGCGCACAGCAACTCGCACTCTACGACCGGACGCCATCCCCAGCAGCCGGACCAGCGCCAGCAGCCGTCGCCGCCGGCCCATTCGACGCCGAGCGGCGCGGGGGGCATGCACCGGTACACGCAGGAGCTGCGCCGGCAGCAGGAGGAGCAGATGCGCCGTATCCAGCTGCAGCGTCAACAGCAACAGCAACAGGCGGAGAGGGAGCGGCGCGCATCGGAGGAGGAGCAATTCCTGATGCATATGTCCGAGGCGTATCGCCAGTCTTCGTCCGTGAGCACGAGCAGCGCGGGCAGCGGACGCCCCAGTCCCCCGCATCTCCACCAGCAGCAGGAGCACCTTCAGCATCAGCAGCAACCGGACCCGGTGGATCACCACTCGCACGCACACACGTTCTACGCGGCTCACCACCCGTCAGTGTACGGTGGGGACATGGCGGCACAGGGACTCCAGGACGGGGACCTGGATCACCTGGCGCTGGATATGGATGGGCAGGGGTACGGTCACCAGCCGGGAGCGGATCACCGAATGTATCCCCTCGTGGACGGTCCCCTGCATCCGTTGGGTCTCCCAGCGGAGTCTCACTTGGAATGAGGGCGTGAGCGCGACTTGACGTGCGCGTCCGCGTCCAGGTGGGGGTTTATTTATCATCTGTTACTCTTAAGCCTTTCGCCTTGTGGATCTTCGGGACTTGAGTCGTTCGGTGGTCTAATCTACAGCGTGGGCTCTTGTCCTTCCTTTTCTCTCGTGGTCGTCTTGGGTCGCCGTCGGCACTGCTCTCGCCGCTCTCGTATGTATATACCTACCTAGTATCTTGCTAATCTCTCTTCTGCTCCTCATACACGCTGAGCCCGTTCTTGTGCTCGCTCCCCCGCTCGCTCGCGTAGTGTACTTGTGGCTTGTTGTTTGCAGTAGTGTAATACCTTCGTGTCAATACAAAAATTCTTGCTTTCAAGTTTGCGACTCGGGTGCGATCCCGCTGCCCTGAGGTCGACCCCAGCGAGCGCCTTTCCACCCTTGCCTCCGACCACGACCTTCTGTCTGCCACCTCTTCTATGACCGCTCCACGTCCCTCTGTGAGCCTCGGGCTACAAATTCGAACAAGCACCCTCTATACAGCCTCTATGAGCGCGTTGTCTTCCGCCCTGGCGTCTGCATCCTGACGCACCCGCGGCCTTGAGCCCGCGGCTCTCCGTTACCAGCTGAAGCTCTCGAACAAGACGCGAAACAGATGCTTTCTGCACCTCGCTCATCCTCCATGTCGCTAGCCGGCGACTAGGTTGCTGTCGTCTTTCCGCTTGCAAGCCAGGTGCCTTCCAGTTTGGCGCTATTGTCGCCCCGAGCGAGTGGTAGTGTTGAAGCAGGGTGGGGCGACTAGACTTGCTTGGGGCATTTTGCAAAAGGTTCGTGACCGTCTCACTCTATGCCATACCCTTCTCTGAGTGGGGCCAATTGCCCTTTCAGCTATCCTACTTTTGTTCGGTGTCGAAGACGTTGGCGCAGCGACGGACCCGGGATTCGTGCATCTCGTTCGACGACTCTTAAGAAGCACCTCACCTACACATCTCGGGGAAGTTGAACCAACGCATCTGTCTTTCCTGGCGCGGGCTTCGCGAAACGAGCCATCGTTATCAACGTGGTCAGTCGTGTGTCGTGAATCTGTTCTAAACAGAACATGGACTCAATAGGTCTGACTCTTTTGTCCAGGCTAGAAAGGCTCCCGGCTGAGATCTTCAGGCGGTTACGGGGGAAACAATTGACGAACCTCAGACAAATGAGCTCATTCATGGTGCTACTTTTGTAGCCTTGGACCTACAAGCCAAACGCGGCACGATGTTTAGCGTTCTGTTTCGAAAGATGCGGCACGGTATCGGCATTATGTCTCGACAGTTCGTACACGACAGGGGCTCCAACGGCACAATGAAACTGGACGTTCCGATTTCGCGCGCGCTGGTCGAAGAGTTTGACGACGGACAGCGACGATATCAACACGAAGTCCGTCCAGCCACTTCGACTCATTATGTTATCTAGAGCTCATTTCTTTTTAGTCAGATGTGCTTATCGGATTATGTGAATATCATACGGCCTCTCAGAGTCTCTGAAGTTCAGTGTCCGGCTGTACCAACCCTTGCGCTGACGTAGTAGCGGAGTAGGACTCCAGAATCCGGGTGTCTGGACAATCGTGGTCAGCTGGCAGCAGCCCTGCTGACTTTCTCAAGCGTACTGCGCGTGCGCGGAGTCGAAAGCCTTGAAGGCATGTCTCGGGATCGACGGCTTCTCAGACGGGCTGACGCCACAGCAGAAGACGACTCGTGCTGGACGGCTGACTCCACCAGCAAAGCGTTCATGGTGCTCTCGAGGCCCGTTGCCTTTGACTACCGGTATGTTCGAACGGCCGGCGCTGCTCTGTATTCATTGAGCATTGGCCACCAGTGCGGGATCGCCCAAGCCGCTAATGGGATGGGCGGCGGCCGAGCATTGAATATTGACCCTTGGAATCGACGCCTGACGGCGGTCACCCTCGCAGGATGTACCTGATGGAGAACTGAGAGGAGAGTGACAGGGGGAATGACACAGCTATTGAACGGGGCGCTGGCATCTTCCCGCACATCAGTGCGGCTAAGTACGAGAAGAGCAGCAACTCGGCACACGCACCCCACGAGGATAGCCCGCCTGCGCCTGGACGGTCGTGCCCTGCACGTTGGCGCCAATTTTTTGCAAACGAGCTCTCAGTAAGCGCAGGATAGCAGTGAAGCAAATTACCCTGTGAAGCACCGCTCAGGATGCAATTTGAGACTCTTGGCGCGTCCGCTTGTATTGACAGCTGCCTTCCTTCATCGGTACAATGTCACCATGACGCGAGATTAGCCAGGGTCGTTACTAGGGTCTCCTCTGTCGCTTGTCTTCCCTGATTGTCAGCTAGTTATGGGAATAATGGTCAATTTGACCCCAGACTGGATTTCATACGGACGTGCCGATTATCAGCTTGTATAGAGGAAGCAGGTGCTCACAACGGGCTCATTTGATGAAAGAATCGCGAACTCAGAGCGAGCACAATTCATAGAGCCTTGGCCGACAAGCGAGTTTCCAGAAAAGCGCTTCCCTGCATTACACCGTAGTCGAAGTCATGACCAACGAGTCGCTCATACATAGCTATGCAGGCTCCGTGGCTACTATTTTGAAGTGCTCGTCGCGGAAATACATTCCAAACTGCGGACGGACTTCGTGAGAGGACTAGTGCCAGAAGCAACGAGTGGCGCTTTGCTTTATTAGCTGCACAGCTTCCTCCTTCCTGTGATAGGCTTAGCCACACAGCTCGGGAAGGCTTGACGCCGCGAAAGAGCTTCTGAGTCGACATGCCATGTCTCCTTGGTTACGAAAGCTGTAGCTCAGCGAGCACTGGCGCGTGACGGATAGTACGTCACCAACTTGGCTGAAGGCCATGATTCTATCATCATCCGCCGTCTCGAGATGGCCAAAGACATCGCTGTGCGAGCCATGGTTTGGTCATGTACAGGCTTGTCGGTGTGCGCAGACGCCAAGTCGTCGGGCTGATGGGATCAGTTGATGCGCCTCGAGCGTGCTTGTGGCCTGGATATTATCTCCCGACTGTGTTAATCTACTACACCTTCGGGCCCCCTCGCAGCCGTTAGACACTCCTCGTGTAGAGTGCGCGGATACGCCCAGCGTGGCGTACCAATCGGTCCCGACGTCCTGGTTATTCGATATGCCTTCGGGCCCCTTTCCCCAGCTGGGCAGCAGCCTCCCTGTTACAGTATGTGCCTTTGTTCGGGTCCTGCGCAGTCCCACGCTTTCGGGTGCAACTCGATAGAGTCGATGCTCCTGGTCAATGTCTCCTGCCAGGCGTTCGCGAGTTGTTGCCGAGTCCAAGACGCTCTGCTGGCTCTAGTGATATGACATGTCGCGATATACAGCCAGCCTCTTTCTTCTGAGCCTGCAGCCCTATAGCTCTTTCGGTGGCACAAATACCACTGGGAGGCTTGTCATTGCCAAGCTCAGAGACGCAATGTGGCGCACCAATGCCATCCAAATATTGCCAAATACGAGGCGGGTGTTGCTCAGGTTGCGATGTTGTACTGCGCTTCTACAGTCTTATATACCACTACATTCGCCCTATTCAGCATCACCTGGAGTGTCCTGAGTCAAGAAGGGACGTATCAGGGACAAGCTGTAGGTGGATAATGTCGATAGGACAAAGCACGCAGACCGAGGTGCGGGCCTCCGCGTCGGGTGCGCGCAAGCTATTACGGCGGGTGAGCAAGTCACTCCTTACTCTGAAGAAGGTACATTTAGAATCTTTCCTGGGCTGCGCAAAATGCTCACTTGAATGCAATTCCCCTAGACCAACGATCAGCCTCATAAACGCATAACGTTGAACTACGACGCGATCGCGCAGGCCATGGAATATCTTGCCCTACCAGATCTGTTGCGGACAATGGCGACTTGTCGGTCTCTGTACGATCTCGGCATTCCGATCCTTCTCCGAGACGTTCGATTCGTCCGCTCACGAGGCAATTATCAATCCCGTTTCCTTTTATACCGGAAGCATTTCCTCACGAACCCCATCCGTTTTGCCTGGGTTCAGAGCCTTGCCTGCCCCTCTATCGCCTTGGACGACCGCATTTACACACAATTCCTTGCTATGCCTCGCAACTTTACGTCTCTGCAGGCACTCGACATGGACATGAACGGAGCAGAGGTTGACAATCATCTCTCTCGTTGGATCCTATCGCTGGAACGCCTCCGAGAGCTGAAGATACAAAACGTGGGTGCCCATTCGGAACATCAAATGGGCCTTCTTCAGCGTATTGGTCCCAGGCTGAAGGTTTTGCACATCTCCACGGAGTATTTTATGCGAGCGCCGCCCCATTTCTATCCTCTTCGTGCTTTGGCGAGCTCTACTTGCTCACTTTGCTCCTTGTCCTTCTGCTGTAGTTATCCTGAAGGCGGGCCAGCTATCTCAAACGACGATAACCTGTCCTTTCCAGCAGTACAGGAGGTCACTTGGATCTCTGCAGAAGTCGTATCTGCCTGCGCCCTCATCTCTGCCTTTCCTGGACTCCGTCGACTGTACGTCGCAGATCCCAAGCTAGAGAAAAAACACATCTTTGCCCCTCGCCAAGATACTCCAGCAGACGTAATACTCAATCTGCGCATGCGCAACCGCAGCATGCAGCACTGTCACCGCGCGCGGTGGCAGTCGCTTGACGTCCTCCGAGGCAGCCCTGTCACGCTCTGGGCACTTGCCTTCCGGTGCCGAGTCGTCCGGCTCGAAACCGCCCTGTGCAATGGTTTCGAGAAGCCGGGGTATACCCTTGCCATTCTTCATGACGTCTGGCCGGAGCACCTCGTGTTGGGGGTATCCACCCAGAGTGATGTGCATCTCGACAGAGTCCTGGAATTCCCCTCTTTGCGCACCGTCGAACTCACCTTCACTATGATGGACAGCAAAGGCATCACGCAAATTCTCACCATACTGGTACGTAAATGTCTGTATCTGAGAGTGGGATCGTGCTCATTCCTTGGTATAGCAGGACACCTTTCGTCAGGTGTACAGACCTCGTATACGTCGACTGACAATCACTATCGAGACGTGGCCAATTGTGTTCAAGCCCGGGTTATGGCTCGACTCTCTCGAGGGCCTATCTCCTAAACAGCGCTGGTTTGAGAAGCCGCCGGTAAAACGCAGGTTTCCTGCATGCTGGCGAGTTTGGATCCCGAAGGTAGTTGAAGCCATGCCGCTGCTGGAGTACTTGAAGGTTGATATATGGGGCTATCGACCCTTCACCTGGGAGCAGGAGAATGACGCGATTGGTGCCGGCGCAAGCGAGGACGCTGCCTCGGATATTACTGTTGGTGATCGTTTTGAACCTGCGCTGTGTGCATGTGTGTCTTCGGACTGAATTTTATAATTCGTGCTCGCGTCCCAGCCGTCATATCTTGTCTCCGGGAGAGCCTCGTTGCAATCATTATTTATAGCATTGGTAGAAATACGTAGTCATGCCTGGCGTAAATACATGATGTGTGAAAACCATCGAACGGTATGTGCGTGGCATTGCCATATCACTGACAGTGTCATAAAGGCACAGCGCGGTATCCGAAGCATGCTCTGGCGGCGCAGCACCAGCTTCCAGCCTGCTTAACCCACCCGTAGCCTGCGCAGCACACACCCATCTGCCGCAGCCTTTCACGGGCCTTTTGCTCTGTGTGCTGCTCCTACAGCTCCTTCTGCCGGCGGGCCTCGAGCTCCTTAGCCTTCCGCTCGCGTTCGGCAGCTGCGGCGAACCGCCTGAGCCGCTGCTCCTCGAGCTGACGCTTTATCTCTACACCGGCGGCAGCCTCGCGCGCTCTGCGAGCGAGGTCTGCTTCGAGAGCTTTCTGTGCTTCCTCGACACGGCACGCATCCTCTGCCGCTTTCTCCGGTACACGAAGTTCCTCCTCATGACGACGCGCGCTTTCTCGTGCTGGGCGCTTATCCGCCTCCAGTTGGCTCCAGACACCCCAGGGTCGCCCACGACCGATGACAGCAGTGACTTCTCTTGCTGCGGAGCTGGACTTGGCACCGTTTTCGATTTTGGGGAGGCGGTGCGCACTGAGACTGCTGTCAAGATCTTGGGTCTGCTAGCCTTTGGGACAAGATTTTGCACGGGGAGGGTGTTCTTGGGCACCAAAGCAGACGCGAAGTTTGTTGTTCGCGCGATACACTCTTTCAGCATATCTGAAATGCAGGCGTCAGGGCTCGATAATGGGAGCTTTTCCCCTTTGGTCATGCTCGCAACTACTCGCTCCAAGGTAGCTCGCACCATCTGCTTTGCGGGTGTCTTAATGTTGCGCATTTATGCCATGTCGTGTCATACATTTTGTGTCTTTTCTTCTGAGTTTGCAGTTCCGCAGGTTTCTCGGTAGCACACATAGGCGTGTGATCGTCGAGCACGTCGAGAGACGCAGATGGGGCGCATCAGTGCCGTCCAAATACTGCCAAACATAGGGCGGGTGCTGCGTAGGTTGCAATGTTGCATTGCGCCTCAGCTCCCTTACCGTCACTACGGTCGTCCTCTTCAACGCTATCTGGAGCGTTTAGGAAGGTGAAGCACTAGGAGCAAGCTGCAGGTGGATAATGTCATTAGAGCAAAGTACGCAGGCCGAGGTGCAGGCACCCGCGTCCAGTGCGCGCAAGATATTGCGGCGGGTGAGCAGGTCTCTCCTTAATTTGAAGAAGGTACGCGTCAAACGTTCCTTGGACGTCGCAGACGTTTTTCATAATTCACTTTCCCCAGATTACTCATCAGCCTCATAAACGCATAACGCTGGACTACGACGCGATCGCGCAGGCCATGGAATATCTTGCCCTACCAGATCTGTTGCGGACAATGGCGACTTGTCGGCCTCTATACGATCTCGGCATTCCGATCCTTCTCCGAGACGTTCGATTCGTCCGCGTACGAGGCAATTACCAGCCCCGTTTCCTTTTATACCAGAAGCACTTCCTAAACAATCCCGTCCGTTTTGCCTGGGTTCAGAGCCTTGTCTGTCCCTCTATCGCCTTGGACGACCGTATTTCCACCCAATTCCTTGCTATGCCTCGCAACTTTACATCCCTTCGGGCGCTCGACATCGATATAAATGGGGCGAAGGTTGACGGCTATCTCTCTCGTTGGATACTGTCGTTGGAACGCCTCCGAGAGCTGAAGATACAAAACGTGGGTGCCCATTCGAAGCAACAAATGATCCTTGTTCGACGTATGAGCTCCAGGCTAACGGTCTTGCACATTTCCACGACTCGCTTTATGAGGGCACAGTCCCGGTTCTATCCTCTGCGCGCTTTAGCGAACTCACTTTACTCCTTGTCCTTCGAATGCTCCCATACCGAAGGTGGGCCAGCTATTTCACACAACAACAACCTGTCCTTTCCGGCAGTGCAGGAGCTGACTTGGATCTCTGCGGAAGTCGTACTCGCTGGCACCCTCATCTCCGTCTTTCCTGGACTCCGCCGACTTAACATTGGGAACCCTATGCTGGAGAGCGAACGTGCCATGACTGATCGGGATATCCCAGCAGATGCAATGCTCAGTCTGCGCTTGCACAATCGCAGCATGCAACACTGTTGCCGTGCGCGGTGGGAGTCGCTTGATGTCCTCCGGGGCAGCCCTGTTACGCTCTGGACACTTGGATTGCGGTGCCAGGCTGCCCGGCTTGAAACACATCTGTTCAATGGGTTCGAGAAGCCAGGATATACCCTCGCCATCCTTCATGATGCCTGGCCGGAGCACCTCGTGTTGGGGGTATCCACGAAGGGTGACGTGCCCCTCGATCGAGTCCTGGACTTCCCCTCTTTGCGCGTCGTCGAACTTACCTTCACCATGGGGGACAGCGAAGACACAACGGAAATTATCGCCATAATGGTATGTAGCGTCTGTCTGGTGGTAGAATCGTGCTCATTTTTTGGTATAGCAAGACGCTTTTAACCAGATGTATAGACCCTGTTTACGTCGACTGACAATCACTGTTGAGACATGGCTAACTGTGTTCAACTCTGGCAAGTGGCTCGACTCCCTCCAGGGTCTACCTCATGGGGAGCCCTTTATCAAGCGACCGCCGGTAAAACGCGGTTTTCCTGCACGTTGGCGAGCTTGAATCCCGAAGGCAGTCGAGGCGATGCTGTTATTGGAGTACTTGAAGATTGATATATGGGGCTGTCGACCATTCACGTGGGAGCGGAAGGATGGCACGATTGGTGTTAGCGTAAGTGGGGATGCTGCTTCGGAAATTGCTATGGGTGATCATTATGAGCCTGCGCTGTGTGCATGTGCGTCTTCGGGCTGAATGTTACAATCTCGTGCTCTTATCTTAGTTACTGTATCTGGCCCCGAAAGCCTCGTTACAGCCATTTCTGTTATATTGGTAATGACATGCAGCCATGCCCGGTGTAAATACATGGTAATATGTGAAAACCATAGAAGTGTACATGCGTGGTATGACCATATCCTTGGCAGTATCCCATAGACGCAGCGTGGTATCGAAGATAAGGTACGCTCTGCAACGCAGCGCCGGCCTGCTGCCTGCTCGATCTATTCGCAGCCTGTGCAGAAAACACGCATTCTCTGAAGTTTTTCTTAAGCCTTTGCTCTGCGCATTTTCCCCTAATGGTATCGGGCATCCCAGAGTGCATACGTCTGACGACAACGCCGACTCGTCATGCCGCGGAGCGGGTTTCAGCCCTTTTTCCGGGATCACGATGCGCACCGAGGGTTTACATTGATGGGTCTGGGACAGGCACTGCTCGATATTATCGCTGTGAAGCTCCGCTCTGCGCATGTGTATCTTTGGGCCGGATGTAGTAACATACTCGTACATATAGAGGTAGAAGTATGAGATACCTGCGAAGGGAATCTGGCTGAAGTCCACTACATCCCGAGTTGCGAGTCAGTCACCCAATGACCGCCAGCGGAGCATCGATACCCTCCCGACTGCTTAATCCACTGGTAACCAGCAGGGCATATTCCCATCTTTCTGAGCTTCTGTTGCGCTTGCTGCTCTTTCCGCTTCTCCTCCAGCTCCTTCTGTCGGCGGGCCTCAAGTTCCTTTGCCTTGCGCTCGCGCTCGATCTCGGCCGCGATGCGCTTGAGCCGCTGTTCCTCCAGCTGACGTTTGATCTCTGCATCAGCGGCAGCCTGGCGTGCTCTTCGTGCAAGTTCTGCCTCCAGAGCCTTCTGTGCTTCTTCGGCGCGGCGTGCGTCCTCAGCTGCTTTCTCGAGTGCGCGTAACTCTTCCTCTCGGCAGCGAGCAGTCTCGAGCGCAGCCTGCTTGTCCGCTTCAAGCTGCCTCCAGACGGCATCGGACACCCCGGGATCACGCCCGTCCGAGGGGGAAGAGGTATCTTCTTGCTGCGTGATTGGCTCTGGCTCTGGAGAAGCAGTGTCCGTCGCACGCGCAGTAGAGACCGTAGGTGCGTCAGCCTTGGGAGGATCAAGGTGCTGTACAGGGAGCGTGCCCTTCGGCGCCGAAATGGACGGCAAGTTCGTTGCTCGCGCGATGCGTTCTTTTAGCATAGCAGAGATACAGGAAACGGCAGCGGGTCCCGACAATGGAAGTCTTTCCCCTTTGGCGATGCTCGCAACTTGCTTAAAGGCGATCCGTACCATTTGCTTAGCAAGTGTCTTCATGTCGCGCGCGTTGCCCCACGAATCCAGCGCAGAGAGCTGTGCCACTAGCGACACCATCCGCTTATACTCGTCCAGGTACGTCGCCTCCAGAGCTGCGCAGTCGATATCGTTCTTCGCGAGGTCCTTTTTAAGGATTTCAAGGCAGTGTTCTGGCGACATGTTGTCAAAGTATACCTCCTCGGGGAACCGACTCGCAAGCCCGGGGTTGACAGCTAGCAGTGCATTCATTTCCTTGTCGTACCCGGCAATGATGACGATGAGCTTCCCAATGAAGGCCTCCTGCGTGAGAATTCCGACGAGCTCATCCATTGCTTCCTTCGCGAAAGGACCTTCACTGAGACGATACGCCTCATCGATGAACAGAACCTTGCCGAGTGCGCGTTCAAAGACTTGTTTCGTCTTTGGGCCCGTCTGCCCGACGTACTGGCCCACAAGGTCGGAGGCAGAGCACTCAGCGACCTCCGCGGATGACAGGAAGCCCATGTCGTAGTACACCTGGCCCATCTTGCGCGCCGTAGTCGTCTTACCGGTACCTGTACGATGTTAGTTCCATAACCATGGGTTACATATGTAGATGCTCACCCGGGGGTCCCTTGAAAACAAAGTTGGTCGGAATAAGATGTCGCGCCTCCCGAGGATCCTGTCCGCGCAGCTTCGTGACACGTGAAATGTTCTGGTACTCTTGCAGCTTCTCCACAATCTTCTCGCACCCGACGACATCCTCGAAAAGCTTCTTCAAGTTCGTGTCGGAGCTTTCCGCACGGTTGAAGTTAGGGTCAAAGTCGATAGGCTCGAAGACGACGTCGGACGATCGTTGCGATGCAGAGAGTTTGGACTGACGCGACTGGTAATTATTCTTCGCCTTCCCAAGCATATTCTCAACCTCGCCGCCATTCCCGAAATTAGGTCGGTTACGAGCCCGGTTGAGTATGTCGATCGCCACTGTCTTCGCCTCAGGTGTCGCGTTAAGATCTTGCTCCTTCAGTTTCAGGTTAAGGATTTCGAGAAGTTCTGAGTCCGTGAAATCTTCGAAGCGGAATGCATCTTCGATAGCAAAACGGCGCGAAAGACCTGGGTTTACATTCTACGACGCAGTTAGTACCACGGCACGTATGAAAGGTCGAGCGGCAGTCACGGCATTACCTGGAACATTTCTCGCATCTGTGGTTCATATCCGCACATGAGAACACATCTGTCTTCGCCAGGGACACTCTGAACCTCCGCAACGATGGTATCAATAACGGCCGTCTTGTAGGGGTCGGCCTGCTTCCCGCCACTTGCACCTCCGCCCCCGTACAGCGAGTAGGCCTACAAAACTTGTCAGAGACGAGAAGTCCCATCAGAGAAACATAGGTTGTACCTCGTCGATAACAAGCACCTTGCCAACCGTGGCTGCTAGGATCCCCTTGGTGTTCCGTTCTGATTCCCCAAGAACACTTCCGACGAAGTCGGCAGGATTCTTGAGCACAACTGTACGGCGAGTCAGGATCAAGGCCAGACGGCCGGGCCGTTCAGCTCACCTTCGCCGTTGCTCAAAAGTCCGATATCCGCTAGAATTTGCCCATACAGCTTTGCAACCGTTGTCTTGCCCGTTCCAGGATTACCGAGGAACACGCGGTTGAGCGACATCTGGATCGGCTGCTTTTCTGCCAGCTCCCGCCTATAGTTTGCTGCGATGAGATCGAAGAGGTTCTGGATGGAACGTTTGACTTCGACAAGGCCGGTCAGCTTGTACAGCTTCTTCCACGCGGCGCTCTCCAGAACCGCCTTCGAAGGGTCAGGGCCGATGATGTCCTCTTTCGTCAGTAGGAAGTCGTCCGGGTCCATTCCCATTTTGCGCTCCTTCGTCAGACGCGTTGCTTGTCGCTCGGAAATGGTCGTGAACATATTTTGAAGCGCTCTTGCATTACCGAAACCTTCCTTCCCTCGTCCCCTGCCCAGGCGCCTCACGGCGACGCGCATATACAGTCCGTACATCCCGCCTTCGAGCTTCATCTGACCCATATACTTCTTCGTGATATGCTTGTCGAGCATAAGTTGGAGCTCTGGGTCCTTGTAGTCGCTGAACTGCAGCGAATATGGCACACGGCTCTGCAGACCTGGGTTATGCTCGAAGAACTTCTCCATCTGCTTGTTGTAGCCCGCAAGGATGAAGACTATCTTGCCAACGTTGTTCTCCATCTCTGCGAGTAGGAAGTCGAGAACCTGTCCGCCGCTAAAGTTGTGCTCGCTGGTGAGCTGGTACGCTTCGTCGATGAAGATCGCGCCGCCGCCATCTTTGAGCATGTCTTCGATCTGCTTCTTGATGCCGGGAACGCCATCAGCGGCTAAACGAGAGCCAGTCGTTTCAATGAACTTGACTCCTGGAAGGATATCGACCGAGGCAAGGAACTTTGCGTAGTGACGCGCGACGGTTGTTTTGCCTGCGCAGAGATTAGTTCACGTGCCGAAAGCGATGTGGTAGCGAACGCACCGGTACCCGGGTTACCCTGCAGGACGACGTTGAACCGCTCGTCCTTAACCGATGTGCCCTGTCGGCGGGTAGTATCAATCTTAGCCTTGATACGCAGCACTTGCGCTTTGACCTCCTCGAGGCCAGTCATTTCCATTATGGCGTCGATACTGGAGTTGTTCGCGCCTTCGATGTCCTTCTGACGCTGCCACTCCTTCTCGGCCTCAGAAGGTGATAAAGGAGGCGGCGTATGATTGTCGGTCGACAGCGGCGGTGTCTTGGACCGAACTGGGCTAGAGACGGGCTCGCTGGCAGGAGTGGGAGAGGATGAGGGCGGAGAAGCCGGAGTGTCTGCAGTAGACGAAGTTGAAGTACCCATGAGATACTGACCGACTTTGCCCAGTAGAGACGTAACCGGCGGAGTGGATGGTAGTGGTGTGGACGAGGTGGAAAGTGGTGGTACGGACGGAGTGGAAGGCGGTGGTGCGGACGGAGTGGAAGGCGGTGGTGCGGACGGAGTGGAAGGCGGTGGTGCAGATGGTGCGGAAGGTGATGGTACAGACGGCGGGGCCTGAGACTGAGCAGCAGCTCTCCTCGCCGTACGTGCCTTGGCTTCTGCGAGGTCCTTTTGCTTTTGAAGAATGGCGTTCGCGCGCTCTCGTGCTCGCTCTTGCTCGCTCTGTGCCTCCTGTTCGGCCTCTATCTCCTCGCCTAGCTTCACAATGCGCTTTGCGTGCTCGCGCAACTCCTCATCCCGCTTCTGCTGCTTCTCGAAGTCCTTTTGCTTCTTCTTGTCTGCAAGCTCTGCGTCTTTCTGACACTTCGTGCATGTGTTCGGAGGCGGCTGATGACACCTGTACGTGCGCTTGTGACTGTTCGGACACATGTAGTCCAACACAGCCTCGCATTTCATCTTGGAGTGGTCGTACAGCTGGTGGCATTTCGATGGGCACTTATGTACGCCACAGCTGAGCAAAGCAGTGCTGCAGAGATGATGAGGCGATGCATTGAACAGAGAGAACAACAGGGGTCATACCAGGGTTCTTGGCACCCGCCTTCGGGACATTGTTCATCGAAGTCTTCTGGGCGTTTGAGGACCGCTGCCTGATTGAGGTGGCGTTCGCAGCGCACAGGTAGCCCGTCGTAAATATGTCCGTCTTCTCTCATCATGGTAAACAGATCCGTCCAAAGTTCTCCGCCCTTACGTGCCCCGCTGAACGTCTCGGCATTGCCGATCATGATGAGGGCGTTGCGTGCACGAGACAAGAGCACGTTGAGGCGCTCGGGTGCGTACATGAAGCCAATGTCCCGCGAAGAGTTGCTTCGCGTCAGCGAGACCAGAACGATGTCGCTCTCCTCCCCCTGGTAGTTATCTGTGACTCATAATTAGAATTTGCACTTCTACAACATAGCAGTACGCCCACCGATAGTGGCCAGGCGAACAAACTTCTTGGCCAACTTCGCTGCCCCAGCCGATAAGAGTCCAGCGCGTACTAGGTCATATGAATCAAGATCGTTCAGCACTGGGTCCGTGTTCGCCTCGTTGAGCAACGCTTCCTGCAGGCGGTGGAGCTGACCAAGGTAGGGCGTGAGGATGACGACTTTGTCTGTTCCATAGCCATTCTGCGCAAGGTATCGCAGAATCTTGAGTACCATCTGGACCTCGAACTTGTTTTGCTTCGAAGACTTAGTACCTTCATCGCGCCGGTCCGCGACTTGATCATGTTCGTCCTCGGGCTTGTCGTGCGCGATGAAGACAATGTTGTCTGGTATGCCGCGTAGGTTCGGCCGATTCTGCGTCCCGGGCGCATCAACGAGCCCCGGATACGTGAGCCGCCGGACGTAGGACGATATCTCGGGTCGCATGCGGTGTTGCTTCATGAGTGTTGCGTGCGGGTAGCCGCGCAGGACCAGCCGCTCGAAGAGTGATCTGTTGAGATCGTAGCCGTCACCCTTCTCGACCGTCAGGGCGTAGTTGTCGACCTTTGGTCGCAGCTGCCTGCAGAATGAAAGCATTCAGCGCACTGGAACGTGTCCGGCTTGGAAGGTGGCTTACTTGTGGTCCCCAATAAGGATGAGCCTATGTGTCTCCTCGCCCAACGCGGTCAGGACATGACTTTCCAGTATCTCTCCCGCCTCCTCAACCAAGACAATCTCCGGCAATGCCTCGCGCAAATCCCTACTGTACTTTGCTGCCGCAGTCGTGGTGCAACCGATGATGCGCTTCGTGAGCAATGTCAGAGTATCTCCCTCGCCGAACTTGCGTGTTAGCTTCTCCTGGTACTCGTTAAAGACAGTGCCGAGGTCACAGAGTTGCTCAACGTGCTCCTTGACAATCTCATCCTGCCAACTTGCCAGGCGGGTGCGCCGCTCTGGGACAGGGATCCTCCAGACAGATGGTGTCTCACGGACGTCTGGAGTATCCCTAAGCACACCCGCGTCCTGGCCACGGGTCCATCGGTCGATGAGGTATGCCTCGTTGACATTCCGGCCGCGCCGGCCGACCTTCTGCATCCCGTCGGCGGCCGCCACGGGGACCTTCAACGCGTGATAGAACTCGGGATCGGCAAACTCGAGGTACTCCATCAGCTCTTTGGGTGAGATCCTGAGCTGCATGAACGACTTGAAGGCGGTCTCGAGCCGGTCGAGGGCGGTTGCCGCGTTGACTTTGAGTTCGTCGATCTGGTTCCAGTCCGTCCGCCCTCTGCTGACACTCTGCCTTTGGTTGTACAGAGACAGCGGCTCGGTGCGTTTCGTCGATTTGCCACCTAGGCGTACGAGGCTGCTTTGCGGGATCCCGATATCGAGCAGGTCCTCGAGGAACTGGTCCAGAGCGTGGTTGGTGTAGCAGCATACGAGGATCTTTAGATTAGTGAAGTCGTGAAAGATCTTTGCGACGAGCGCGCCGACGAAAGATTTCCCGGTGCCTGTTGCGCGGGTTCAACAACGCTTCAAAACGCCAAGGTTCTTGACACTCACCTGGAGGGCCTTGAACAAGAGCAACTCTCTTCTTTAGGCACGAAAGCAGCGATTCAGCCTGAGCGTCGTCGAGGATAATGGACTTCGGAGACTGAATTAAGCCTTTAAGATCTTGCTTCGGGTCGCGAATGAGGGCTGCAATGATTGCCTCTGGCGAATTCGGAGGCGGCTCGAGAACCTTTCCGGGCTCCCACTGAACAAGCTCAGGTGCAAGCGGCATTGAAGTGACTTGCTGCAGCGTCTTGAGGACGGGCTCGTAAGAGAATACGGCGGTGTCGATCTGGATGAGCTTGACGTTCTGCGTACGGAAGAACCTGCAGAGAGTGTCCATCGCGCTATGCTTGCTCTCGAGCAATAGAACGAACTCGGGTGGGTTCCTAGAAAGACGATCTTCGTCGCGACGGATGTTGGGGAAGGCGACGACGGTCCCATCGATGATGAGCGCTGCCATCGAGCCGTCCTTGATCAGCTTGCGGTCGTTAATGAGGTACTGCTTGCGATCTTTGGGCTTGTCTCGTTGGAAGAACCAGAGGTCTTTGCCGGGTTCCATGCGCAAGACGATGCCCCACTTATCGTTTCGTCCCTTGCCCTGGCCTGCTACTCCGTACATGTCCACCAGCTGGAGGCCGTCGATGACCAGCCCACGGTGGCGGCCTTTACGTTGGCCCAATGCGATCTGCAGCTCTTCGCGGAGCTCGTGCAACATGTCTTCGCGGTAGAGTCGGAACTGGTTGTCAAGATGGGTCGCGAAGCGTTGGTCAGACGTAGTGGAGTCGACCTCGGCCGCCGTGCGCATGAAGGCAGGCTCTTTCGACATGATTTCATCTGCAGTAGGCAGAACGCTGATATTTCGAAAGTCTACATGGTCGTTGTCGTGTCGTCCGCCCGGACTGAAGTCCGTATCGGCCGCGAGGGAACCGACGGTATCGACAATATGCTTCAGTTTGTGACCGAGTGAGCGGATGTTAACATTGGTGGAGTCGATGAGTCTTTGTGCAATGTTCTCTTCTTGAGCCAGTTCGCGGTACGGAGCCGCCTCGGCTGCGGATAGCGAAACGAGCTGGAGCATAAGCCACCCGAACGCCTGTTGGCCATCCTCTTGGAGCTGACCCGCGAGAAATGCCTGTGTGAACGCTCGCCAGAATATAGGGGGGTCGACGAGCTTCTTGATAACTTGTTCGATGTACTGACCGCCGCCAATATCTTTTAGTGCTGGCGCCCGTATATAGAGAATAAGGTTCGTGGGGTGAGAATTCAAGAACGCCGCGGAGAGATCGGTGAAAACTGCGGACTGAATGGATGCAAGACCCGCTTTGCTCGAGATGAGCTTGTCGATGCATGCGACAGGCTCAGGTTGAGCATAGATGGCCTCCAGAAATAGCGATGCATTGAAGCGTGTAATTGGCTGCTTCCCGCGTATGATGGTGTCAAATTGTTTGGTGAGCCTGGCGACTCGGGGATCCATGGTCGTCGAACCAAGTTCTTCGAAATCGGTGGGAGTGGTGGTGGTGGTAGATGCGAGCAAGAGGGAGAGCGAAAGAGAGAGAGAGCGAGCGACCGGAGTCGAACGATATTAGGGTTCCAGCAACCCAGGTAACTGTCTTTCCCTGAACTTTATCGCGGGCACTGGAGGCCGAGCAGAAGCGCTTCCCCAAACACGCGCGTCATTCACTGGTTGTTTACGTAGAGACCTCAGGTAAGGGTCGGCTACCAACACGGTACCATAGCTGTCGCGTAGGTTCCAAAGGTGCAACATAGGAGCAGAGCGTGAGTTTCAAACACTTCTGCAGCAAAGAAAAAAGGACAAGGCACAGCGCGTAATGGTTTTGAGAATGAGATGAAATAGGCAACTTTTTCACCTTTACGACGTCCGATATCCTCACATCCCGACGCGAAACCACCATGGATGCAAATGAGTCGATGTAAATACTAGACTGGTTTCGCTACTATCTTATGTTCTAGACTTTAGGGACCTATATAAAGACGTTCGAAAAGAAGATATGAGCAACGCTGTGTACCTCGTGGTTCAAAGCGTACCTGTTTGGCGCATTCTGAGCTCCGTGGAGCAAGGCTCGCCAAAGATCTTATAGCGAGAGATCGCGGCTGCTGGTGGGCGCCTGAGCGATGTCGTAGGTATATGAATCAAGTATTGACCGCGAAAAGGCCACGAGAGGCCCGTAGATATCCCGACCCGCGGCGCGTAGTGAGTTGTTCAACGCAAGTCTCGGAGAAAGAGACACAGACCGTTGTTTGTTCGTATTTACATACCGATACTGATGCGCCATCACTAGCAGGCACACCGTAGCGCCCACTCTTACCGTCATGACAATGCTAGCTCCTCGACCGCCTTCCAAGTCATTAATGTGTCATCTTCAGAATATTTTCACATGCATCTCGATCCACACTACGTCTAAGTGAAGAAGCTGCGATATGCTAGAAGTTCATACCCTCGCCTCACCGAGGCATCAATCACAGTCGCCCAAGTCCTACACATCGTGCGCGATGGCGCTCAACTGGACACCTTGGAGTGGCATGCTTTCATGCATTATGTCCGGTCTGTCGTGTACTCGGCTCGTGCTTCAGAGAATTCCGATTGACGGATACCCACTTCTAACATGCGCAGATAACTTCTACCTGCATGAAATCGAGAATGGCCATGGTCTTAGACCAAGACGGCATTTCCAGAATGGGGCAAGGCCCGGCACGACCGAAGGGTGTATATTCGGATCATTAACCCCGTCGCGAATTCCCTCGCTAGATTTCCAGATACTGTACGCCGCCGGGGTCAGCCAGAGCTTGCACCACGTTCAGCTGGATGCGTGGCGCCCCCTACCGTAGCGCGCCCGTGCCGTGCCATGACACGCTGAATCTATGTTCTAACTCGGTATCAAGATCCTTGTCTCGCGTCTCACCAGAACCCCAACGCCCACGGCCTTGCCAGGCAGCACTTCGGCTGCTTGGTGCGGTTCCTGCGTATCAGCATGTTGCAGTGCGTCTTCCTCACGCTGGCGGCGTGCATTCCTGAGAGCGCACTGAAGTGTCCTTTCCCGGCGCAGAAAGGCAGGCATGGTGTTATTCGGGGTCCAAAGTGGCAGCTGCGACGTGAACTGTCACGATAGAAACAGCAAGAGTCACGTATGCTAGGCGCAGTGCTCTCGGAATAAATTAGTCATATATAGCGTGTTCTCTGCTTGTGATTGCAATGAGTGCATGTTCGGAGGAGCCAGTTATCTAGAGTACAGGTCTATAAAGCAGTTTATAAGACTATAGGAGGTGTATGTTAGATATGCGCCCTCAGTCCGCGCGAAAAAGGACTGAGGAAAGAAGCGACCGCCGACGCACGGCAGGCACGAACGTTTGAACGAAAGGAACTGGCTACGCTCGTCCATGATGAACATCGACAACAGCAGCAAGCGAGACATCTATGCCAAAGAATGCGACACAAAAAAGTCGTGGACCGGACACGGCGCAGTGAACAGCTGCGTCACCAACTAGTGTCATCCCTCTGGGTCCGACCGCTTGAGGTCGTCTGCCTCAGCTGGTGACGACTCAGTCTTGGCCTGCTGGTCGGCTTGAAGCTCCGATGCAGGCGACAGCTGCCTGGCCTTCTGCTTAGCCTTCCCCCCTCGTTTCCACTTAAACACCTTGTACTTGGGCCAGGCGTCGATCGATATCTCCTCGAGGTCCGGCATCACTGACCGCATGCTCTTTATGAGCCGGTACCCTCTAGCGGGGAAGGGGAACAGGACTGTCAGAGGGGGATGCATCAGCGCGTTCGGCCCAATACGTACAAGTGGTAGTACGTACTTCTGTTTCTTACAAGCTCATACCCGTTCGTGACATCGACAGTAAACTTACGTAAGTTCGACTTGTAGACTCCGTTCACTGCCTTTTGCTGTAAAATCAGAAGTCAGCAGCTCGTTCGGGAGTACGTAGTACGTAACCATACCAGTGTGCCGATGATATCGGGTTCGCCGTAGACCATGATGGAGAGCTCGAGTACCTGGAGCGATGGGAAGCTGAGCACGCGGTCCATCTGCTGGACAAAGCTGGGCCGGACGGTGATCACGAGGTGCCGTGGACGGGTGTCGTGGAGGAGCACGACGAGGTGGCCAATCTTCGTCCCGATGCGCCCTTCGCGCTCGGAGAGGATCTTGGTGTCGATCTTGTCGACGCGGCAGCGCAGCGCAAGCGTCCACAGGCTGAGGAGGTCGCCCTGGATGCGCTCGAGCGACTCCCAGTGGCTCCGCTCTTGCGCGGCGTGGTTGCGGGACCGGTGATCGAGAGCCTGGTTGTCCGTCATGGGCACGCCGAACGCCTCCCACTTGAGCGAGACGATCTCGAAGGTGAATCTGCGGAGGGCAGGGAAGGTGGTCGCCAGCAAGCCCGAATCTACCCATTGTGACGACGTCCAGATGAGGTCAACAATCGCAGGGAACGGCGGGCCATTTCGCGGTATCATAGGGCCGGTATGCGTGCTGTGAGCCTCGATGAGGAGGCCGTCCAGCGATGGCGCGTACCGTTGCAAGATGGGGAGTGGGTCGAGTACCTCGCCGTCGTGTAGACGTGGCTGGTCCATGTGTACGATCTCCAGCCTGGCGTTGTGATGCCATAGTAGATCTGTGATGCGCGTTGGATGTGCTCCCATCTCACGGAACTTCAGCGCTCGCAGTCGTCTGAGCGACATAATCCAGTCGTACGCGACGGGGTTCAAGTCCTCTCCGTCCATAGTAAGATCGAGAAATTGAATGTTGGTGAGATATTGGAGAAAGTCAGTATATCGGTATCTCATAGGGTACGAATAGCGGGATGCTTCTGGCTTGTTGTCCACCATTCCGTATGGACAGACGAGATGCGTGACCCAAGAGAAGCGTAAAGGATCCTTGAGAAAGTGGTAGCGGTAGAGGTCGTAGCACATCGGGAGGATCTGTGGCGGGCCAATGATGTAGACGCCTCTCAATAGTATTGGTATCGCAAGGCGACGGATGGTTCGACATGTTTGCATCATTTGCAACAACTCCCAGGGGGCCAGAAACACCATGACCCTCTCGAGAACGTCGTAGTTCAGTTTCATATGTGGTTGAGAGTTGCTGAGGCCCTGGATCCCGAATTGCCAGTCAGTTCCGAGCCCAGAAGGCCTGTACATGGCCACTCACATGTTTCAGGCTCTGTAACGATGTGCTCATCCGCCGTACTGGCGCGAGGATGTCCGGCCGCGACATGTCAAGGTGTGCGCCGCCTCTTGGCATGGTAACGATGGTAAGTCGAACGCAATAGCTTGCTTGGCCAGTCGCGATTCAGGGTGAGGTGAGGGTTGGAGTGAAAGGGAGCTGTGGTGCCCAGTGGTGTGCGGGCAGAGCAGAACATCAGCTTACATCGTTTAGCGCCCGACGCCTCCCGCCACGTACAGTCAGTGTTTGGCGATGTTTGGCCGAACTGATGCGAGGCAGGTAAACGGTGCGCCACACAGCAAACGTAGCTCGTTGGAGTAATGTCCTTCGTTGGCGAAAGGAGTTGTAGCGCTGTGCTAGCGGAGGCGTACTGGTGCTCGGAATCGTCGGTGGGGGCAATATAACGGACATCGTATTGAGCTTTATATGAAGTACAAAATCTGCCACGCGGAAGAACACAGCACATAATAGCGCAGGCGGATACTAGGAAGACCACAGCAGATATGCAGCTTAGCGCTCAGCTTCTACAAGAAATCTGCCGAGATGAACAAAACCCAGAAAGGACGAGTATCGAGCGAACTACGCAGAGGTTAATATCAGCAGACCTTCGCACCACGCGGGCCAGCGGCCTGCACAGACCGATTATCTTTGGAGGTGGAGTCATTAGCCATTTTCCTTAGCTGAACGGAGCAGCTGCGGGAACCGCTGGACGCAATTCAGCATAGAATCGTGGGATCGCAGCTTACACGTAATCAGAGTGTTAAGCCAGAGACCCAGTAGAGAGGTCCTCGCCGTCTGTGAGTGGTGTAAGGCCGCTGGATCTCGCCCGATTGGCTGGGCGAGTCATGGTTGCTGTATAAGCATATTGGGTCATAAGGCGTCAGATGAGTTTAGCTAATGACGATGACTCATCAGCCCTATGGGGCTGGACAGTGTCCTTGTATTAGCTGAGCATCGGTGAAGAATCTGAGAAAAGCGTTAAGACGCGAGAGACTACAGTAATATAAGTAACTGGGAACTGGGAAGTTAGGCTCAGCCGCAACAAACATGAGCGTTAATCTCCGCGGACAACCGCGGACTTTCTTTCAGGCGCCTATGTATCAGTCCAGGACCAGGACGTCCATGAGCGATGGGCCTCTGGGAGTGTAATTTCGTCAGTTGACTTCTACTGGCGAGTCAAATCTTACGAGCTATTTGACTATCTGTTGAAGGCTTGACTACACCCCCAGATGCTCGTTCAATGCTCACGCTTCGACTTGTTTGGGCTTGAATATGGCGCGGCAGCCCGGGCTTCAAAATCTCTAGCTTGGTGCAGACTTTGTTTAGTAGGAAGTAAAGGGATAATTTACGTAGTAAGCATGGAAATTTCTGTTTACTTTCGCCTGCGTGCCGTGAAATCCATGTCTACACCGAGACCTGACGCTGTCAAACGGCGGCGCCGCCTTCGCATCCGCTCACAGTGCGTTATCAGCTAGGTTCTACGCGTAAGTAACACAGGACCCAAAACCAGCGGATGCACATGCAGTCAATTACATTCAATAACTGCCAGTGGCTGTGGACGAGACTCCTGTGTTTCTGCGGGATTTCCGATTCTGCTGCGCCACGAGGCTGTCCCATTTTTCCATTATCCCCGCAACTGAGCGCCGCAAAGACTGTCGCATATTGCATAGGTTCGTGATATTTCTTGATATGGGGCTTGAACTTCATGTCTCCGCAGGCGATGCACGTGCCTGAGCATAACTCAAATACAAGGATGCGGGCGGCTGTCCCACACCTTATATCCGCACCGCGAGCTCAGCCCTCTGTCCTAGACTCTGAAGCAATGTTGGACATCAAGTGTAACCCGACCGATGCCCTTGTATTCTCTCGTAAGTTCTATGCCGTCTTGGCTGATATCATTCGTCCCATTCGCGTCGGCAGCTCCGTTTACGCAGGACGGAGCTGTCTCTATGAAACTCACCAACACGCGCAAGACTCCTATAGCATTCAAAGTACACGTTAATTCTCGTGACGTCCGTGTTCAAGTTGCTCGATTGCTCGGCTAGTGTAGCTAATCAGGCCAGTAAATACAGTTGTTTCGCGCGTCGCCGAACATGGGCCACATAGAAGCCGGTCGGCAGGTCAAAGTCACCAGTGTGTTGATTGTACACCGGGATTTTCACCGTTACAACTGACAAGATCGCTCCAGTCACCCTGAAAGCGAACTTCTGCTCGTGGATGGCGTCTCCCGGAACGCTCGTCCACTATCGCGCCTCGTCAGTGCACTTCGGCGAGCTGTTGCGCCCCAGACGTACCAGGTTCCCTTGTCAGAACTGGGCGATTACGTCATTGCCCTGTACGGACTAATGGGGATACATCACATGACCCCCGATTATGTTGTAGTAATACGGACTAGATTACTCATGCTTACTGTACACGCTTACATACAGGTAGTACCATAGGTCCCTTAGCGGTATCAGGAGTCCTGACTCTCATGTATATATACTGGCCTTGTAGCACAGAATAAGAAAAGAGTTCAGTCGCACTTTAACAGGTTATGAGCCCCGGCCTCACGGCCACTCTACCCCCACTCAACTAGTCTCATTGCTGAAGAAGACCCCTCGAGAAACCTCGGTCCCCTTCACCCAGTTTAAAACAAGTTTATCCACGCAGTTTACGAGTAAGTCTCGTTGCGTGCTAGTGGCAGACGGAGCGCTCACGCGTTCATTCCTGCGTAATTTCTAGTGCCAAAGGATTTGCCCGCTCGTCCCCCTCACTCCGTTTTCCAGCGGTACAAGCACTCCGCCGGCTACGCGCCCGCCTCCGGCAACGCCAACGACCCCGTCGAGACCGTCCCGTACGGTAAACGCCGCGGCAAAGAACTACGCCCGCCGACTCCAGCGCTCACTCTCCCGTTCCCTCCGAACTCACACGAGGGTAGGCGCCTACGTCGCGAACAGTTCCGCGAGCGCTACGCGACCAACAAGGCCGACTTCGAGAAGCGTCTAGCTGCACGCGAAATCCAACAGGCGCGCGAACGGATCCTCGCCGGTCCGTCAAAGCCGACACTCGAGCAGCGTCTCGCTGCAATCCCACCGGCAACACATACGCCGATCGCACCGAAGCCGATACTCATCGACTTCGACAAGCACACTCCCGCCGACCTTGTCCGCATCTTCACACCGAAGTTCGACGGCACGCTCAAACGCCTCGACGTCTTCGAGACTCTCGAGCTCGACGACCTCAACTCCGACCGAGTCCGCAATCTCCGCCGACTCATCGAGCAGCTCACGCGCATCAAGCGCTGCCTAGCGGACGTCTGCAACGTCGTCAAATACGAGGAGTGGCGCAAGTGGGAACTAGGGTGCAGGGAAATAGGGGATATCTCGTTCAAAGGGCTACGCAAGAACAAAGCCCGGATTGTACAAGCGCTCAGCGCAGTTTACGTGAACGGATATTTTGACGCGGTTAGGTTTTACGAGAACAAGTAGATACTTTGTATACATCGCTATTGTAACAATCAGAAAGAAGTTCTACTCGGAAACCTGACTACTGTGTGTTTATCCTAAGCGACAACAAGTGTCGTAGTTTAACTGGTTCCTTCGTCCAATCCCAACTCTATCCACCTCTCGGCTAAATCGGCTTAGCTGGGATAAGTGGTTCGCTCAACAGCGTTCACAATCACTACCTCTCAGGAGACAAATACGGTACCTGAAACCGTAGAGACAAAACAGGAAACCGTCGCAGAATTCAGACAGCGACTGAATATAGCAGACGACATAGAGACAGACTGGGAAGCATTAACAGCACACGAACGATACGTCGAAGTGTTGCTAACCCCGTTCTACTATTACCAACACGTCCAATTTGAAGGACCGCCGAGCTATTATGCTACAGCGGAGTTAACAAACCACGACGAAGACGTAATCCATTTCTTCTTTCCCACAAGCTCCGACACATATTCGGAACCATACGCTTGTTACCTCGACCAGGAAGATATTGCGGAAGATCTATATTATAGACCGATCAATCAGACATACGATCTCGCATTCTTGGAAGAAGATTGGGAATCACTTCGAGCGACACGAGCCAAATCATACGAGCTCGATCTCAGTGATTTCTTTTACGACGTCGGTTTAAATCCAAAGGAACGTGAAACTCTCTACGCATACACTCGCCTCCTCTTCGTACACGATAACAATGTCATCCTCTTCTGACCCGACCAAGCTCGCCACATCCACCATCCCGCAATTCGACGGTACCAACTATAAAAAGTGGTCCGACGCGATCCGAGCCTTCCTGCGCTACCAAGGCGTCTGGTATTTGATCCAGGGATACGGCTCCACAGCGACCGTTCCTGTCCCTGGTCTTGCCAGACCAATATCTGCGACAGGTACACCCACGGCTACGGAAATCCTAGCTCAAGCTGCATGGGATGAGAAAAACGACAAGGCGCTGGGCATCATCCAGCTCTACGTCGCGCAGAACCTTCGTCATCTCGTCGATGACAAGTTCTTGGCCCTGGACGCATGGACCGCAATCAAGGCCGGCTACGAGAAACCCGGAGCGGTAGGCGCATTCGTCGCCTTCCAGAAGCTGTTCAATGCACAGCTCTCTGACAGCTCCGCACTCGGCCCGCAACTCGACGCGCTCACAGAGCAGTCCAACCAGGTCAACGCGGCGGGAATAGAAGTCAAACCTCAGCTTCTTGCCTTGCTCATGATCAACGCTCTCCCCAAGTCGTATCAGACCATCGCTGGTACAATTCTCACAACGCAGACTGATGTTACGCTGCTCACAGCGGCGCTCATCAAGCCCAAGATCGTCGAGGAGGAACAGCGCCGCGTCGCGAATCGCACTCAGATTGCGCGCGTCTCGAAGGCGCCACTCCTCGACAAGAAATGTGAGAAGTGTGGTCGCAAGAATCACACAACGGAGCAACACTGGGACACAAAGCCGGCGAATTCTGGCTCGAGTTCCGGTAACGGCAACAACACGCAGCAGCAGCAGCAGGGTGGCGGGAAGCGCAAAAAGGGAAGGGAAAAGGCAAAGCGAAGGACAATACCGCGACAACCACGCAGACTGTAAATACCATACGAATAGTCGATGTACCTGTAGTAGCTAAGATCGAAGAGGAATCCATCTCTGTTTCTCTTTATGCTACGGGTGTCAAGTCTAAGTGGATGGTCGACAGCGGTTGCACAACACATGTCACACCGTACAAAACTGACTTTATTCGGTACCATGAATTCCCTAAACCAGGTCATGCACACACGGCCGGCAAAGGTCAGACTATCGAAATCAAAGGTCACGGTGAAATCGCTCTGCAACATCGTCTCACAGATGGACGAATTCAGCATATCCGGTTAGAAACCGTATTATACGTACCGGAAGCAGCAGAACGGTTCTTTGCGCCCAGAATGCCTCTCAATAACGGTCACCGTATTGAGATGGATGGCAAGAAGTTTAAGTTACTCCGCGGGTCAGACCCAACACAGCGGACAGTTTTAATGGAGGGCGAATATGAAAAGTCGTCAGGTTTATATTGGCTAGAAGCTGAAGTCCTCACTAGGACCAGCGAGATTAAGCCAGGAACATTAATGTCGGTCAAATCCGACGATCCATACACTTTGTGGCACCGTCGCTTCGGACACGCCGGGAAGAAATCTGTTGTTCAACTACCTGGCAATGTCAAGGGCGTCCCAGATAAAATCACGGCACCAACCAGGGATACTCCCTGTGATGGATGCGAATTCGGGAAGTCTCGTCGCGATGCATTTCCTGCGTCTGACAGTCGTGCGGATCATCCCCTCGACTTAATACACATGGATCTTGTCGAATATCCGTCGTTATCACTCGACGGGTACAAGTTTGCCCTTACCACCCTCGACGACTATTCCTCATTTGGTTTGGTCTGGTATCTGAAACGGAAGTCTGATGCCTTCTCTGCCTTCAAGCAATTCGTCGCTTGGGCGGAAACACAGGCCGAGCGCAAGCTCAAGGCTATACGTTCGGACCGTGGGGGGGAGTTTTTAGGCCGCGAATTCGACGATTTCCTAGCAGAACGCGGAATAGAGCGTCAACTCTCAGTGGCGCGAACACCACAACAGAACGGCAGAGCAGAACGCTGGCAACAGACCATTCAGAATAAGGCAGAAGCTATGCGACATCACGCTGGCATGACGTCTGGGTTTTGGAAGCTAGCATCGGAAACAGCAGTACATATCTACAATCGACAACCTCTGCGCCGTCATCAATGGAAGCCACCCATCACTAAATGGAACGGCACTGTTCCGGATGTATCGTACTTTCGAGTATGGGGCTGCAAAGCCTACGTCCACACACATAAGGATGCGAGGGTCAATAAACTACAGCCAAAGGCTAAAGTGATGATCTTCGTCGGGTATGAAATCGGTACAAAGGGTTACCGGTTCTGGGATCCAACTGCCCGGACCATCGTTGTGTCACGCGACGTTACCTTCGATGAGTCTTCCTTCCCCAAGCGAGACGAAAGGCCTCGTGAGCCTGGAACGTCTCAAGATCCAATTCCACCTGTCCTACCCGACCTGCCGAACCCGGACCCTACCAGTCCGGATGACTTCACACCTGATAATCAACCCCCAGACAACGCACATCCACAACGGCGGCAAGACGAACCGCAACAAGAGGATGATGACGAAGTCAATGACGATCCAGCCGATCGTTATGAACAATATCGAAGCCCAACTCCGGAACCATACGAACATCCGGAAATACCATTCGTTCCTGGTCCACCTCCTGGACAACCTCCACCTCAGAGAGAACAATATCGTCCTCGTCAGAGCGGACCAGCCGGTTCATCTCGTCAGGCAGCGCCACCTGCTCCTGATATTAGGCAACGATGGAATCTCGAACCACAACCTGTGCCACACCCGGCCAGACCACAGCGCGAGAATGCAGGCCAACGCCGTGTTCCCGATAACAGCTATGGTGACGTCCCGCCCACAGAAGCATGGCGTCAACAGGAACGAGACATCCAACGTGATCAACGAGAAGAACGAGAAGCACGTGAACAACGTGAAGCCTCTCCAATGGAAGTCGACGATCAACTCCGTCGGAATTTATTCCAATGGATATGTCATGCTCACCAGCCTGACCCCACTACGTACCGCGAGGCAATGTCTCGCCCAGATGCGAAACAGTGGGAGATCGTGATGAAAGAGGAACTCAAGTCTCAGGAGGAGAATTCCACATGGATTCTGGTCAACAGACCGAACAACCGGAGAATAGTAAAATGCAAATGGGTTTATGTGATCAAGCCCGACGGCCGCTACAAAGCACGTCTTGTGGCCAAAGGATTCACACAGATAGAGGGGATAGATTTTCAGGAAACCTTCTCTCCCGTCGCACGCTATGAAGCTATACGCTTCTTACTCGCACATGCCGCACTCGAAGATTGGGAAATCGAGGCAATGGATATCAAAACGGCCTTCCTGTATGGCGAGCTCGACGAGGAGATTTATATGGAACAACCAGAAGGCTTTGTGAAGAAAGGACAAGAAAAGATGGTGTGTCGATTGAAGAAGGCTATCTATGGCTTACGCCAAGCCTCACGCACCTGGAACGAGAAGCTACACACTACGCTACTCGAAAATGGATTCAAACGCACGCGCTCAGATGCCGGCGTTTATGTTTATCATCACGACAAAGTCGAAGTTTACCTTATAGTTTATGTCGACGACCTTCTACCAATGGGTCCAAGTTTATCCGAGATCCAACGAGTGAAGAAAGTTCTTGCAGAGAAATTCCAAATGCGAGATCTTGGAGCCGCTAGTACATTCCTTGGAATGCGGATCACTCGTGATAGAAACAACAGGTGTCTGGAAATCGACCAACAGTCGTATACCGAAGGAATCCTATCTCGGTTCCAGATGCACAACTCAAAACCTTGCCGCACACCGCTGCCTGAAGGCATACATCTCGAGAAGGCTGTAGAAACATATACCGCTACTGACGCACTCCGCCATCACTACCAGTCTATGATTGGTAGCCTTATCTATTTGATGATTGGTTCACGACCCGACATCGCCTGGAGAGTCACACGACTCTCACAATACATGCAAAACCCTACGTCACAACACGTGGAAGCCGCGAAACACATCTTCCGGTATCTCCGTCACACCACCGAGTATCGTATCCGGTACTCTGGCTCAAATCAGTCCGGTTTGATAGGGTATTCAGACGCAGATTGGGGCGAAAATCGGGATAACCGGCGATCAACAACTGGTTTCGTTTTCTTAATGGCCGATGGAGCAGTCACATGGGCATCTCGGATGCAGAAAACGGTGGCAAGATCCTCGACGGAAGCCGAGTATATGGCACTCTCGGAGGCATGCTCTGAGTTAGCCTGGCTAACGTCACTCCAAAAAGAGTTAGGTTACTTTCCTACTGCACCACCACCTTTGGTAGCAGACAACCAAGGAGGAATCTTTCTCGCAGTCAATCCCGCTCACGACCGAAGGCTCAAGCACGTCGACATTCGATATCACTTCATACGCGAATACGTAGAAGAAAAACGAGTGGATATAGTCTACGTCAGTACGGATGAAATGATTGCCGACACACTGACAAAACCACTTGGTGCAACGAAATTTGAGCGCTTCCAGTCTATGCTAGGCTTGGTCTTCAGTAGATTAGGCAATAACTAGTCGAGTGGGAGTGTCAGAACTGGGCGATTACGTCATTGCCCTGTACGGACTAATGGGGATACATCACATGACCCCCGATTATGTTGTAGTAATACGGACTAGATTACTCATGCTTACTGTACACGCTTACATACAGGTAGTACCATAGGTCCCTTAGCGGTATCAGGAGTCCTGACTCTCATGTATATATACTGGCCTTGTAGCACAGAATAAGAAAAGAGTTCAGTCGCACTTTAACATCCCTCGCACCGGAAACTGCTCGCGCTCTGGCGTGATGTCAACGCTGAGGATCGACAGCTTGTGCTTGCACTCTGTGCCTTTCGGCAGGTCTTCTTTGACTCGTGTCCGGTACGACTTTCCGGATGCCGCTGCCCAGGATGCATCCGCCGCGGGTACCGTCAAAAATCTCAAGGCACAGCTTGAGGAGGCGCAGGCCGAGATCCAGCGGCTGCGCTCGCTGGTTGAGTCTGGATTTGCGCCTCTGGCGGCGCGCGACGTAGGGTCGCAGATGCGAGAGTGCTGTTCGACGGCAGGTTAGTCCCTATCTACGCCCACTTTCAGCGCAAGATCACTCGGGATAACCGGTATCTATTAGCACAAGAAAAGGCCGTCACTCGATATTCAGACGACGCGTCGCTCTTTTCCGAAGTGCCACCGTCGTGTATGTCCTCGATGGCTTCTTGCTTTGCCATCTCGCTGACTTGGCACCTTGGATGTAGATCATGAATGCACGGAGAAAGACGGAGAGGCGCCGAGTAAGATGACCTCCCGGCCATCCGGAGCACATCGCAGGCGGTCGTCTGGGATGCTGGGGCGCCTCTCACGGGTTTTTTCCAGAGCGGCGAGCATGTAGCGACGTGTGCTCATTCTAGCTGCACGTGCCGTATTGAACTCTGTATTGCTGACGTTGTCGCCGAATGGCAGCGCCAGCTAACATCTTCGCATCCGCCCATGAATCATTATCAGCTAGGCTCCACTTGTGATTAGTAATGGAGCCTAAAATGGCGGATGTACATGTATTTGATGACATTCAAAGGCTGGCTGCGGACGAGGCTGTTGTGTTTCTACGCAATTTCCGATTTCTGTTGCAGCCTGCGCCACAGGGCTGTCCCACCGCTTCCATTATCCCTGCAACCGAACGCCCCAAAGGCTCCCGCACAATGCATAGGTTCGTTATATTCCTTGGTATGGCACTTGGTGTTGCTTCAAGTTGTGTTTTCGCAAGCCTGAGCCTGGACAAGCCGGGCCGAAGCCGTCGGCTTCTGGGCCAAGCCGAGCCAGTCAAATCACTGACTCAAATACGAGGATGCGGGCGGCTGTTCCGAGACGTTCCACACCTTACATCCGCAGCGCAAGCTCGTCGCTCTGTCTTTGGCTCTGAAGCGATGTTGGACATCAAATGTAACCCGAGCGATGCCCTTGTATCCTCCCGTAAGTTCTATGCCGTCTTGGCTGATATCATTCGTCTCATCACGTCGGCAGTTCCGTTTACGCAGGACAAACCTTTCTCTATGGAGCTCACCAATACGCACAAGACTCCTGTGGCATTCAAAATACGCGTTACTTCTCGTAAAGTCCGTGTTCAGACTACTCGAATGCTCGGCCATTGTGGCTAATTGGATCAATAAACACAGTCGTTTTGCGTGGTGCCGAACATGGGCCGCATAGAGGCCGGCCAGCAGGTCAAAGTCATCAGTGTGTTGATTGCATACCGGGGATTTTCACCGTTACAACTGACAAGATCGTTCCAGTCACCCTGAAAGCAGTCAAAGAAGACCTGCCGAAAGGCACAGAGTGCAAGCACAAGCTGTCGATCCTCAGCGTTGACATCACGCCAGAGCGCGAGCGGTTTCCGGTGCGAAGGAACCTGGTGCGTCCGTGAGCGCAGTACTGTCCAAACGACGTGCACGCACTGACGAGGTGCGATAGTGGACGAGCGTCCCGGGAGACGCCATCCACGAGCAGAAGTTCCGTGTCCGATACGTCTTCCCGGATGCCACCGCTGCCCAGGATGCGTCCGCCGCGGGTACAGTCAAGGGTCTCAAGGCGCAGCTTGAGGAGGCGCAGGCCGAGATCCAGCGGCTGCGCTCGCTGGTTGAGTCTGGATCTGTGCCTCTGGCGGCGCGCGGCGCAGGGTTGCAGATGCAGGAGTGCTGCTCGACGGCAGGTGTGTCCCTATCCACGCCCACTTTCAGCACGAGATCACTCGGAATAACCGGGTATCTGTTAGCACAAGAGAAGGCCATCGCTCGATATTCAGACGACGCATCGCTCTTTTCTGAGATGCTACCGTCGTGTATGTCCTCGATGGCTTCTTGCTTTGCCATCTCGCTAACTTGATATCTTGGGTGCAGATCATGAATGCACGGAGAAAGATGGAGAGATGTCGACTAAGCCGACTTCCCGGCCATCCGAGGCACATCGCAGGCGGTCGTCTGGGATGCTGGGGCGCCTCTCACGGGTGTTTCCCAGAGCGGCGAGCATGTAGCGACGTGCGCTTATTCTAGTTGCAATTTTTTTACTCATAGCCATTCCCTGAGCTCGATATTATTCTTAGCTGGTCATGAGAAGTGTGAATAAATTCGCTACAGAAATAGAACAACCCGAATTATACGATGTCAAAGAGTTCAAGGGAAATGAGGAACATGGACAGAAAAGTCAGGAAGCTTGAACGCGTCAGCTGGAAGGTAGGAAACCTGCCTCACACTTTCTACAAGCAAATAAACCGTGAGATTAGCGTATAGGTCCAGATAAGCAACAGACCACAGAAACGCAGCGCTCTTCTCCCTAGGCGGCGGCGATGGCCCCCGGGACGAGCGTCCGGTACGGCGGCGCGTCGGTCGGGGGACGTGGTCGGGGGTTTCCCATGCGTGCCCTAAATCGCGCGGCGCGCGCCCAACGCATGGGCTGTGGTGTGTGCACGGCGTGTCGGGTCGCTGCTACCCTCGGAGGACCTGCCGGTGTGCGCCTGTTGCGGCTGTTGTTTGGTCTGCGTCCGGGCGGCCACGGAAGGTGTGCCTTTCCAGACGCGTTTCTGGCGCCCTCGACCGTCCTCTGTGGGTGGCATCGCAAGAGAGGGGCGCGGCGGCCGGTGGCGTCGCTCGTCGCAGGCAGAGCCTCGAGGGACGCCGACTCGCCGGCGGACGACGCCTGGAGGAGGTCCGCGTGGCGGAACGTCTCGTCCACCGGGTCGCGACGGGCGGGTGCGCCGCGGCCTCGTCTGCGCGCGCACCCGTGACGACGGGCGGCTGTGCGACGCCGAACGGCTTCTGCGACCAGACGGCGTGCGCCGCCGTCGCGACCGCGAGGAGGCTCAGCGGGAGCGATTGCGCGCGGCGCGCAGAAGTAGAGCAGCTGCACGACGAACAGCACCTTGGCGAGCGCGTCGGACCGATAGCGGCTGAGGATGCTCCATGAGGAAACGGACTCGGTGCGAGGTGAGGGCGAAGCGCGTTTGGCCGGGCTGGTACTGGGGCGTCGGGGCTGGGGCTGGGACGAGGGACGCGTCGATGTCCAGGACGAAGCCGCCCATGGCGGCGTAGAAGCTGTGCACGAGCGTCCATGCGTGTTTTCGCGTCTTTGAGCGGCTGTCGGCTCCGAGGACCGGGGTCGCCTCTGTCTCTTCGTTCGGGGGCAGCGCGTCTGGAATGCCCTGTTCGACCCCCGCCGACTCGACCTGTGGGTCTGAATGAGAACGGTGCATGGAGCCACGCGTGCCTGATTGGCGTAACTCACGGTGCCGACGACATGGACTTGCTTTTCTTCTTGGTGGCGCCACAGAGGGCGTGCCGGAGCCCTGAAACGGTTTCAACTAAGAAGGTCGCGACGGTAGACATACGGAGAGCACACGAATCGCGTATAGATGGACGTCCAGAGCGCACTGCCGCCAGACTCTGGGCTCGTCAAGTACCGCGCTTCGGAGGCAGAAAGATGCTTTGCGGGGTACAGCTGGCAGCATGCGAGGTACAGCAGGTAGTCTGGCGCGAGAAGCCCGATCGCAAGCGAGGGCAACTTGGCGACCAACTCCCACCTGCGCGGCCGGAGGGGGATATCCAAGTGCAGGGCATTCCAGACACATATGGTGAGGATGGAGGCCCAGGTGCCACGCGTGGCAGGGTCGGCGTGCGAGGATGCAGTAGGAGACGATAGTGGTGTGCTCGAGGTGACTCGAGTGGACAGAGAGACGATGTCTGTCATGCTCAAGGCGACGATGTCGCGTCAATGGACAGGAAGCCTCCGCTCGGTCTTGGTAGCTGCAGGCCTCGCGGAGACCGTTATGTAGACAATATGCCGGGTGGGTGCGCCAACATCGGGATAGGGTGACTGATACTGCGCCAAGAAGGTGAGAACGCTGATGGGGCTTTGATGAGAAAGCTGATCGCCTTCGGCGTCGGGCATGGGTCGCAAATGCAGAGCGCACAGATTCGGAAAGAGCGTCGAAGGCTCCCGAGGTTAGGACTCCGCGGCTGGGTGATGGCGGTCTCTCTCTCTCGCGTACGTGGTTCGTCGACTCTGCTCGCCCGTCGAATCTAGGCGTCGTTGGGCAGCAGACGATGCGACTGCGCCGAGGTCTCCGGAGTCCGAGGACACTCACGCGGCCGTCTTCCTTCTAGGATGCCCCGCCATGACATCAACGTCATCCGCCGCATTTGTCGATTCCGCTGCCATTCCTGCTAGCATCCTCAAGCGCGCAGAGCAAAACTGGCGATCGACGCTCCAAAGACGGCGGTGGCGCGTCCGCATATGGACGCTGCTCCCAGGAGGTCCCCCACGACAGCGACTGCTCCTTCGCGCGTCGCTCCCTCTCGCCCCGCAACGACTCGAGCACTCGATGCCCAAAGACAAGCTTGCTCTCAGACCACCACCACCACCACCACGCCCGTCTCTCCCTTCTCGTCTGCCCTCCAGCTGGACATCCATCTGCCCACGCTGCTGCCGGGTCACCTGCCCAGAGAGCCTATCGTAAGTCTATCCCATATCCTAATCCATCTCCGCGCTCACGCTCCAGTCTCCAGTCTCCTTATACCACCCTCGCCGCCATGTCAGTCCGGCGCAACTACACCCTCCTTCCGTCCTCTCCTCCCTCTGGCCCTTCCTCAGCCTCGCTCATCCCCCACCCGCCACCCATACCCCCTCACAGTCTGCACCCCTGGCCATCCCACTCGCGCAACAACACCGAATTCGACATTGAGGAGATGGCCGATGATGCCGCTGCGCCCGCCACTTTGCAGCGTCACAGCACGGACCTCCAAGGCGTCGGCTATGCCATTGACGACCTCAAGGGCAAGACCGCCATAGAAGCCAAGACCGTGCTCATCAACCGCGCCCTCGAACAGACCGGCATGGGTCGCTACCAGTGGTGCATGTCCGTCCCCTCCCCCACCCCGTTTTCGTCCTGTTGCTCACTCGCCCGCAGATTCTTCCTCTGCGGCTTTGGTTACGCCCTCGACCTCATGTGGGCCCAGGCCTTTTCGCTCGTCACGCCCCGCATACAGCAGGAACTCGGCGTGCCGGACGAGCAGTACGGCGACATCTTCTCTGGCAAGTCACTGCGTTTTACTCTCTAGTCTTTCTGTGCGACCAACGTCATCGTCCAGTTTTCTCGGCCGGTCTCACCGTCGGTGCCTTCACCTGGGGCATCCTCGTCGACATCATCGGTCGCCGCTGGGCATTCAACCTCACCGTCGGCATCGTTGCCGTCTTTGGTGCGTCGTTCCCTCGTCAGGGTTGCCAAATCACGTCCACGAGACTAACTGCCACGTGCGCCTACAGGTATGATCCTCGGTGCGCTCGACAGCTGGAGCTCCATCTGCGCCATCGTCTTTTTCGTCGGCTTTGGGCTTGGTGGCAATATACCCATCGATGCGACGATCGTACTAGAGTTTCTGCCCAACGTAAGTAAAGGCATGCCAACCCTCGCAGAATCATTGTCCTACGAGGCCCGTTTCACAGGACCGGCGGTACCTGCTGGCTGCGCTGAGCGTATTTCAGCCGATCGGTACGTTCTCATTCCTGTTCAACTGGCGCACACACGTTAACCACCCTGCAGGCGTCATCATCACCTCCCTCATCTCCTGGTCACTCGTCCCGACCTTTGCCTGCTCCACCGCCCTCCCCGCCTGCTCCGCGCTCCCGCCCGCAACACCCGTCTCGGCAGGGACCTGCTGCACGCGCTCGTCGAACGCGGGGTGGCGCTACGCACTCTACACGCTCGGCGCGCTATCCGTCGCCGCGTTCTTTGCGCGCTTCTTTTTGTTTACGTTCTACGAGAGCCCCAAGTTCCTCGTCGGCAAGGGCCGCGACGCGGAGGCGTGCGAGGTCGTGCGGTGCATCGCGCGCGTGAACGGGCGCGAGCTCGGCGCGGCGACGCTTGGGGTTGCTGAGCTCGAGGCGGTCGACGCGCGGTTTGTACAGGCGGCGCGCCGGGCGTCGCGCTTGGGGAAGGGGGTGAGTGAGGGCGAGGATGGGGCGCGTGCTGAAGAGGGGGAGGAGGAGGAGGGAAAGGAGAGGAGGGTGAAGGTGCCGGCGATGGGTGGGCACCTCAAGGAGCTCTTTAGCTCGGGGTACATGGTGCGCCTGACGCTGCTGACGTGGGTGTGCTACGCGGCGGACTACTGGTGAGTGCGCGTGCGTCACGCGCGGCCGTGGTTTCCGTTTGCCCGCTCACGTTATCCTCTCTTCGCAGGGGCTTCGTCATCGCGGGCAACTTTTTGCCCAAGTTCCTTGCTGAGCGTGGGGCGGCGCAGGACCTCAGCACGGCGGAGGTGTACCGGAACTAGTTGAGTGCTCTGCTTCGATTGGCGTCGTGTGTGCGCGTTGTGCTGATCCATGCGCCGCCTGCAGCATCGTCATCGCCGTCGTGGGCGTGCCCGGGGTGCTCCTCGGCACGGCGCTCATCGAGGTGCCGCGCATCGGGCGCCGGTGGGCGATGGTCGGGTCGAGCGCGCTCATGGGCGCGAGCCTGTTCCTGTACGCGACGATCACGACACCGGCCGCGAGCGTCGGGTTCAACGCGATGGAGTACTTTTGTGAGTGTCGCCGTCGTCGTCGTCGTCGTCGTCGTCGTGTCCTCGCATCGTTTTTACTGACTCCGCCGACGATGATGGCTTTTGCCAGTCCAGTCGACGTTCAACGCGGTGCTGTACGGCTGGACGCCCGAGGCGTTCCCGGCCGCGGTGCGCGGGAGCGCGTGCGGGCTCGCGAGCTTCTGGGGCCGCCTGAGCAGCATCGTCGCCCCGCTCGTCGCGGCGCGGCTCGCCAGTGGCAGTGGCAGCGGTGGCGGTGGCGGTGGCGGTGGCGGTGGGGGCAGCGCGGGCGTGCTGTATCTCGCTGGCGGAGGTGTGTTCGTGAGCACGATCTGTGCGTTGTTCTTGCCGGAGACGAAGGGCGGGGAGGTGTTGTGAGAGGGTGTTTGTGACGTTGTCGTGTGTCTGTATCCATAATAGTGTGTTTTTAGAGGTCCGGAACGGTTTGGCCAGATGGCTTCTTTCTGTGTATGATAGCATAAATATTCACGGTGATGCGACTGGAGTCTCCGTAGTGGGCGCTTGTGACTATATCGTCCCCCTCCGCCATTGATCTTGCGGTATCTCCCTTTTGTTTCCTGCCGAGGCGCACTTCCAGCAGCGTCCGGTGCGAAAGTTGAGGGAACACTCGTACGTCGATGCTCCCAAGTCAGACGATGGGAGCGTGGTCTCATCCGCGAGATTGAGTCACGGGTCTTCGGGCTGTTGGTAAGTTCTGCTTCGCATGCCTTTATGGCTGTCGTTGCTGACGAGCTCCAAGCCCTACGTCGAACAATGGACGTCTGGTCATTGGCCCACCCGGCGCGGGATTGAGTCATGGTTCTCAATGCTGCTGGTGAGTTCCGCTCATCCTGCTCTTACATCTGTCGTTACCGATTGAAAAAATTTAGGGCGATGCTGAGACCGTGTGTGGAGCCTAGCGTGCATGTAGGTCCCTACAACTAGGTTGGCAGGTTCCGCTGGTGGAACGAGACCTTCCAGGCGAGAAAGAAGAGTTTTCGTACGAGTGGGCACTCGTGCACAGCTTCTATGCAGCCATGGGCGGGTTTGTCTTGGAAGTCGACACATGGCTGATTCCAACAGCAGCTCCGGCACCCCAGTCTAATTCACACCGGACCCGCTTCGTCCTCACCGCACAAGGCGTCTGCTTTCTGATGAGACGCGCGCCCGATCTCGTGCCCCGTCTGTCTGCGACGAGCATCCGCAACCGCTGCCAGTCCGACGCGTTCACGAAGGCGCTGCTCGTCGTGCAGCTACTTTACTTCTGCATCTCCTGCGCCTCGCGCAATCGCTCCCGCTGAGCCTCCTCGAGGTCTCGACGGTGGCACACGCCGTGTGCGCCGTCGCGACGTACGCAGTCTGGTGGCAGAAGCCGGCCGTTCAGTATCGCAGAGCCGACCGTCGTCACGGGTGCGGGCGTTGACGAGGTCACGGCGTACCTGCTCGTCACGACCCGGTGGACGACGTTCCGCTACGCGGGCCGCCTGCAATTGTCGTCCGCCAGCGAGGTATCGTCCCTCGAAGTTTTGCCTGCGACGAGCGATGCCACTGACTGTCACGACACTCTTCCAATGCCGCCCACAGAGGACGACCAAGGGCGCACCAGCAAGGCGCCGAAAACGCCTCCGGAAGGGTACACTTTCCGTGTTCGTTTAGAGGCAGATCAACAACAATCGCAACCCGCGCACATCGGCAGGTTCTCCGAAGGCAGCAACGACCCAACGCGCCGTTTGCCACGCGCTGGGCACGCGCCGCGCGATTTATGGCACGCATGGGAAACGCTAGCACAACCCCCGAAGAGACCCTCTTGTCTCAGCACGGCGGCCTGCAGGAGTCGATGTTCGGCGTCGACGCGCCGCTGTACTGGACGCTCGTCCCCGGGGCTATCGCGGCCGTCTACGGGCTTGTCCACGTCGCCGCGTGGGACACAGCGTTCCCGAACGCCGTAGAACGCACGCTCTGGCGCGTTACATCGCTCGCCATGGTCGCGTGCGGCATCTTACCGTCCATCGTACTGGAATTCCTGAACGATCTCCTGACCCAGCCCGAAAGTATGCATGCCATCTTTCGGGTCTACTGCTGGTACATGTCCAAGGAGAAGGGCGTCACGTTTCTGCGGTATATTTCCTATGTGGACCTCTACGCTAGCCTCGCGTTGTATCCGGTGTTGACAGCCTGTTTGCTTGTAGAAAGTGTGAAGCAGGTGTTCTACCTTCCAGCTGGCGCGTTCGAGCTTCCCGACTCCTCTGTCTATGTCCCCCATCTCTCTTGAACTCCCTGACACGGTATATTATAGTCAGTGGTTTCTGTAGTGGACTGGTTTGCGTTCCACATGACCGGTCAGGAATCATATCGAGATCAAGGAACGGCGGCGAGAAAACAAAGTAAACTGCAGCTAGACTAAGCACATGTCATTTTCTTCTCTTCTGAGTCCTCTCTCCCTTTCTCAGATCATTTCCTGACTCACCGGCGAATGGCGTGCAGTTCAGTTGACATTCAGCGTGGTTGCTGGACGGCTGGACGCCCGAGGCATTCACTGCGGCAGTGCGGGCTCGCAAGCTTCTGAGACCGGCTGAGCAGCGTCGTCGCGGCGAGGCTCGCCGCCGCCGCCGGGGGCGGTAGGGGCAGCGAGGGCTAGGGCGTGTTTGTGAGCGCGCTCTGCGCACTGTTCTTGCCGGAGACGAGGGGCGGGGAGATGTTGTAAGTGCGGGAGGCGTTTGTGGCGAGGTTGTATGTGTATCTATAGAACTGTGCGCTTCAATTGTAGAGGTTCAGAACGGTATGGCTAGATTGCTAGTGTACGATAGCGTAATTACGTAATGGCTCACGAAGCGATGTCTCTTTGTGCCTTCGTCTTGGAGCGTATGCGACAGGCGCCGGGAGGGAACTCGAACTGAAATACATCTTGCCTGTGTTTCGCAGCCATTGACGATTGGTTTTCGCACTGGAAGCGGGCCCTGAAATTGAAAGTACAGTTATCCACCGCTCCTTGAAACAGCCAAATTCTCCATGCCCATTGACGGCGTTCCACTTTGTGTATTGAGCCAGAACTTCGTATAACTTATACCGCACATCTCTCACATACTCTAGAATATTTTGGAGACCAACAGTGGAGAAATCTGTGAAGGGGAGGGATCCCGCACTTTTGATGGCAATCGCCCCTACCACCACTCGTTGAAACACCCTTTTCTGGCTTGATGAGTAACCGCTTTAGGCAACTTTACCTGACGAAGCGCCCGATCCCGTCCCACGCACCAAGGGCCGGCAGTTCGGTTGGACAACATACGACATCTCTACCCTTGCTAACGGGTATAGTGTATTCAGAGATGCACTTACAAGCGTCAGTGGAGCTGCCGAAAGGTTTAACTCACGGCTTTAATTTTGAGAAGGCCATCAATGTGCCATCAACATGGAAAAACATACTTTTCCAGCTCTACGGCATGAAATACATGTTCCCTCATGTTCTAGCGTCACTCTGCAAGAGTTCCAGAAAGAATACGTCTACCATGATTTTTCTGCCAATTTAAGTCACCCTGAAAGCTTTGAACTGCGCGCTGTTTCAAGGAGTGGTGGTGTTTCAAGGAGCGGTGGATAACTGTACATGTTGCTAGAAAAGAGGGGAAATGTCGAAAACGGCAGAAATTACAAGCGCTCGTTACACAGGGCCCCCGCGGACAGCATCCTGGGCACTATCTGCGGGATTTTGATAATCGTGTGACCCAGATTCCGATTGCAGCAGAATCTGAGCGCTCCTGTCCAAAATCCGTTCGATTTTTGTCTGATTACACTTTTGGCTCTGCTGTAATCACTATCAGCCGGATTTGGTATATCTCGCAATCCGATTCTTAGTTGAAAGCTTTTCCGCATGGTACGAAGCGGGATACACCCGTGTGAGGCCAGAGGAGCACAGAGGTACATTGAAGGCCTATGGGCAAGTTCCCTCTAGTAACCTGTTCCTCGCTTCTCTAGTTGCCCCTGCCACCTCGCATCTACCGCCTTCCGAGCTGTCTCCTAGTACAAGTGAGGGCCTATACTGCACCAGGGCGGCCCGTACTGTGATGCAATATGTGTCGGCCGCCCTGCCGAGCATGCCGGAGCAGCAGCATCCGTCGTACCTGCATCGGACGACAAAGATGTTGATCCAGGCAGTGCGTTATTTTCCCCGCTCGTAGGACAGATCTTGTATCACTGACATTACCGGCTTGTGATCGCCATGACAGATGGCGGGAGACGGTTATAGCCGCAGATGAAGTCAGGCATAGTCATAGTTTTTCTGGTCATCACAGCACATCTGATGACGATACGAATCATGATGACATTATGAAGATCAGCAGGACGATACTCATGATCCCGACGATGCTTTCCTGCAGACCTGCGCCCCTGTCCACTGTGTGGCGCTGAGCAGACAGACGGCGAGACCTCTCAGCAGCATTATTTGTTCCACATCATATATACACTTGGGACCGCTACATATATCTTTGATATCTGGCGCAGAAGCCTTCTGCACGTCGCGTCCCACTGTGCGAATCTGCGGTGGGCGGTGGGCGCTTGATCCCACCTGAGGCCTGAGACCCGGAGCGAGATTGCTGTCAGGTCAAAATCCGGCTGTTGTGAGACAACAATCGAACGGATTTTGGACCTCAGCTATCTGGACGTTGATCTGCGGGCAATCCCCTGGAAACCTGGTACACGCAATCTCCCGGGGCCCTGTGTATATATCGTGTGAATCGCGTCGCCGTCCAAGCCCTCGCCTTGTCCACACATGCACATGAGCCACAGTCTGCTGGTCAACGCAAAAAGGACCAAGGCGCCGCACATTCGTCCATCCGCAAAAGCCACCGGCACGCCCATCCGCAAAAGCCACGTCCACCGTCCTCTGTACGCCCGTCCAAGTCGCGGATGTGCAGGACGCCAAGGCCACATGTAAGTGTGATGGCCCACAGAGACGCGAAGCCCAGTGTGCAAGAAGCGAGTGTCTCGCTGCTGCTGCTGTACGTCGCCCAAAAGAATCGCGCTCAAGAAGTTGGTCAGATGAAGGGAAGCTAACAGAAATATGGGTGATATCCGGCTGTCGACAGGTGCAGGTCAGTGGTAAATTGTCTGGCGTCTCAGGCTGTGGTGGGCCGAAAACCGAGGTCAATGTCAAGCTCGGCTTTGCCCCCTCTGGTGGTGGTGGGCACAGCTGTATTCGTCTGCGAACGGGATGTACACGTTGGATCGTGCACGACTCCATTCCAGCGTCAGCAAGATGCAAGACGTGGCCCGAGGTTGCTCCGAATGTTTTGCGGCAACCTATACGGGCAGAATTTGCAGCTTAGCGATGGCCGACGCATCTACTGAACCGCTCGAAAGGCTGCAAGGTAATGTGCACGTTCTTTCCCTCTGTTGGACCAATGCAGCTTACCTGTTTTGCACGTAGCCGAATGAAGAGCGTGGCGGCGAAGATCGCTCGGCGGATCGGCCTTTTCTGCCCGTAGCGGTTGCGCACCTCAGACACAAGAACGGCTTAATCATGACGCAACCATTCTCTCACTTCTTAAAGGATTCACTACAAGGATCGCCCTCTCTCATAGAATCCCCTGGTGTTCCGCAGTTGTCCCGCAGGGCACTGTGGAATGCACACGCTACCGAATGCACCATTCTTCCGCTGTCCTAGGAAAGGGTCTCTGGACCATCACCTGTCTAGATAATCGGACAGAGGTGGGTAATAAACACTCGCTGCGTCGCATCACCCGCTGTGCTCTTCAGAATCCCTACCATTCCAGTCTAGCTAAACCAATCTGATCATGGCAGGCGTTTTCTCCTTATTTTCTAGAGATAACTCGACCGCTTTGCCGGCCTCTGCATCCTGGCACGCCGATCCTGCTGTGCGTGGCACCTGGGGCATTGTCTCGGCATGCCTGTCAACACTCGTAATATGCGTCTGGAACGCTGTCCACATCGACATTCCCCTCCGACCGCGTAGGTGGGAGTTTGTCGACAAGCTGCCCTGGCTCGCCGTCGGCCTGCTGGCGCCAGATTACTTGCTGTATGTGGCATGCTGCCAGCTGTACCACGCAAAAAAATTATCTGCCGCTGGAAAGGTGTACCTGATAAGTTCCGAACAGCACAATAAACGGCCGACGTGCTTTCGTCGTTTCTTCCGCTGGGCTGGAAGCCCGCTCTCAAGGCAACTGGTGTGTTCTCCATTGCCTAGTACTTCTGTCGCAAGTTGTGTTGATTATACTTACCCCAGAGCACTAGCACGTCCACTAGAGTATCACCAGAAGTGTTAGATGCAGAAGGAGGAGAGCAGGAGAGACATGGTATGGAAGATATCGGCACTGTGAGCTACTCTAGTACACGCGCATGACGTCGCATATTCTGACTCAAGTCGGCAGGTCGAGTTGGCAGAGCTGGAACTCAAGCCTTCAGGCACGCCACCAGCAGAAGCAAAAGAGGCGCCACCAGCACCCGAAGCCAACGGTTCTTCTGTAAAGAAACGAGAGCATAAGTGGACCCTTGTGCACAGCTTCTACGCGTCTATGGGCGGATTCGTCGTAGATGTTGACACATCCATCGCTCCAACCCTAGCTCCAACGTCCCAGCTCTTCCCAAATCGGCTCCAATCAGGTCGAGCCCGCTACATCCTCACCGCACGAGGTGTCTACTTCCTCATGCATCATACACCAGAGCTCGTGCCCGATCTGTCCGAGTCGAGCATTCTCAACCGATGCCGATCCGATGCTCTCGCGAAGGCCCTCCTCGTCGCGCAGCTGCTCTACTTCTGCATCTCCTGCGCACTACGCCTCGGTCAATCGCTCTCAGTAAGCCTTCTCGAGGTCACGACTTTTGCGCATGCTGTGTGCGCCGTCGCGACGTACGCGGTGTGGTGGAAGAAGCCGTTTAGCGTCGCAGAGCCGACCGTTATCACCTGCGAGACCCAGGGTGCCGAGGAAATTATTGCGTACCTGCTGATGGCGAGCAAGTGGACGACGGCTCGATGCGCGGGTCTCTGGCAGTCATCGTCACCCGGCGAGCTATTTTTCCTTATGGTGCGGCCTGCAGCTGGCGATGCCGACAGCGGCAACAACCCTTCTGCAGTACCGCCGGCGGAGGTCATAGCCAGCCACGGGCTTAGTCACGAAGCACCGGCAGCAGCGCCTTCAGAAAAGGCCACCCGCGTGGGCGAGTACATATTCCTTGCCCGCCCAGATCCAAACCAACGTCAACCGTCGTCTTCTGGGAAAGTAGTCAGCAGGCTGTGGAGACCTCTGGGTGGCAAAGCGATGAGTCGCCCGAGTGTCAACATCGCACGCTGGACGCTAGCGGCGCGTGCTATGACACGCATGGGGAACGCCGGCGCACTCCCTAGAGCTGCTCTCCTCTCGCAGCATGGGGGTCTCGGAGAGTCGGTATTCGGCAGCGACGGACCTGCCTACTGGTGGCTTGTCCCTGGATCCATCGCCGCTGTTTACGGGCTCATTCATGTGGCGGCTTGGAACGCGTCGTTTCCAACAGTGCTTGAAGGCTTGCTTTGGCGTACTGCATCGTTTTATGCGCTTGCGCTGGGATTTGCCCCTTCTGTAGTGTTGCAAACACTGCAAACGATTTCCAATGTCGCTTCACGCCCTATGCGGTCTGTTTCATTGACTCGGAGAAGGTTTTTTCTCATCATGAGGCTGATTTCCTATGCGAATCTCTACTTGCTGATTGTGACTTATCCGATTTTCACCACTTATCTGCTTTTGGAAAGCGTTAGACAGATTCTCTACCTTCCAGCCGACGCATTCAAGCTTCCTGACTTCTCCGTTTATGTTCCTCATTTCTTTTGAATTGCCACCCTTTTAATCTGTGGTCTAACGTCAATAATTTGTTTGGAACGGACCAGCTTCCAAGGCACAAAAATACAACATTACATGACAGTGTATGAATTTCAGACACAGAGAGTACAAATTATGCGTTTCACTTGTTGCTCACAGCCCCCCCCCCCCCCTTTTTATTATTATTATTATTATTATTAGCATGTGGCAAGACGATGACAGCCAGTTACACGACAGGCGTACATGTTTGGTATGAGAAGTTCTAGCGAACACGGCCGCGACGACGACCCAGAAGAAAAAATTATACGCTTATTGCAAGGTAGAATCTACGGGGACACTTGTTCGGTTTTTGAGCTCAATAGAGCGCAAGTATTTTGGGCCATATTCAGCGTCCGATACCGAAGATTAATCATAGGAATTGAAAGGTATACCATGAAGAACGTGGTGGCAACACGTGGTATCTCCTGTCGGCTAGTTGCCTTGAAGAACATACGCGAAGGGCTTCCGATTCCGGACAGCTCCAAGGACGGTCCGAATTGCACGTCGGAGGCCTGTCCTTCGCGATACATCAGGCTTGTGGGACAGTCGCCGGTAAATCCGTAATCTGCACCAAGTTTGAGGAGCCAATGGAGTAAAAGTGCAGAGGGTAGGCGAGGACGTAGCTCTCGCTAATCTAGCACCTTAGGTGCAGATCACGAATGCGAGGAGCAGGACGGAGAGGTGATTGTTTTCTAGAATGACAGGCATGTCAGTTTTACGTGTTCATGCTAGCCGCATCCCTTTCTCGTTGCCGTTCGGCGTTTCTTGATTTCGATGCTATTCTTAATTGATCATAGGTTATAAACCAGTCCGCTATATAAAAATGACAGACTACGATATATGATACTAGAGAGTTCAAGGCAGATGAAGCACATGGATAGAGAAGTCGGGAAGCTTGAATGCGTCAGCTGGAAGGTAGAAAACTTGTCTTACGCTCTCTACAAGCAAAAGAGCCATACATATCGAATACAGTATAATCGTGCCGAAGAGCTCCGTATGGGACAGATATATCAGAGGTGCGAAGTTGAAATGGGGCATGTGCCGGAAGTAACGCTTGAGAATAGCATGCACGATATCGGGCTGCGCCAGGAGCTTGTTCCAGATGTACAGCGACATGGGTGGGGCAATGCCACACATGATCGCAACGAGCGACGCAACGCGCCAGAGCGTGCGTTCTGCGACGGTCGGGAACGCTATGTTCCACGCAGCAATGTGGACGATCCCATAGACCAAAACGATAGACCCGGGGACAAGGACCCAGTACAGCGGCGCGTCGATGCCAAGCACCGACTCCTGCAGGCCGCCGTGCTGAGACAGAAGGGTCACTTCGGGTGGCGTTTCAGCACTTCCCATGTGCGCCATGACTCGCGCGGCGCGCTCCCAACGCGTGACAGTGGCGTGCGGACGGCGCGTTGGGTCGCTGCTGCCCTCTGAGGACAGGCTGACGCGCGCATAATGTTGGTCTGTGTCTGGACAGACCTGGAAATTGTATTCCTCGACACAGCAGGCGACTTGGCCTGGAAGGACTACAGACTCTTCGCAAGTATGTCCTCAATCATCTTCAACAGAAGGCAATACCGAAGGGGATGATCGCCACTGCTTGCGGGCATCGCGCCGGTCCTGGGGAAAACGTCGAGGGACGAAAGTTCGCTGGGGGACGACAACTGCACGAGGCCCGCATACCGAAACGTCGTCCAGCGACTTGCCATAAGCAGATACGCAGCGAATTCTTCGATGCCCTCGCCGGTGATGACGGTAGGTTCTGCGACGTTGAACGGCTTCTTCCACCAGACGGCGTACGTCGCGACGGCGCACACAGCGTGTACGAATGTCGAGATCTCGAGTAAGCTCAGTGGGAGCGCCTGCGCAAGGCGCAGGGCGCATGAGATGCAGAAGTAGAGCAGCTGCACGACGAGTAGCGCCTTAGTGAGCGCGTCAGACTGGCAACGATTGCGGATGCTTATCGCGGATAGGTCGGGCACGAGTTCGGGTGCGTGCTTCATGAGAAAGCAGACGCCCTGTGCGGTGAGGATGAAGCGAGTCCGGTATGAACTAGACTGAGGTGCCGGAGCTGCGGCTGGAATTAGGGATGTGTCGACTTCCAAGACAAATCCGCCCATGGCTGCATAGAAGCTGTGTACGAGTGTCCACTCGTGCTTTCGCTTGTCAGATTGGAGCATCGGGAATTCCTCTTCTATCTTCTCCAGCGAAATGCTCGGAAGTTTTCGTTCCACCAGTGGCACCTGCCAACTCGGTTCAGGAAAGGCAGATGCACAGATGCACGACAGACACTACGCACATTCTCAATGTAGTCCTAGAACGTTCCCATCAGCAATGATAGCGGTAAGGGCAGGCAACATGGAGCTCACCAGCAGACTCGTTAAACATAACCCAAACTCGCGCGTAAGACCACGAGAGGACGATCATCGTTCAATGTAGGGCTTAGAGCCCGTGAGCAATGACAGCCGTAAGGGCAGGTGAAACGGAACTGACCAGCAGCCATGACCATCGTGGCTCAGTTTCGCGCATGTAATCACGTGCAAATTGTCTGAGGCGGAGCTTGAAGTTCGTCAGTAACGGTAGCCGTAAGGGCAAGTATCGGCAAGCCAAGTGAAACTTGCCGGCAGCGTTGAGAAGCATGACTCAATCTGGCAGATAGAATCGCGCGTCCATCGTTTGACGTGAGGCTTGGAGCTCATAAGCAATGGTGTCCGTAAGAGCGGGTGAAGCAGAACTTACCGGCAGCCTTGATAGCCATAATCCGATCCTGCGGATAGACTCGCGAGAATATGTTCGTCGTCTGATGTGTGACTTGGAGCTCATCAGACACTCGGATTCAGCAGCAGAAATCTGCCTTGCACGGTACAGTTGGCAGCATGCGACGTATAGCAGGAAGTCAGGCGCAAGCAGCCCGACGACGAGCCAGGGCAACTTGTTGACAACTCCCAACTCCGCGACCGGATGGGGATGTCGATGTGAACGGCGTTCCAGGCGCATATGACGAGCGTCGCGAGGCACGTCGAGATGATGCCCCAGGTTCCACGTACAGCAGGATCTGCGTGCCAGGATGCAGCGGTTGGCGACACAGTTGAATTGGGCTGGAAAAGTGGGGGGTAAGTATCTGTAATCATGGCACGTGTACCCGACTCGAGCCGAGATGTTGAAGACGGACGTTAGTGGTGGATAAAAAAGTTCTGCAGAGTATCAGAGGAAGATATATATGGCTCGGAGGACCCCATCAGCAGAGTTAAGCATTCCTATTTGCACCTCTAGAGGTACGTATAAGCACTCTAGATGCGCTAGGCACCCCACTGTTATGTAAGAATGGCAACACCGCACCTATTCGTGCTTATCCGGCTTAGCGGCCTAGCGATCCTACGACCCTACGCCGCGCAAGCCTAGAATATCATGGTCATGGCTGTGCCCTGTCACGGCCCCAAGTGCGCCAGTGTCCTTGAGATCTTCATTACCGTCGAAGCTATACTGTGCCTGACAGCGGATGCCTGGCCTTGGCTACAGGTGCGGGTGCGCAAAACCAGGCATTACCTACACTTTTACCCGCCCTCGGCTGACGGACGAGCCTGCTGAATATGAAGTGAGAGGCAGGAGGAGTGCTTGAATACCCGATCGCGAGAGACTCCCCAGGCAGTCCTTATCCAATCAGCGGAATCGGTCGACGACGCAAATTTCGGCGCTCATGAATTACCGTCAATAGACGCCCATTGGCGCCCGTCAATGGTTAAGTTACTTATGCACGAGCAGTACGCTAGCTCCCACAAGAGGTCTATCCAATGACCAGTCGCGCTACAGATGAAAAGTAATCCAACAGCGTCTTGGCTGATGCACACCTGCTGAATGCCTATGGCATTCTGCTTGAGTGATCGCTCTGGCGTATGTACCAGGACGAGGGGGAGGAGGGCAGTATATCGCTAGTGTAGTTCCAACAAGAACTAGAGGACTAAGAAACAGCAGGAGGTCAAGCTTTACGTGAGTACAGCTGAAGTGCTCTGTGTGTCCCATTGGACTTCATCATTTCGCCTATACTTACCCCAAAGCATCAGCACGCCCACTGATACATCACCAGATATGTTAGAAGCAGAAGGAGAGCCATCAGCAAAAAATCAGTCGTAGATCAGAGAAGGGTTACCAGGTAAGCGCCTAGCAGTCTGGTGGACGCTGGCAGTGCAAGGCCAGGCGAAACTAGGCTGGTATTCTCTGGTATTGCATTGCAACCTCAGGCCTCAGCCCAGACCGGTATTTCGATGCAATTTTGTTCCCATCATGATGTCGTTAGACATGACATGACCTGCTTACCCAGATCTCGGTGGTGATATGACGTCACTCCCAAGAGAGGGCCTGACCTTCGCCTCTCTTCGCCTCTATGTCGACTATTCAGAGACAAGTCCAAGGTTTGTTTGACTTCCCTACACGGGGCTAATTTTATACTATTTTGCGCGGATAGAGGTACAAAAACACATTCAGTTTGTTTCGTAAATACACTTAAGCTATTTTCCTATGGGGATGTTATTGTTTTAGTGGTATGAAAAGATACACTGCTTTTACACCTTTTGAGGTATCAGGAGAGCCGAAATATTCTCAGGGCGAAATCATCATCATTTCTTTCTCCACATTTTCCCCAAAAAGGTTCCTTCCAGGTGAGACAAAAAGAGCAAACTTATTTTGTGGTTCCTGTCTCCACAAAATATGAGGTAGAAAAGCTGGACTTTTATCAGGGAAACTTGTATGGAAAAAACTGGTATTGTTTTCAGACATAAGATTGGTCACCCACTCATGGCCTATTGCCCCCTTCTCATCGTCTGCTGTGCGCCCACTCATCGCCTCGCGCATTGATGGCCACTTGCTAGGAGATCGCCCGCACATCACCCACTCATTGCCCACTCATTGCCCACTCATTGCTCACTCATCGCCAAAACAATGGTGGTCACTTACCAGTAAATCGCCACTTACAATGCATGACCACTTAAACAAGCAACTAATCACCTCGCGAACAATTAATCACGTCGTCTCCACTCCCAACGCCGGTGCACTCGCGCGAGAGCACCACAGACTTGCAGACGGACGTGACAAGCGTCGCGTCGTTGCGGCGCGTGCCCGCCAGCGCGGCGTCGATGCTCCGGATGCGGCCGCACGCGCCGTCATCGTCTCGCCTACTGTTCACCAGGCCTACACGACTTGCCGTCCCTCTACCAACACGCCGCTCTCGGTCTCGTTCAACTCAATATCTCCCCGCATGCAGATATCTTCCTTATTCCCGCACGATGCGTCTCCGTCGTCTCCATCCCCCCGCTTGCGGTCCCTACCTCTCGTCTCCAACTAACACCCTCCGCAAACCACATCATCACCTCCGAAGACCTACAACGGCTCCGCGCGCTCACGAAGCCTCTTCCACCTGCGCTCCCCAGTCCGTCCTCCTCCTCGCCCGACCGCGCCGAGGCGTACACCTTCATCCACCCCTCCCTCAACATCTACTTCGCCGACCTTTTATCTGCCGCGCGGCACCATCCGCTGCTCGACGGCAGGCTGCTCACGCTGCGCGCGCACTGTGACGCCACGGCGCTCGTGCGCACGTACCGCGTGCTCTGTGGGTGCAGCCTCGGCGCGGAGCTCATCGCGAGCGTCGCCGCCGCCGCGCCCAGCGAGGACACGAGCGAGGACGACGACGAGCTCCGCACCGCTCACGCAAACGTGCACTTGTGGAACGACGACGGCGGCGACGGCGAGGACGCGTGGCTCGGCGCCGAGATCCACGCGGGCCACCGCAAGATGGGGAGCGTGCGCAGCGTCGAGGTACACGTCAAGGGACCTGACGTCGACGCCGGGGCCGATCATGCCTCCCCTGGTCGCGCACACGACGGGCCGCCACGCGCCGCGCACGGCGGCGTTCGCGAGCCACGACAGCTTCGCGCCGAGCAGCCTCATGGCACCGCTGCCGTCGGCGCCCGAGGTGTGGGACGTGAGCGAGATCGACGCCGAGCGGGTCTTCCCCCGCGCGGGTTGTCCGCTTGCATTGCCCAACCCGCTCGCGTTCGCGGGCGCTGTTCAGGCGACCGGCAGGTAGATCAGTGGGCGACCAGTGGACGACCAGTGGACGACCAGTGAACGTGTCAGCGGGCGCACACAGCGACGCCAAAAAATAGTCAATGTATTTGTATTACAGTTCTTTTGCGACAAAAGTCAGCTCTCCTATTTGAGCAAATAGATAGTAGATGCATACTTCTTTTTGTACCTATCCCAATAGAAAATATATCTATTATTCTATATATGGATAGCCCAGCAGTATTTGTACCTCTTTTTGCTGCAAGCAGAACAGCCTTTTGCAACAGGATTCACCAAAAAAAGGTGTCTTGGTTTGGCTCCTATTTCCAGGTTTTACCTATCGTATGTTTTTACCAGAAAGTGTTCGGTCTTTTTGGCTTCTATTCTCATAACGATTTTCGTGCCCCTTTCAGCTGAAAATATTAACTAATTAGCCCCGTGCTAAACTCATTTTTGATGTCTTTCCTTTTATATCTTGATTCATATAGAGGGCACTTGTCGCTCCGTGCCTCTTACTTCCTCACCACCATGTCTCGTGTCTCATCAAATGGATATCTCCCCCCTCTCCCTTTCCCCAGCCTCTGTACCGCCGTCGTCTCCGCCACCGCCACATCACATACACAGTGTCCGCAAACTGCTCGATGCCGTTCTGGGACCTGAGACCTGATTGCGGGCGCCTGCATCTGTACGGCCTCGACATGTGCGTTCACGGACAACTTACGATCGATCGAGGTGCGTCTCTTCTTTCTTCTGCATCATGTGTAGTTTCCTGCTGCTGATGGCACACTTTTTTTGTGTGCGTTCCAGGACAGCCAAACGGTGGGAACCTCATGGGCTACGGCACAGGCAGCGGCTCGCTTTTGTCGGCGGATCCGCACCTGCCGTTCAACGGCCAGAGCGCCGCGCCAGTGGTACTCGGGACGCTCGTCGCAGACAGTGTATGTTCAATGTGCCGCTGAGGCGGCAGGAGGAGCATGGTATGGACTACTTTGGCACTGTGGGCTGCTCCAGCACACGTGCGTGACTCTGCATACTTCAACTCAGATTGGCAGGTCGCGTTCAATTGGCAGAGCCGCCAGAGGCAATGCGCCGCAGGTCGATGTCATAGCATGCTGCCGCCGACGTCTTGATCATTTCAATCTAACTTGTAGACAGAGCAGGCGGCTGCGCCGGTGGAAGAGCGATCGTATCTGAGCTTTGATGGACATGAATATCTTGTCTAAGAAAGCTGTCGAGCACGCTGGGTCTGATCCATGGCCCATCAGACGGATAACCACGTTGAAGGCTGGGCCTCGAGTGCCGAGGCTTGGTCCGCCTACGAAGAGTTCCACTTGAGCGGAGGTCAGCTAACCGTCGTCGTTTCCTGATTCATGACACAAGGGATGAACGTGCCCCTCGTAATCTAGAGTCTGCGGTCGCTTCGTAGTCGGTGTCGCAATTCCAGTCGGACTGCGTTCAGTAACAACAGGGATAAATAACGCCTACTCGTAATGACAGGAATAAACTGTAAGGTTCTTTACTACATTGTGGGAACCCTAAAATAAAAACCCTTCCAATAAGTAGAATGCTAGCAGATACAAAACTAATGAGAGGAGTGGATAGAGAAGCTGGGAAGCTTGAATGCATCACCGGGGAGGTAGAAAACCTGTCTGACACTTTCTACGAGTAGATAAAATGTAAGTACCGGATACAATGCAATGCAGATCAAGAGTTGCATGCAAACAGCTATCCTAATGAGGCGCCAGAAAGCATTCGGAAGCTGGAGAGTCTGAATAAACCGCGCAGCGTTGAATATGGGGCTAGTCGCTGGGGACAAGATATACAGCAGAGAAGAAGGAGCAATACCGAGCAAGAGCGCGTAGGCCGACGCAATGCGCCATAGATAGCCTTCTTCGGGCGTGGGGAATGTCGTGTTCCACGCTGCCAAGTGGATGAGTCCGTAGACAGCAGCAATAAACCCGGTGACAGCGAGCCAGTATGGAGGCCCATCGGTGACGAAAACCGACTCTTGCAGGCCCCCGTACTGCGAGAGGAGGGTGGCTTCGGGCGACGTGCCGGCATCCCTCATAAATGCCGTGACCTGCGAGAGACCCGCATATCGAACGGTCCTCCCCCTGCTCACTCTGAGCAAATCCTCGAATATTGCATCTGCATCCGCGCCAGCGATGACTGTCGGCTCCGCGATGTCGAAGGGTTTATTCCACCAGATGGCATACGTCGTGACGGCGCATATAGCGTGCGCGAGGGTTGACACCTCGAACAGGCTCAGGGGGAGAGACCGTAAGAGACGCAGGGCGCAGGAGACGCAGAAATGGAATAGCTTCAATACGAGCAGCGCCTTCGCGAATGCGTTGGATCGGCAGCGATTGAGGATGCTCGCCTTGGATAAGTCGGGGATGAGCCCTGGTGCATGCTCCATCAGATAGCAGACGCCCTGTGCGGTGATAACGAAACGGATCCGGCCCGACTGGGAGTGGGGCGTCGGGGTTACGGATGAAACGAGGGATGGGTCGACATCCAGGACGAATCCGCCCATAGCAGCATAGAAGCTGTGAACGGCGGTCCACTCGTGCTCTCGTTCCCTCACAGAAGGACCGCCGGTTGAGAGCATCGGGAATACCTCTTCTGCCTCTTCCAGCGGCGCTTCAGGGAGGTTTAACCCTAGCTCTGCCAGCGAAACCTGCCAATCTGAGTTAGAAAAGAAAAAAAAATAGAAATAGGGCATTAGCGATATAACTCACTGGGCTGTAATTGTTTGTAGCAAGCCTCTCCTGCCTTGCTTCTTCTGCTAACGCACTTGGTGACGCCTCAGCTGATGTGTCAAAGCCCTGAGGTATCCCCTTCAGCAACGGCAGCCGCAAGGGCAGGTGGAGCAGAACATACCAGTCGCCCAAAGACACATGCTCTAAATTTGTGGACGAAGCTGCGGGAGCGCACCCATGGTCCGATATGGGTCTTGCCACTCTTCAGGTACTCGGCTTCAGCGACAGAAATCTGCCGCGAGAGGTGTAGCTGACAGCATGCAGCGTAAAGCAGATAGTCGGGCGCAAGCAGTCCAACGACGAGCCAGGGTAGCTTGTTGATGAACTCCCACCTGCGTGGTCGGAGAGAAATGTCAGTGTGGACAGCGTTCCACGCGCATATCAAAAGCATCGAGAGGCAGGTCCAGATAAGGTCCCAGGTGCCGCGCACGGCAGGATCGGCGTGCCAGGATACATTGGTCGGCGACGCGGTCAGATTGTCTTTGGTGAAAATGTCTGTCATGGCTAGACGTTAGTACCCGACTTGGGTGAGGATATAGGAGGGAGAGGCGTTGGAAGGAGAGGCGTTGAGTAGGAAAACGCTAGATGTAGAGACGTTGGGTATGAAGGGGTTAGAGGCAAAGAAGTGGGGGAGCATTGACGATCTAGACGATGCCAGTAAACGACGGACTGGAACGACGAATACATCGCTGCTCACATGTGGTGGTCAGCTTTGATACGAGCTTGAACGTGGACATGGCGGTGCGACTTCATGCGCCAGTGACCGCCAGATCCTCATTGTCGTCGGGCGTAAACGAGGCTTGGCAGCACCTCGCTGTGACCGCAGGCGTGTGTCGCACAACGTTACACCCTGCACGTAGACATGCGGCGGCTCGAGCGTGCTACACACCAAGCTTCACATTTCCCTGTCCCAGAGAGTTGAAGCATGCACAACACGTGCATTTGCGGTGTCTACAGGATATCCAGCAGATGGCGGTGTTGTGAGATGGGTTAGTGGTGACCTCGAGGCACCACATCCCGAAGCAAGGCGACCTCGAGGAGGACCCCGCCAAAGGCCCAATGCAGCTCTGCGGGTTTTGGTCTGCCCGACACTGGCCCAGATTGTGGACTTGACAGACCTTTGGATGTAATCCAGTCACTCGGGCAGATCACGGCTTGGGTGTGTCGAACGCGCTCGGCATGCTCAATCACTGGTGTATTGCGCGGTATTCGATGCGCTACCCATCCCGATCGGGGTAACAAGGTGACCGAGGTACCGACCTCTCAGGCGCCTAGCGGAGATTAGACATTGCATAACGCACGCCCGAGCTGCGTGCCTGCACGCAAGGCGCGATGCTATGCCACGAAGAAACGGCAGATACAGCCACGGCCATATCTGGAGCTGCGTCGCACAAGCTAACCACCACACCTTGCGCAGTGATGTGCGTACTATGCTGTCTCATATTGTCGTACACCCACCCCTCCAATAGCCCCAACCCCCCAGTGTTAGCGCCAAAAGTCTCTACCTCCAACGTCTCCACCTTCAATAACGCCCTCGTCCAAGTCGAGCACGTATGGCCACGGCACGCGCCTTACTCGTAGGCATACAGTACAACTCGACCGCATCGCCAACCTCCGCATCATGGCACGCCGATCCGGCTGTCCGCGGCACCTGGGGCATCATCTCAGCATGCCTCTTCACTCTCGCCATATGCGCTCGGAATGCCGTCCACACCGACATCCCTCCTCGATCGTGCAAGTGGAAATTCGTCGACAAGCTTCCCTGGCTCATCGTTGGGTTGTTTGCTCCCGACTATCTGTTATATGTGGCAATCTGCCAATTATACCGCGCAAAGCAGATTTCTACAGCAGAAGTCAAGTGCCTGAAGAGTCGTACCGGACGGTGGACGCGCGCTTGCGGCTTTGTCCGCCGAATTGGAACACGCATCTCAGGACGACTAGTATGTTCCGCTTCGCCTGCCGTTATGGCCGCTGTTGCTAATGGAAAAGCTCCAGAGTGCCGACACATCGATTGAATCATCATCAGGTGCATTAAGTAGAGAAAACGTCAATATCGTGAGTTATGTCAGTTATACCTCCACCCTTTCTGAATTCAGCTAGTAGATTCGGCTGGCAGAGCTAGAATCGAGTCTGCCAGGTACGCCGTCGGAAGAGGAGTTCTCGACGCTCGAACCTAATAGACCTTACAAGAGGCGAGAGCACGAGTGGACACTCGTACACAGCTTCTATGCTGCCATGGGCGGATTCGTCCTGGACGTCGACGCATCTCTCGTTCCATCCCCAACCCCGACGCCCCACTCCCAGTCAGATCGGACCCGCTTTGTTCTCACAGCGCAGGGGGTCTGCTTTCTGATGGAGCATGCACCAGAGCTCATCCCCGACCTGTCCGTGGCAAGCATCCGCAACCGGCGCCAGTACGACGCACTCGCGAAGGTGCTGCTCGTCGTGCACCTATTCTACTTCTGCGTCTCCTGCGCTTTGCGCCTCGCGCAGTCGCTCCCGCTCAGCCTACTCGAATTGACAACTTTTGCACACGCTGTATGCGCCGTCGCGACGTACGTCGTCTGGTGGAGAAAGCCCTTCGACATCGCAGAACCCACTGTCATCGCTGGCCCACATGTCGACGAGATGGCGGCGTATATGCTGATGGCGAGTAGGTGGACGACGGTCCGGTGTGCGGGCCTCGTGCAGTCGTCGTCTCCCAGCGAGCTTTCGTTTTTCGATATTTCGTCCACGGCTCATGGCATCAGCTGCGACGGCAATCAGTCTACAGCGCTGTTTGAGCAAGACGACAAACAGCGCACTCACGATGTATCACTGCTTATTCCGGGTCAGGTCGAGCACGTCGGGCAATACGTTTCCCGTGTTCGCTCAGACTCGCATGCACAACACCTGTCACCATCGCAACTGCAGCCCTCCTCTCGACACTTCCTCGGGCCCACCACTCAAGGTACCGAGCATTACCACCGTGCGGGTGCCAGCGTTACACGTTGGACGCTGGCCGCGCGAGTCATGGCCCGCATGGAGAGCGCTGTCTGCGCCCCTGAAGTCACCCTTCTCTCGCAGCACGGGGGCCTGCAAGAGTCGGTGTTTACCATTGACGGGCCTCTCTCCTGGCAGGCGGTCCCCGGATTTATTGCTGCTGTCTACGGACTCATCCACTTGGCAGCGTGGAACACGACGTTTCCCACCCCAGAAGAAGGTTTGTTATGGCGCGTCGCGTCATGCTATGCGCTTGGGCTTGGCGTTGCTCCTTCATTCCTGCTGTATGTGTTGTCCCCGGCCATCACTGCCATCTCCAACGCCGTGCAGTCTGTTATCCGGCTTCCAGATAATTTCTGGCACGTCACAAGGTTGATTACTCGTGACGAGCACCGTATCTGCATCGTATTATATCTGGTATTCACTTTTTATTTATTCATGGAAAGTATCAGACAGGTTTTCTACCTTTCAGGCGACGCATTTATGCTTCCCAGCTTCTCTGCCTATGCTGCTCCGTAGTCCCTTCATGGTTACGCCTCCAGGCAGCTAAAGCCCCCCATTGACCCTCTCTGCCCTATGCGCCTCATACTACTTCTCTGACCAGCCATCCTCATTTGACCTTATTGGTCCAACGCGCTTTGTAGCTCTTCTCTGATTAAGACTCCTAATTATTGCTGAGCTCGTTGGTCTGTAGTTTTAATAACTGTGTTTGTTATTCACTACAATCCTACTTAGAATAACTGACTAGGCTACCAGTGCTAGGCTAGCCACTACTTCGAAGTCGGTCATCAGTAGCGTTAGCTTATTGGTTTAATTAGCTATATCTACGCATTCGTTATGTATATAATATGATGTCTTAACTTCATCGAATGCGGTAAGTAAGCGATACAAAGGGCCATCATTTCGTAACAAAGCAGTAACTCCGCGCTGTAAGCCCCGATATCTCTCTGATCATGACCGCGCTGTCTCGTTGGATTGTTATTTCGATTCACGACGTCTCTGCCACCGGAAAGCAAGACCTAAAACTCACACTCCATGCCACCGTTTCCAATACTCCGTCCCCGCCCAGACAAACACGCTGCACGTAAGGCCTGGGAAGCCTCCTGGGCCGCCGACCTCGAGGCCTACTTTAAGCCTGAACTGTCACTACACCGGTTCTCCAGGCTGATTCTATCTACATCTAGGGACACGCTTGCTTTCTGTGCCGAGCCACAGAACGTGCTTGGGGACGACGATCGCATCAAAAACATCTGTGGTGTGGACATCGACATGGCGCGATGCTTGAATCCTCACGATTGGCAATCGTTCCAAGACGGCTGGCGCGGCTTGTCAAGCGAAAGGCAGGGAGAGATCATTCTCGAGGGACTCTATCACACGTCGTGTATCGGATCCAACAAGCAGTTCCGTGGTCATTGCCCCGAGGTGACGCTCGCACAGGGTGGTAAGCGCAGTTTTTTTCTCAAGAAAACTCAGACAAAAGCGGCTAAACAAGGCCCCGTTATTCCTCGATTCTACGCCGATGCAAACTGAGGAGAAACCGGTGCAAAACCAGCCAAAAGGGTCTAAAACACAGTAAAAGTGGCGGAAAAATGAGTTTTGCCTTCGGTTTTTTCGGGTGAAAACCGGATAAAGTTGGGGCCTTGTTGGATCAGTTTTTGGCTAATTTTACGCCGGAAAAAAGTGCACTTACCACCCAGTGTCGAGAATCTGGCGAAGGGCGGTGGATGAGAGCTTCTCCGGCTGTTGTCTCACTGGACGCCGAATATTCCGAATCTCACGCATGCAACACATCTGGAGTATGTGTGTGTGCCTAACCCGACCACATCGTTAGCCTATCCGATGCAGAGGCCCAAGTACCCGATACGAAAGCGACGGCGCGGATGTGTCGTATTAACAGAATGCAGTCCATGTCAATTTTGCTTGGGAAGATTGAAACATCTACCGGGTCTATGTAAGTGGCTAGTACACTCTTCTACGCTCTTTTGAGCTAATTGGAGTAGCACGAAATCGAAGGGCCCACGCACGATACGCTAAACACGGCAACATAACTTCCGCAAACAAGAAGCAGCTCAAGTCACTCCTAGATTTACAATACAGAAAGGGCTTCTTCAAGAAGTGGCGTACGGAGAACATCGCCTCTGACCATTCGCAGCTCATTAACGCGTACTAGCACCACAACAAGGGCAAGAATCAGCTCAATAGCGGGCGCACGAAGGGGTGTAGCAAGCGTGCCGCGCTCGGCATCAGAGTTTACTATTTTTCCAGGTACGTCAGTTGTTGGTGCTGTGATTCGTAATGCTGACGTCGTGCAAGGAGTGCCAAGTTGCAGCGGTCTGGAAGAACGGGGTGCTTGGATCACACAAGGTGCTATGTGGCAATCATAGCCTCTATCTGGAACGAACGAGCTTCTCGCTTGCGATCTGCGTCTATGTGTAATTGCGCTATATCTGCTTACACGCTGTGCATCTTCCTTCGTGTATCCCGACTGACTTATACCACTATCTATGTGCTCAGTACTTATGCTCCGAGCGCAATCGAGAGTCTTGAATCCAACAGTGCACCCCGCGTTCTCCGGTCCCCCCGCACACCGGTCTCGCCTTTGAACACAAAGAGATCGGCGCCTGGCGAGGTAACAGATCTTGACGAGGAAGCAGCGAGCATGCCAAGGCGTGACAAGGAATAGGAGAACGGTAAGCACGAAGACTAGCAGAGCCATGGTCAGCATCCGAGTCGCCCTCGATTTTGCTTTCGAATCTGGAGAGTGGCTGGAGACGTCGCGGGCCTTATAGTTACGGTCTAGAGGAATCAAAGCGTAGGGGAGCACAAGGTACTGCTCGCCGCGAAACAACTAGGCAAATCGCGTGACGTCACATCACGAGTCACGCGTCGCGACTGAATGAGGGAAGACGGACCAGCTGATGACTCTCCAGTCCATGATCATCGATCGTCCCCGACTGCACTTGTGATCCAGTCTACATCGGCTGGTAAGCTCGCCTCGGGCTCGGGGCGCCGGGATGTCGGGCTGATGCGATCAGCCAATGCGCCGCAACATCCAGGCATTGTGCATCAACAACTTCCCCGAAGTCTATCATCTTTACAGTAGCTGTTGATCGGGCACAGCTCATGTCTCTCATAAGAGCTCTCATAAACCTTAGGATTATGCTGTAAGTAGTTTCTGGATGACTTATTTGGCCAGCTGACAACTGACGTCCACCGTAGTGGGTCCGGCGCATCACCAAAACCTGTGCCCCGACGCGGGAGCTCCACGGCATGTGGTATCCACGATGGAGGCGGAGAGAAACATCTCCTAGCCATGACATATATCCCGCCGCGACATCCAATGTATGCGTTTGATATGAGTGATACGATGCAGGTTTCGTAGGTAGGTACGCTGGACCTTTTGACTTGTCTGATTTGTCCCTGAAAATCTGAATGCGAATGCAGCATCGCCAAGCCTTGTGCGCGTTCGGAGAGACCTGAACCAGGCGCATGGTCGGTATTATGTGCATCCGTTTCCTGCACATCGCTTCGGGGCATGGAGAAAGATGCCTGCTCAACAATGCCACGGTCCAGGGACAGAGACACATGTCGCCCGCCGCAGAGCATTCCCGGGGCTCATGTTCTCCGACCAGGGGCGAAATGATGCTCCTGGTTCAACTTGCCGCAGAAGCCCAATCGCGCTCAATATTATATTGCTGAGTGCGCACTAGATGAATGTACATTAAAACCCAAAACTTGCTTCCTGACAAATGCTTTGAATTATATTCCTTTATTTCTTACAAAATAATGTAATATTGTCTTCGAGGCGCGTACCTGCATGTGATAGGTGTCTGCAAGACGACTGCACAATCGTCCATCCTGGCGCCGCCCTTACCGGCATGACGCTCTAGATGTTCGCACTACAGAGTATCCTATGGCAGCACCTACACGGGCAAGGCACGTCACTCGAGTACAATTTGTCAATTCTGGAATCCAACATGTTGGGGACCGTAAAGACATGCACGTATCCCGAAAGGCAAGTCGAGAAGATTTACCTGACAACCTTTCTCTACATTGAAAAGTCTTCTGCCTCCGCGATCGCAAGCTTATACCCTTGTGCGAGTCGGTCGTAGTGCACACAAAGTGCCGTCGAAGCACGGTTGGCTCGGTAGTAGCTTGTACCAGCTCATGCCTGACTCAGAGACGTTCAAAGCAGATAACACAGCCACAAAACTCGAGCGCAGGCTGACAGTGAAGTTGTTGAGGCTAAGGCAAAACATTTTTGAACTGTTAACTTTATAGCACTTACTCAGCTCAGATTTTGTTAGGCCAAAGGGAATAGAGACCTTGGTAGTGTCTCGAACTGATGATCCCGTTTTGTGTGCTACGATCGCCGCGCCCATCATAGTAACAGAGGATTTCAGGCTATATTTTTACGTGTTTTACACAATCAAGCATCTGCACCTCCAGCTCATCGCCCGACTATCAAAAGCCAACTTCACCCACGAGGCGTCCAAGCCGGATTATTCACAACGACCGATCCCACCCCGCCCTCGGCAGCCTCATTCAGGACTAGCTCAAGCGTCGGCGAGACCGCCGCGTTCTCGAGGGCCCACAAGGCAACCGCAACAGTGCTGAGGAGGATGAAGAGTCAGCGCGCGTGCAAGAAGAACGCTACACAGAGCTCTCTCTCTTGACGTACTTCTTGCCGTTATGATCCAAAATCCCGGACGGCACAGGGAACTTCGCTTGCGGTCCAATATTCGTCACCCTCTGCACGAATCGCGCATTGCCCAGTCAACCAACAAAATCGTCCAAATGATCTGTGAATAAATAAATAATAAATAAACAAAAGTCGCACGCACCTTTCCGTACTGCCACCCATTCACGAACAGCAGCGCACGGTAGGCCTGACCGGCGGGCACCGCAGTGTTGTTATCAAAGACGAAGCTGAACATCGCGTCCACTCCCTGCGGGACGGCGAGGTCCAAGGTCGTGATGAAGAAGCCGACGCCCGCCGTGCCGTTCGGTAGGCCGGACGAGAGCGCCCGCGGGGCCCAAGAGGACGTGTCGAACCCAGGCAGGTGCCAGCCCTCGCGCTCGCCGAACAGCCCGCCTTCGTTCAGGACGCCGCCCACTTTGTCGGGGTAGCTATGGGCACCTCGGGTGGTAAGTAGCAGCAAAAAATGAGACGGCGTACGATGGGAGCGTACTTTGTGTAACCACCGAATTTGCCTTGGACTTTCCACGTCGTGAAGTTGCCGCTATTGAGCTGGAAGCCAAGGATTCCACGAGGCGACCGTTCTGTGTGACGATCAGTGTGGAGTCCTCGTCCAGCTGCACGACGACCTGCCATTGGGGGACTCGTCGTTACCCATATCATCCTACGAGATGAGATGCCCATCAGCCAATGAATTGTAATGCCCTTTCGCGCAAGCACGTACCTGAACAATTATGATGACATTGTCTGCCATAGCCCTGACCGCACCGCCAGGGAAGGAGTACAAGGTGTTTATCTGATCAACGCTCGCGCTCGCATTCGTCGTGCCAAGGAAGATGCCGTTGAGGAAGACCGATGCACCAAACGCTGTAGGTGCGAGGTTGTGAATGCGCCTCCTGGAGCAGGCATCGATGACCGGCACTTACCAGTCCCTCCATTGATGGTCAGATTCACCGACGTCTCACAGCCGGTGCCGTTAAAATGTCCACGCCAGAGTACGATGTTCTCGCAGAAGCCGTAATCGCATCCTATGACGATCGCCCTTCAGCTCTGTACCACAACCGGCGACGCACGGCGGGCGCACTTACCATACAGGACCCGCCCGTCGCCAAACAGCGGCTTGGTCGTGATATTCGTCGTCGTGTGGTCGGCGACCGTCCAGTTGGCGTCGTCGAACCCGCTCTGCACGTCGGGCAAGCTGTCCTTGAACCTCCATCTCGCCAGGGCTGGAACGCTGATGCTCCCCTTAGTACCGAGAGAGAAGCGTAGTTGGCCCTCGAGCAGCTTAGCGCCAGGCAACGCAGCCGCGCCGCACACGCCTCTCACGGGGACGTCCGCACCGTTCCAGCTGACGGCCGACACCGACGCGGGCACCATGAGCGTCGGCGGACTCGACGCGTTCAGATCTCCGCACAACGCAAGGCGCGACCCCGACACCGTGGCATTCCGCACCAGCATCGGCCCGCCGACGAAGACCGTCTCGTTGGTGCCGAACTGCCAGTAGTTCGTGAACGTCGCGGCGCCGGTCGGGACGGCGGGTGCGAAGAACGTGGACGCGGTCTGCGTGTCTGCCCACAGCACCAGCGGGCCTGCTGTGCTTTTCGGGGAACTCACGACCTGGAGGCCGGTCTTGAACCCGGGAGCGAACGCAACGGTGGTCGGCGGGCTGCCACCCGAGGAGAACGCGAACTCATGCCCCTGGTTGGTGTCGCCGTACAGGAATACTGTGTCGATGCCGCCGATGCTGCCTGCAAACAGCACTGCCGCAGTCGAATACAGGAGCTTGTTCGAGTGCACAAGGTTTCCGAAGGTGTAGTCAGCCAGAATGACTTTGCTTTGACGGCCGTTCAGCTGGATGCCCGACGAGAGCGTCCGCGGGATCGTGAGCGTGCCTGCAGAGGTAGAGAGCGTCAGGTTGAAAGCAATGTTTGATCTACATGCTCCTCGGTAAGCATTGATTTGGACTCCACGTTCAGACTTACGTCGAAGTACTGTCCGCCTGCCTGACAATGACGAACTGTGCGCCAGTATCAATATTCCTGAGCAACGTCACGAAGCTCGCGTTGCTCGCGCTCGTTACTGATACACCGGTGCTTGAGTCGCCGATCCAGTCGGTCTTGCGGAACTCGGGCGATGAGCGCAGGAAGAGCCCTTGGCGCTGGAGCTCGTCGAACTTGGGCGAAAGGGCACGATTCTCGCGGAGACTGCCGCCGTAGTCGTATGAGCTGTAGACCACGGGTGCAGCGATACCGCCCCAGTTCGTACCACTGCACAGCTATCAGCAGCTTTTCACCAGCCAAAACCTAAAGAACGCACCCGTAGAAGATGTAATACGAGGTCATCTTGACGTTCGACGCCCAGTTCTGCTTGTAGAACATGTCCCGGAAGTCCGGCCCTGTGAGCATTTCGCATGCTTCGTAGCCAGGGCCGCCCCACAGATCGAAGCTTCCTCCCGGGAACTCAGGCATGTACCACACTGTACCGGGGTCGGCCTCCTCGTGGTACGAGTGATAGTTCGTCACAACGGGTGACCACCTCGCTGGGTTGCTGCAGCCGAAGCCTTGCGGGTATGAATCGAGGCCGTAGATATCGACCGCGCCAGTGCCATTGATGAAATTCAGATCTTCTCCGGGGTCGTTGTACGTCAGCGGGACGACGATGCCGTTTGACCTGTACGTCGCCTCGAGCTGGGCAAAGCATTCGGCATGTTAGATCGGTGACTGCGAGTACTCGTTGTCTGATAAGCGAAGAGTTTGTCAGCAATCGGCTTCACGAGAAAACAAGAGACGCAAGAAACCGGTACGCGTATCCACTTGCACAGCGATAAGACTGCCACCGTCTGAGGGATGGAGCAAAGCGCATTGGATTGAAATCAATTTGGGCGAGGAGATCTGTTGCATACCTCGTTGATGATACGCCGCACATACGGCATCCAAGACTCTTCAATGTCTGTGGCGTTCGTTCGGAGCTCACTCGTGGTGAGGCTGGTCGTCCAGAGGGCAAGGCCCCCTGCAGTTGTCTCGGCGTTGATGTAGGGACCTAGCCTAGGAATTCAAATCGTGGCACGGCAGGATGGAGGCGAGGAAAGGTGGAATGACACGTACCTGGTCTCATAACGATGAATATGCTCGCCTGCTCAGCTGCCTTGAATATTGGCTGCAGGTCTCGCCAGTCGTTGAAGTCGAACACGCCGGGTGCGGGATTTGCCAACCCCCAATGGATGCATATACTAGTCGTCGGTTAGCGGAATGTACGCACTCGAGAATGCAAGGTCGCACCTAACGCCGTTTAGCCCCGCGGCGACCATCTTCTGAAATATGTCGAGCCGGAGGTCGGGAACGGGTAAGCGAAAATTATGAAACTCTCCTGAACTGTCGTATGCGAAAAATACGTATATTGATGGAGGAGGTGACGCAATGGAGAAAGATTCTCTGTCCCTCGATCCAAAGCGTATAATTGTCCCACTGAACGGCGTCGGTTAGACCTGTGCTGTGCCGCGGGGGTTCTGCAAGTATGCGAGGTGCATCTGTAGCTGCATTTTTGACAACGTGAGATGCGACAAGGCAGAGGAGAGCAGCGAGCACAAAAGCTAGCAGCTTAATGGTCGGTGTCCGAGTCGCCCTCGATTCTGCTTTCGACGCTGGAGAGTGGCTGGAGATCTAGACACCGCAGGTCTTGTAGATGCGGTCTGAGAGAACGGAAGCGTAGGCGAGCACAAGGTGTTGCTCGCCCTCTGAGGTCATCGATGGTAGCCGTCAGTGAGTGACCTAGCGGACAGAACAGCTGGGCAAATCACTGTTATTCGGTCGGCCCGTGCGCTTGGAGTCGCGTCACTCTTTGACCGAGGGAAGACGGGCCAGCTGACGCAGCTCATGATCACTCCTTGCGCTGCTCCTGTGATCGTGTTGTGCCTGTGATCATCTACGACTGCATTTGCGGGCCAGTCTACATGATATCCGCTGGTAAGCTCGCCCGCCGCGCGGTGTCTCCCTTTGGGCTACTGTTCTCACCGGCGACTCCAGAGGCTGGACTCGTCCCAAGCCGTCTGATGCGCGTATGCTACGACTGCGCGGACGGCAGGCCGAGTGTCGTAGTTCGCTGTGTCACACCTCGTTTACTTGCAAGGTTACTTCGCAGGCGCTCTTTGAGGGCGCCTGCTGCACGGTTGCACAGAATATATGTAATAAAGTGTCTGCCTACTCACTGGCCTGCCAACCACTTCTTCATTCCTCTACCGGGCATGGCATCACTTGCACTTGCATTTTTCTCGTACTGTTCTGCTGCTCTCTTGCTCTCTTCAGCATTCGCCTTTGACTCTTCCCTAGACTTGGGCGAGGCTCTCGTCCTTGACACAAGCTTTGATGCGCGCCGCTTCGAGTTGTAAGAGCTGTCAAGGTCGAGGAGGATGCCTCGTGTGGTATCGTTCTGCGTCTCGTGCGGGATGCGCATGATGACGTGGCCGCTGATACGCCCGTGTAGAACACCTGCCTCATAGTACGCTTTATGTGCTAACGTAGATACGACGTTAGGTTCTGAGAAGACCGAATGAACGATTAGCAGTGCCTGCGCAAGAGCACACTTACCTTGGAAGGCGTGGTGCACGACGGAGAGGAGCTCACGCTGGCCACGGTAGCCCTCGAGTGTTTCTGGGACATAGGGAGCAATTTTTACCATCGCAAAGTTCTGCGCGACGGCTAAGGTGACTGCGGCCGGACGTGTGATGCGCCATCAACGGATAAAGTCACGTGGTGTAACATTTCTGGTTTACTGCCCGCCTCCGCCTGTGCTCACGCCACCCCCGTCCTACTGCTCTCGGCCGGGCGAGCGTGCGCCACCCTGCTTTCCGTTCTTCACGACACCCACTCACGGCACAACCATATGACGATTATCGAATTTCAGCCGTTCTCCTTGCTCATCGAACCGGCCTTTTGGCACGCGCTCAACAATGTCAAGACCGATGTCCTCAGGCTCTCAGATGCCTTCATTCCTCTGGCAGCGTCCTATGCGCCCCGACGTGCCATTGTCGATATGGAGACGGGGCGTGAGATTGCGATGCCGTCCGCGTTGAAGCTAGTGGGCGATGCGTTCACCGGGAGTCTTCAGTGCGTCTCCATGCCCGCCAAGCTTATATGTGATTGCCAATGGCCGGTACGGGATACTCAAGTATGCCGCACCTGCACACGGACTGTTGAAGAATCACAACACAATAGAGGGGTTCAAAGCTGCAGATAAGACCATACTGTCCAACGAGCTGTCAGACGAGGTACGGAGCTGCTTGTTCCTGCATCTATGTATATGCGCGAGTTCATCAAGGCCACTGCGTTGCGACTGATCCACTTTTTGTCCTAGATATGGAAAGATATTTAATTTGGCTCTACCTCTAAGCTCGCCAAGTTTCTCATCACCTTCGACGACCTGAAGCAGTACCGATATTGCTAACGGTTCGCCTGCCCCGCCCTCGTCGCCAAGCCCGCATGGGAGGCAGGTAACAACTGGCTGAGCGCGTCAGAGATGCCGTCTTCGGAGATGGTGAGCGTTTCCTGGTGGCTGGACTTATTGATGTTCATCGTTCTTTATAGCTCTCCGTAGCATATACAGCGTTGCACACCTGGCCGCGCCAATTCTTCCCCGTTCGCATCTCGTCTACTTCACCTGAGATTGCGCTTATTGGGAAATTTCTTTGGCGATGGTGTCCTGCCAGAACACGTATGCCCTTTCCTTCCCGTCCCTTGACTGCCTGCTCACCTGCGTATATCGCCTGTAGCGCCTCGTTGGTTTTGTCGACCCCTCAAGCGTATCGAGTAGCCCTGGCTGGCCACTTCGAAACTTGTTCACTTGCCGTGTGCACCGACACTTGTCGCTCTTTCAGCTAGCTCCGCGTCGGGATTGCGACTCTTGTGCCGGCGCGACGTGGACCCGCCGCATGATGGACGGTCGCGCAGTCGCATCGGAGTCGCTACCGGTCTGACAGGTGCACGGGGTACAAGCGAGCGGTCAGCTGCTGTTGGGTGGGAGAAGAGCCCTCAGGGCAAGCTTTACGCCCCGTGTCGCAGACCTGGCGCCGACGATGGATCCAAAGAGGTTTGTCCCTTCTTCGTCGTCAAAATTTACGGGTGCCAACAGGCTTCATGCACACAGGCTTGCGGAGTAAGCGGTTGACCTGAACTTGTAATGACTTCGTCGCACCCGCAGACGTAAGTTCTCTCATTCTCACACTACCGTGGCAGGCCATTGAATAAACCACGCGCAGAGACTTACGGACCAGACTCTCGACCAGATATGCGCAGTCACGCGCCCCGGACTCGCGTCCACCGCCTCCCCGGTGGCCGTCGGGCTCCTCGCCGCGCTGCTGCAGCACCCAGGCAGGTGCGTCTTTCCTTCATCTCCTTCATGCCCTGTTTGACCTTGACCATAGCGTAAACGTACCGGCACTGGCACCTAAGAAGGGTGGCGAGCTGCCTGATCCACACGCGTCAGGCAGCGTGCTCGGGCTAGTGCTGCACCAGCCGCGAGGCTGTCTCGCTGAGTTTCGAACGATACCTGTACGAGGCACGGCCTTCTTCTCATGCTGCACAGGCTATGGCGGCGCGGTGCTGGAGGCATACAAACGTCATGTATGGGCTCCTGTGCAGAGTGCGTGCGGCAAGCCTGGGTTCATGGAGCGTCTCACCTGTCTGGATGAACTGTACCGCGAGGGGGAGGAAGCGGCGGGCGATGTTGAATAAGAGGATGAGGACGATGAGGATGTGTTGAATATATTTCTGCGAAAGTAGTACCAAATGTACCTATAGATTAGGTTATACCCTGGAATAGTAGCTGGTCAAGATTGCTAAGCTGACACCGGAGCTACACCTGAGTCTGATACGCGCAGCAGAATACACATCGCACCAGCTTCAACCCTTCACAGAGGACCTAACGATACACCGCATACTTAACATTGGTGCAATTTACGTCACCAGCACCCTTCTCCCCCATATCCGAACCCTCATCGCTGGCCTTGATACGCGCCGCGCGGAGCTCTTCCACCAACAAAATTCGAGCGGGTCCCTTGGTGTTCGTACGTGTTCGGGTGATCGAATTCATGGATGTCGAAAGCCTCATCAAGGTCTTCCTGGTCCTCGCCCTGAGCCTCGCGACGTGCAGGCGGGACAAGATCGGGGGACTTCTGGACATCCTGAGTCTCGCCTGCGTCGGCCGCTGAGATATGCAGACAGGGTGTTGACTTGGTCCACCGCACCGGCTTCGTAGGCCGCGCCGTCGGACGAAGCTTAAGTTCCCATTGAGTCACTATTAAAGATGCTTGTCGAAGCATTGCCTCAATGCATCTCGACTATCCGGGGCTTGTGATGACCATCTCGATGGCGCCACGGTATCTTGTTGCACGATACTAATCCTGGTATTCTCGATGGTGAGTATCGTCCCTGTTCTCTCCTTTCCCTTCTCCTCAGACATCGTTTCGTCAGCTCTCTCGCTCCTTTGGACCCCACTCTTTACTTTGTCCTCCTCGACGTGCTCAGTACTTTCCCCATACTTCGTCCCGCTTTGCATGTTGTTCTGGCGCGCATCTCTGCCTCGTCCTAGATTCCATACATCTGGGGATGAATTTCACACTCAATAATACCGCAAGCCAGCTTGTTTATATCCACTGGGCGGCCCAGAGTCCCAACGACCTCAGCGTTTCCAATTTCTTTGGCGGGACTGAACATGTCTGTCGTAGGCAGAGCTCTGTGCATCTATGGCTTTATTTTTACATGCTTTTAACAATGGGGTGTCCGCACGCCCATCTCATTGCCCGACTATCAAAAGCCAACTTCATCCACGAGGCATCCAAGCTGGATTATTCACAGCGACCGGTCCCACCCCGCCCTCGACTGCTTCATCCAGGACAAGCTCAAGCGTCGGCGAGACCGCCGCGTTCTCGAGGGCCCACAGCGCATGCTGACAAATCATCTATATTCTCGCAGCCTTTTGGACAAGTTTCCCTGATGGTAACAGTCACTTCTTTCCCAGCGTTAGCTTCGTGCAGGGCGACAACATAACAGTTTCCATTGCCATGACGAATGCGACGTCGAGCACGGCGGTCATAACCAACGAGAGCACAGACGAGACCTCCACCGTGGCCATTGAGACCGGCCCTATTTGCTCCCAGGCGGAAGTAGGATGGCTGTTACAGGCCGTATTCGACGATTCCAATGACATCATCCCTTACGTCGACTTTGGCACGGTCAACATCACTGCATCTGCCGAGACCTCCTCAGGCCCTGTCGACATCTCTAACGCGACCATTGTGACCACAGTCCAGAACGGCACTACTCTTGCTTCCGCCTCGGTCGAGGGCGGGATCGTCACTATTGCCTTCGTCTAATGTGGCACGATGGATGTGGGTTTTGTGGGTCTCGGGAAGTGGAAAGGAGATGGTATAGGATTTATTTGGACATCTCGGATGCTAGAAGGACAGATATTTATTCAAAATTACTTGTATGACTTGGTTATATACCCTGCATGTAGCTAGAAGAACCGGTGTTTATTCAACACTACTTGTATCGTTGTATCGGTCCAAGAAATTGCATTGTTACTTACAGCCAGTTGCGAAACGATAGGCCACTTTGAAACCTTAGCTAGCACAGTAACTGATGCTCCGACCTAGGTCTAGAGCGAGATACAGGGCGGCTACATGGCCGTCTGACACCATCGGACGCTCATCGGCCTTGTGAGCACTGAGCGTGAACGACGGTGAACCACTGAACGAGTCGCATCCAAAGCTCACAACCCCGATGCCTCTGCTTCCTTACACTGGTCAACCTTTGGTGACACATTTCTAAATAGCACAAGGCGCACCCGCAGTCAGTATTCAACGCTTACGACGGCGCACGGCAAAGCGTCTGCTACGTGATGCAAGGAGATCACCGAGCGGAGCTGCAATTGCTGTAGCGGAAAATACCTGGGGTGGCCTATCGTTTCGCAACTGGCCGTAAGTAACAATGCAATTTCTTGGACCGATACAACGATATAAGCAGTGTTGGATAAACACCGGTTCTTCTAGCTACACGCAGGGTACATAATCAAGTCATACAAGTAATTTTGAATAAATATCTGTCCTTCTAGCATCCGAGATGTCCAAATTAATCCTATACCATCTCCTTTCCACTTCCCGAGACCCACAAAACCCACATCCATCGTGCCACATTAGACGAAGGCAATAGTGACGATCCCGCCCTCGACCGAGGCGGAAGCAATAGTAGTGCCATTCTGGACTGTGGTCACAATGGTTGCGTTAGAGATGTCGACAGGGCCTGAGGAGGTCTCGGCAGATGCAGTGATGTTGACCGTGCCAAAGTCGACGTAAGGGATGATGTCATTGGAATCGTCGAATACGGCCTGTAACAGCCATCCTACTTCCGCCTGGGAGCAAATAGGGCCGGTCTCAATGGCCACGGTGGAGGTCTCGTCTGTGCTCTCGTTGGTTATGACCGCCGTGCTCGACGTCGCATTCGTCATGGCAATGGAAACTGTTATGTTGTCGCCCTGCGCGAAGCTAACGTTGGGGAAGAAGTGATCGTTACCATCAGGGAAACTCGTCCAAAAGGCTGCGAGAATATGGATAATTTGTCAGCATGCGAGCAGGAGGGCAAGGAGTGCGGACTGACCATTGATAAACTGTGAACCATTCTTAATCTCCATGTTAATACCAGCCAAGATGCCGTTCTCGCAGTTGGCGGCACCAAGGTCAACTAAGAGGGATGCGATTTAGCGGTCACTTGGGTCGTCGCCCGCAGGCACAGTAAACGTCGGAATCGCGAACGACCCCGTGACGCCGTTAAAGGGCACCTATGCGGAATCAAGTCTGTCAGCACATGCAACACACAGCCATAAGAAGAGACTTACTGTAGACGCATTTAACAGGGCGCCGGCCGCGGTGTTGCTGATAATTGGCGCGCCGCCGCTGGAACGACGGGCCATGCGGACATCGCGACGTTCCTTGGGGGCCGGCATCGAGACAGCAGTGGTGGCAGCGAGAGCCAAGATAAAGGAGGTGATGAAGAACATGGCAGTATGAACGACGTAGGCTAGAAAGAGCTGTGTGGCTATCGAGTCAAGTGAGGCGAGGAATCTGTGGTTTGGCTATGGCGGTCGGGCGAGCTTATAGACGTCGGAGGCCTGTGCAGCAAGCACCTGCAGCTGCGCGCCATGACAATCCTTGGGTGCCTCATCATGCACAGAGTTTCGCGAGGCGGGGAGGGTCTCATCACGATTGCGGCCGTTACGATTCAAAATGTCGCACACCAGGGTTTTCAAAGGTCTGGTTCAGATTTAGACTGACTTTGATGGCGGTTCGACGTTCAGACGTCGAAGGACAGCCTGAAAAGGTACGGTTTCGGGTCCTGAAGCAACGTTTCAGACGGGATCGTGCTGAATCCCGTCCAATACCATCGTCCAGTCTGGCCGACGCTCTCGCCGCTCTCGAGAGCGGCAGATCCCATGCAAGGGAGACGCGATTAGATTTGCGGGGTGCGACGCTATCAAATCTGCAGCCTTGACACAAGTTACACGAGGACCAAAACTGTGTTATTTATGAATAAATATTTAGGCACCGCGGCAATTATTTCCACTGACACAAGGGTGGACAGCGTCGGGCACTGGGGCGGCGCATCACTTCCATTTTTAGTACTTGACACTGCCTTTCTGGAGGGGTTCAGCCAATCACGACAGTAATTCTCACGACTGATTGCGCGACTGATCATGAGTGCGGTACTGGAGATGTTGCGATGATGTCCAGTCGCACCTCGCGCGGAACTGGATGCGGGTTTTGTCCGCCAGGTCGCTCACTGACGGCCACCGTCGATGTCCTCAGAGGGCGAGCAACACCTTGTGCTCCCCCACGCTTCCGTTCTCTCAGACCGCACCTATAAGATGCGCGATGTCTAGTTCTCCAGCCACTCTCCAGCGCCGAAAGCAGAATCGAAGGCGACTCGGACACCGGCCATGACGCTACTAGCCTGTGCTCGCCGCTCTCCTCTCCCTCGTTACACCTCATGTCGTCAACACGGCGGTTACCGATGGACCTCGCATACTTGCAGAACCCCCGCGGCACAGCACAGGTCTAACCGACGCCGTTCAGTGGGACAAGTATACGCTTTGTATCGAGGGACAGAGAATCTTTCTTCAGTGCGTCACACCTCGCCCCTCACTATACATACTTCTAACATGCCGCAGCTCAGGAGAGTTTCATACCTTCCGCTTGCCTGTGCCCGACCTCTGGCTCGACATATTTCAGAAGATGGTCGCCGCGGGGCTAAACGGCGTTAGGTGCGCCCTTGCATTCTTGAGTGCGCACGTTATGCTAACCGATGGCTAGTATATACATTCATTGGGGATTGACAAATCCTGCACCTGGTGTGCTCGACTTCGATGATTGGCGAGATCTACAGCAGATATTCAAGGCAGCCGAGCAGGCGAGCATATTCATCGTCCTGAGACCCGGTACGTGTCATTCCGCCTTTTCTCATCCCATCCCTCAAAAACTTGGTCTCGTTAGGTCCCTACATCAACGCCGAAACGACCGCAGGCGGCCTCAAGCGAGCTCCGAACGAATGCTGCAGACATCGAAGAGTCTTGGATGCCGTACGTGCGGCGCATCATCAACGAGGTATGGGACAGATCTCCTCGCTCAAGTTGATTTCAGGCTAATCCGCATTGTCCCGTCCTTCAGACGATGCCTGACCAGATCTCTGACGGCAGAAGTCTTATCGCTGTGCAAGTGGGTGAGTATACTGGTTCCCTACGTCTCTTGTTTTCTCGTGAAGCCAATTGCTGATACACCCTTCTCCAGACAATGAATACACGCAATCACCAATCCAACATGCCAAATACTTTGCCCAGCTCGAGGCGACGTACAGGTCAAACGGCATCGTCGTCCCGCTGACGTACAACGACCCCGGCGAGGGTCGGAATGTCATCAATGGCACCGGCGCGGTCGACATTTACGGCGTTGACGCATGCCCGCAAGGCTTCAACTGCAGTAGCCCGACGACTTGGGGACCCGTCGTGACGAACTATCACTCGTACCACGAAGAGGTCAACCCCAGCACGCCGTGGTACATGCCCGAGTTCCAGGGGGGAAGCTCCGATACGTGGGGCGGCCCTGGCTACGACGCGTGCGAAGTGATCACAGGGCCGGACTTCCGGGACGTGTTCTACAAGCAGAACTGGGCGTCGAACGTCAAGATGACCTCATATTACATGTTCTACGGGTGCGTTCTTTAGGTTTTGGCTGGTGAAAAGCTGCTGATAGCTGTGCAGTGGTACGAACTGGGGCGGTATCGCTGCACCCGTGGTCTACAGCTCATACGACTACGGCGGCAGTCTCCGCGAGAATCGTGCCCTTCCGCCCAAGTTCGACGAGCTCAAGCGCCAAGGGCTCTTCCTGCGCTCATCGCCCGAGTTCCGCAAGACCGACTGGATCGGCGACTCAAGCACCGGTGTGTTAGTAACGAGCACGAATGACGCGATCTTCGTGGCGTTGCTCAGGAATATTGATACTGGCGCACAGTTCGTCATTGTCAGGCAGGCTAACAGTACTTCGACGTAAGTCTGAACGTGGAGTCCAAATCAGTGCTTACCGAGGAGCATGTAGATCAAACATTGCTTTCAACCTGACGCTCTCTACCTCTGCAGGCACGCTCACGATCCCGCGGACGCTCTCATCAGGCATTCAGCTGAACTGCCGTCAAAGCAAAGTCGTTCTGGCCGACTACACCTTCGGAAACCTTGTGCACTCGAACAAGCTCCTATATTCGACTGCGGCAGTGCTGTTTGCAGGCAGCATCGGCGGCATCGATACAGTATTCCTGTACGGCGACACCAACCAGGGGCACGAGTTCGCGTTCTCCTCAGGCAGCAGCCAACCTACCACCGTTGCGTTCGCTCCAGGGTTCAAGACCAGCCTCCAGGTCGTGAGTTCCCCGAAAAGCACAGCAGGCCCGCTGGTGCTGTGGGCAGACACGCAGACCGCGTCCACGTTCTTCGCACCCGCCGTCCCGACAGGCGCCGCGACATTCACGAACTACTGGCAGTTCGGCACCAACGAGACGGTCCTGGTTGGCGGGCCGATGCTGGTGCGGAACGCCACGGTGTCGGGCTCATGCCTGGCATTGCGCGGAGACCTGAACGCGTCAACTCTGCTGACGCTCATGGTGCCCGCGTCGGTGTCGGCCGTCAGCTGGAACGGTGCGGACGTCCCCGTGAGAGGCGTGTGCGGCGCGGCTGCGTTGCCTGGCGCCAAGCTGCTCGAGGGCCAGCTGGGCTTCTCTCTCGGCAGGGGAAGCATCAGCGTTCCAGCACTGGCGGGATGGAGGTTCAAGGACAGCTTGCCCGAGGTGCAGAGCGGGTTCGACGACGCCAACTGGACGGTCGCCGACCACACGACGACGAATATCACGACCAAGCCGCTGTTTGGCGACGGGCGGGTCCTGTATGGTAAGTGCGCCCGCCGTGCGTCGCCGGTTGTGGTACAGAGCTGAAGGGCGATCGTCATAGGATGCGATTACGGCTTCTGCGAGAACATTGTGCTCTGGCGTGGACATTTTAACGGCACCGGCTGTGAGACGTCGGTGAATCTGACCATCAATGGAGGGACTGGTAAGTGCCGGTCATCGATGCCTGCTCCAGGAGGCGCATTCACAACCTCGCACCTACAGCGTTTGGTGCATCGGTCTTCCTCAACGACGTCTTCCTTGGCACGACGAATTCGAGCGCGAGCGTTGAACAGATAAACACCTTGTACTCCTTCCTGACGGTGCGGCCAAGACTGGGGCAGACAATGTTATTACAGTTGTTCAGGTACGTGCTTGCGCGAAAGGGCATTGCAATCCATTGGCTGATGGGCATCTCTCTCATCTCGTAGGATGATATGGGTAACGACGAGTCCCCCAATGGCAGGTCGTCGTGCAGCTGGACGAGGACTCCACACTGGTCTTCACACAGAACGGTCGCCTCGTGGAATCCTTGGCTTCCAGCTCAATAGCGGCAACTTCACGACGTGGAAAGTCCAAGGCAAACTCGGCGGTTACACGAAGTACGCTCCCATCGTACGCCGTCTCATTTTTTGCTGCTACTTACCGCCCGAGTCGCCCGTAGCTACCCCGACAAAGTGGGCGGCGTCCTGAACGAAGGCGGGCTGTTCGACGAGCGCGAGGGCTGGCACCTGCCGGGCTTCGACACGTTCTCTTGGGCCCCGCGGGCGCTCTCGTCCGGGCTGCCGAACGGCACGGCGAGCGTCGGGTTGTTCGTCACGACCTTGAGTCTCATCTGGAAAAACACGAGGTGGCACACAGAGACCAGACCGGTCCATACCACTTGGACCGCCGGACACATCCCCCTGAGCTGGACCATCCAGACCAATCACTATGAGTTATATACCAGTATGTATTACTTCAGACCGGACATACCATTATTGGTGCAATCTGTACTGCCTCCTATGCGGCATGTGCAAATCTGTACCACTCCGCACCGTAACATACTTGGTTGGCACAGGAACAGAATCACTCGTACCTTCCTAATCAAGTAATTTATTCATGCAGTAAAATGCTGTTCACACCAGATGGTCAGGGGGTGACATTAATTACAACAGTATAAAGATGGCATGAGTAAATATACAGATGTCTAATGGTACTACTAAAGCTATACAAGAGAATCAGTGCCTACAAAGTGATATATGTATATGACATGAGTACCTGACTGAGGATAGCATTACCAATGAGCAGACATACCTGGCGCCAGCGTCATACACGTGGGTCCCTGCAAGGACAAGCATCAGGTGAAGATCGCTGCAAGATATTCAGTCAATGTCAGTGCAAGGACAGGTAATATCGCAAGTCTTATAGATGCGATCTGGGGGAATCGAAGCGTAGGGGAGCACCAGGTGTTGCTCGCCCTCTGAGGTCATCGCTGTTTGTGAGCAACCTGGCCAGCGGAACAACTGGGCAAATCGCGTGACGTCACATCACGAGTCACGCGTCGCGGCGGCCCGTGCGCTTGGAGTCGCATCGCCCTTTGAACGAGGGAAGACGGGCCAGCTGACGACTCTCCAGCCCATGATCACTCCTTCTTGCGCTGGGTCGTGCCAATAATCATCCTCGACTGCATCTGCGGTCCAGTCTACATCCGCTGGTCAGCTCGCCCGTCTCCCGGCGACTTCAGAGGCTGGATTTGTTCTAAGCAGTCCAATGCCTGCGCGGACGGCAGGCCGAGTGTCGTAATTCGCCGGGCTAGACCTCGTCTACTTGCAGGGTTACTTCACATGTGCTCTTTGAGAGCGCCTGCCGCACGCAGTTTCCGAACGCTGCTGTCAGTACGCGCTCTACACGCTCGGCGGACTGCTCGTCGCCGCCTTCGTTGCGCTTCCTTCTCTTCATGTCTTACGAGAGCCCATGCTCCTCGTCAGCAAAGATCGTGACGTGAAGGCGTGTGCATGCGGGCAGTGCATCGCGCACAAACAAGTCGAAGAGTGCAAGGGTGGGGGCGTCGGTTCTGAGGAGGAAGAGAGCAAGCAGAAGAGGGTGCTTTTGAGCTTGGGGTACATGGTGCGCCTGATGCCGTTGACGTGGGTGCGCCACGCAGCAGGTTACTGGTGAGTGCACACACGGCAGTGCTCGCCTGCTCGCACGCTGACACGCGCGTATAATTGCGCCGCGCAGAGGCTGCGTCATCGCGGGCAACATTCTGCCCAAGTTCCTTTGTGACGCTGGTGCGGCGCAGAATGTCAGCACGGCGCAGGTGTACAGAAACTAGTTGCGTATGTTGTCTCTCATGACATCGTGTCGTGCTGCTCAACTCGCCCGCAGCATCGTCATCGGCTGTCGTTGCTGCGCCTGGCGTGCTCCTTGGCACCGCAATCACCGAGTCGAATGCCGTGCGCGATGGCCGGGTCGAGTGCGCTCGGAGACGCGAGCCCTGCCTGTACATGCCGATCACGACACCGGCCCCAAGCATCGGCTTCAGCGCGACGGAGTACGTCTTCTCCTCTCTCCTCGTTCTCGAATCATTCACTGAGTCAACGACGACCATCCAATCGACGTTCAACGCAGTGCTATACCGCCGGGCGCACAAGGCGTTCTCCATGGCGGTGCGCGGGCTCACGAGCTTCTGGGCCCGCCTAAGCTGCGTTGTCGTTGCGCGGCTCGGCACGGGCAGTACGGGTAGCTTGTAGCTCGCAGGCAGAGGCGTATTTGTGAGCACGCTCTGCGCAGCGTTCTTGCCTGAAGTGCAGGGTAGGGAGGTGCATGTTACAAGTGCGTGTGCATGGGATGGAAGGAAAGGAGAGAGCGTTCGTGGCTCGGGTATGTATATCCCTGGGATTGTGTATTTGTAGAGGCTTGGAATGGCACGACTATGCAATAACTCACAGAAGCGATGCTCCTTTGTACCGGATACCCGAGCGTGTGTTCGCTTCATTCTGGATCTGCACGTCTGCGCAACTCGTGCTCCAATAGCATTCGATCCCCCCCCCCNNCCCNCNCNCNCNCNCNCCNCGCGCGCGCGCGCGCGCGTC